TTATAATCTATAAAGACTAGTTAAAAATTATAAAAAGCGGTTTTATATCCATATATCTCGGCTGAACCAACGGTAAATATTTATTTAAACTGAAATCCATTTGCTATTTGCTAAGGCACCTGTATAAACGATAAGAAGTCGACCCCCTCCCCCCCGTTCCAATCACCCCCCCCCCCGTTCCAGTCAATCCACTTCTCGTTAGTTCTTGATCATACACAAATCAATCGATAAAAGGTTTCAATACAAATTCATTTCGGGGGCTGGTGGGGTATCTCAAATAAACGGATTATCTACAGTATATTTACATGTACATCAAGTACTACTATATCAATGCTGCCTTGTGGAGAATCGTTGTGCCTTACACCTGATTAATCAGTAATAATTTGTTTACAATACACAAGACTTGAAAACTAAATGATTTCCACAGTTTATCTCTTTATTACTCTTTTTATTGATTCATTTGTAAGATTTCACTGATCTGTTACAAATTATTGAGGGTGACGTCACAATGGCTTGAAAACTCTCGATTTGCACACTAAATATGCACCTCTTAGCTGGAGGTGAAACAAGTGGGCGGATCATGGATCTTCAATTTTCAAAGACCGATTTCTGTACTAAAGACATTCCAGTTCCCTTTCCTCTTGTGATATTTAATTACCTGGTTAAAGGAGAACTTTTTGCAAACAATTAAAAGTACGTGTGCTGAACAACAAAGACAGTATGCCTTATATTACGTACAATGCTTAATCGCCATTTTGCTTTAGAAAAGTTCGGGAAAAGAGTGTACCTGTGACGTCGTATTTTACGACTGTGACGTCGAGTAGTGGTTGTCTGCATTAGGAAGCTGCTGTAAATTTGGTAGTGTTTACATCGCTGCGTTTTTCTGGGCGTTTCGTTGGATTTAAAAGTTGTTACGGTTGTGAAAACATATGTAGGTGTTTGCAGTTGTCGTGCTGAATACGCATCGGTATGTATTTTCGTTTGCTGCGAGTTATTTCTTTAGTCGGGTCTTCATTCATGGGGACTATGAAGCCGTGCGTTGTTGGCAATGTTTAATGGATATCTACAACTCGGAAGGAACGTTTTGCGATAACAGTGGAGTCGTAGGATAATTTAATGACGGACATTCGATGGATTATTTTAATATCGCCGTTTGATTGCAGAAAACTGCAGAATTTAGCGAGAAAATAATGACGCATGCGTATATGGGGGTTAGTCGATTTTTGATGCCAGGCATCGACTAACCCCCATCTGCGCATGCGTCATTATTTTCTACAGATACAACACTAGAACACCAGATACATTGTATAAAAGACATTTACCCTAGAAATAATAATTATGACTGAAAATAAACAATAAAAATATGAAATTGGAAGACAATAAAAACATGAATGAATAAAAATAAACAATAATTCAATTATATTAGCTTCTTATATACATACTTACCCATTTAGACAGTATCTACTACTGTGAAAACTGATATTTCAAGCAAAACTAAGTTAGTTTTCGGGCACTACACCTGATTTCAAAATTTTCTGAAAATCCAGGATTTATAATTAGTCTAAGATTAAATAATTCCCTGTTAACAGTAGTATTTACATAAATGTTGTTAGTATACATGTATATTGAGGACATATACAACATACCTTACCTATCAGTAATTTTTTAAAGATACATGTATATTCTAAAAATAAAATCATAGTACCATCTGATGTTCTTGGACAAAGAATCTGCATACATTACCAGGAAATTTGAATAAATATCAAATGATGAAAATCATTCTTATTCAAAGAAAAATATGCATAAAATATAAAGAAACATGTATTTTATACTGATATATCCTCAAAATTTATTTTGGAAGAGTTATACAGCATCATATATAGGCATTGTAAGTGTCAAACACAGGTCCTTCAATCATCACGACTCTTTGACTACAGAAAATAAAGCTTAAACTACACTGTACATTGGTATGTCCTAAACTGATTTGTCAGTCCATTTATAATGTTTAATATGTACTTCCCAAGATCTGCACACCCCCCCCCCCCAACACACACAAAATTCCTTTCCATCCACCCCCTCCCACACAGACACAAAATTAAAATTCCTCCCATACACTCCAACCCCTCATGCGTACACAAAATCCCTTTCTATCAAGTTCACAACTAAATGGTAGATTTACAATTACATGTATTTGGATGTTAACTTTGATGCCTAGATTTTTCGGGTAAGTTGTTTCAAGCCCTGAAGAGGATTTGAAGATGTCAATAGTCTAACATAACCCTGGCCAAAAAAAATTGATTCTATTTTTTCACTACAAAAAAAGAAATCTTTTTTTTTGCAGCAATTACATGTAGTTTGTTTCACAATCCTTTTGCTGTATTCACACCTTTGCCTTAAGTAAGAGTGTCTTACTAGATTAATTAATGCACACTACAAAATGAATAAGATAAACTTGTTTTACTTGCATTTTCAGCTGAGTTTATTGCAATGTATTTCACACTAAAAATAAAACTGGTTTTACCTGTATTGGATTGATATAAATGGTTAATTGCTATGTAGTTATGCTATCATTCATGGCATTTTTTTCCCAGCAAATACTCAAAATTTATCTAATTGAAACAAATGTCGGTCATAAATCCATAAGATTTCCATTTACCCCTTTGCACAAAATTTGTGTATATTTAGCATTGCTTAGGATTTTGGAAATTTTCATCTTTTTGAGGGTGGAGTGGTGTGAGGTCATGATTTGAACAAACCTGAGTCTATGGCTCTATGCTCTCAGGAAGCTTTCACATAAGTTTAATCTCCTCTGGCCCAGTGGTTCTTGAAAAGATTTTTTAAATGACCACACCCAATTTTCATATCTAAATTACCAATTGCACAAAATGTGTTTTTTTTTTTCACATATGGTCAGATTCTGATGGATCTAATGCAAAATTTTAACAATTTCATTCATTGGCTGTTCTCCTGATACCTGATTAGCCTAAAGCACACAACATATACATGACAACAAGTTACTGGGTATTATGTAGAGGTTTGATAATATGCTGTCTAATTAAACTGTAGTAGGCAGGGCTAATAACTGCACTTCACATACTACCCTACTTTTCACTGTATCTTTTTAATATGTACATTTCTCAAGAATCATTGGACACAATATGCTCCAAACAAAAAAGAGGCAGTCATTGATAAAGAAAGTAAAAATTAAAAGGTTATGCTACTTTAATCTGGAACTATTTGCCCCTGTACCTGTATAATTTCTCGTACTTGTACATCTTTTTTCATTAAAAATAATCAATTATAGCTATCATGTGATTTAGCAAAATTAAATGTAAAGATATAACAAACAGTAATTAAGCTCAAATTATCCAACCAAACAATACAAATTGTGAGCATAGAAAATATGGAACTCTTAAAGCAGAGGTGGGATCAGGTGCAAGGAGGAGAAAGCATCCCCTGTCCACTTGTCACACCTGCTATGTGCTCACTGTCATGATTGGGTAAATGGAAAAATATGTAGACAATTCAGTGTGAAAATAATGGGCTAACCATTCATATTTTCTTATTATATCCTTAAAAAAATATTCACTGAACCACTGTCATGAGCTGTAGACTTGAAGTTTCTTTTGATAGAATAATATCCTTAATTTTCACTATATCGCGGGTTCCATTGTATCTCAGTATTTTCCAAAAATTAGGATATATAGCTCATATCCTTTTTGTTGATGGACTATCTGTCTGTCGTCTGAATGTTGACTATTGTGATGATTAAAAAGTATGGAACATCCATTGGAAAATTTTTTATTCAAATGAAACGTAATTTTACAGATTTCCATTCCCGTTTTTATTTCATTCAGACCATTGAATTTATAACCCAATAATAAAGTTATAAATATAATAATAAAGTTCATATTTTGAAAGTCTTAAGTTTGTATTACTGTTTAGTTTTCTTGTAGAATTACATCATATTAAAAATAAAAATTGAAGTCCATTTAAACTACAAGCTTCCATGTTTTCCCATGCCGCGATACAATGAGACTCCAATTAAGGAGGTAAATAACACTTCCTGTTTTAAAAATAGACTAAAAATTAAATGATGCAAGCTTGGAAAATAATTTGACACTAAAAAGTTAGGCCATAGTTAGGTTTATGAATATCATTTGATGAAAGGTTGAAGTAAAAATTTGGAATTACACTTTTTATGCAAAAAAAATTAAGTACTGCGATATAATGAGACACTAGTATACAAATTAAAATCTTGTACTTTGGGCCATCATTAAAAATATCTTTGTTTCCCCTAACCCAACCCTAAAATCTGAAGTTGGGTAGGTAGGTAGGTAGGTAGGTAAATAATTTTTTTTCCTGACAGCAGCTTTGAAAATACATTCTGATTTTCTGATAAGAACGGGTTTTCATGAAATTGTATTTTATAAAAGTTGACAAACATTAAAAAAAAATATTGGAATAATCTTCTTAAACAAAACTTTTTAGTCGGCGGGATTTAATTGGGTTGGTCGCCTTAGGATTAAACAAAGGTATTTTTTATTTTGGCCTTGTGTGTCTGTGCTAGCTTCTTTGATTTGACTCCATGGCGCCCCTCAACCAATCAGCTTTAAAAAGGTCAGCTAATGAGTGAGGTCATTGCTTAAAACATCTATGATCATGATGATTGCGTTAAACTGTTCAATTCAGAATAAGAGGCAGCTTTATGCAATTACAAACTGACTACTTTGATATGAAAAAAAAAAATTGAAATCATTGAATAACTACATCGGTAAATGTGCTGATTGCACTGGACCTGCATAGGACAGAAATTTGAACTGCTAAATTTGAACTGTCCAATAATTTTGTATATAATCCAGGGGACCTATATACTTAATACATAGGTCTCTGATAACCTTAGGCATCATGCTTTTGTTTAATCAGACTGTAGTGTAGGAGAGAAGGTTTGTCAAGTCTTAATTTTGTGCATTAGGGGAGAAACGAAAGAAAATACAAACCCAACAAAGGAAGTTGAAGAAGAAAAGAATATACTTCACAACAGGGCTCACGAAAGAGTCAGCTTCACCGCACCAAGCCATTTTTATCAACTCATATGGTAGTTCCTCTCACACACAAATCAATCAAGTTGTTTTCCTTCGATGTATATATTGTATTCCAAACCCGATGTAATTTTTTTTTATTAGCTCGCCCGGAACACATATGAAATACACGCAATTATGTATTCGATTATGAGTTTGCACAGAAATTTTTTTTCTAACAAACTGGCCTGTAGGAAACAGTTTTACTTAGAAAGGGGCACCACTTAATTTGTTGACAATGATTTGAGGAAATGAGCATTTACATAAAATAAGAATGCTTGAAAAGTATAATTATTTTCATAAGGAGATGGGCGAACATAGCGTGCAGAAAGCCTATAGCTTCAGAAATATAAAAATCATGTTCAGTTTGTGAATTTAATATTTAGAGTAAAGTTCTCATTATTGAAATTTATGAAATTGTGATGAACAAAATTTTTCTGGGGAAAATTTTCTCGGCAAAATTTATTCTTTTATTAAAAAAATTAATGTGGTGTTTGTGGGGTTCGAACCCTAGCAATAAAAATCCAGAGTATCATTTTCTTTCGAGACTAGCACACTAACCACTAGACTACACGAGTCCTGAAGAACAGTGGCATTTAAATCATGTTTGTGATATGACCCTTGACTTAATGGACTTCAAGTATTTCTCGAAAAGATGCGAATGTTATGTCATAAAAGTATATTTTAAGGTATAGTGGGTCATTGCTCCATACTTTTGGTAACCAAAAAATGTATATTTTTATGCAAACTTTGAGGATTAACTTTCAAAAAGGTGGAGCGAAGACCCACTCATATCGAAAAAATAGTGTTATAGTATGCGAAAATGACTCTTTTTGCCCGCTTTAGTGTGTGTCTAATATTTCACAGGCAAATAATTTCAATCTTTGAGGGATTTTCGCAAATTGTAGAGATTTTACATAAAGTATATTTTAATGTTAAATGAAATATCAAGGAAAATTTTAATATAATTGAAATTTAATTTTTCATCTTCATGTTTGTCACACTATAGGCTTATTGCTTGTCATGTTCACCCATCTCCTTTATGGCATTCCTGGCTTTGAGATACAGTCAAACCTCATTATCTTGAACTTGATGGGGCCAAGAAAACAATTTGAGATATCCAAGGATTCAAGATATCCAGGGTAAAATACTTAAAGAATATCACTTTGACATAGTCAGGTTATTCAAGATATCTGTGTTTGAGATATCGAAGTTCAACTAGCTGTACATTTATACACATTTTTTATGTAAAACTTTAAACTCTGTTTTAATCCTCCTTTGGTCCAGGAAACCATGATTTGAACAAATTGTTTTTGCAAAACGTAAGGATGCCTGCAGAAAAACATCTATAATGTAGCAATGATCTTCAAAATATAATTCTTTTATTTAATTCACCATCTTCCACACTTGCATATTCTGGATCTGGGTTTCCATTTGACCTTGAGAACCAAACCTCTCATTTGATTTTTTGCCCTGCTTAACAACATTTGAGATCAGGATCGCTACATGTAAGCTAGAAATCTGTGGTTTGCTTTATCAGAAATCAAAACAATGCAAGTTCAGAAGAAAGAGCTACAGGCCATTGTAGAACAGAAAGCCTCTCAACTCTTAGATGTACTCATAAAAGTTTATAAGTTAAATGAGCTTATAAAGAATAATAAGATGAAATGACACACAGTTTAATGCAACACAAAAGTACATGTATATATATAAATTTAAAAAATATGATTTCTTATTGAGTAGAATCTATCACATTTTCCTTGCTTTACATAATATTATGAAGTGACATGTGTAATGTGTGAAGAAATCTGTTCGAGATCAACAATAACTTGACTTTATGAGGCTCATGAATGTAGTTGTGTAGTTTAAATAAGTATTACACATATACATCGTATTGAAATAATAAAGATGCCTCCCATGGGAGTAAAATCAAAACTCTTAACTGTTAGTAACTGTGCTTGCCTTGAGATTCTTCCGATATCAGTCGATTCAAACACTATAAAAAATTTACAGATTTACAGAATTAACATCATATTGTACTATTATTTATAGATGTACAAGACGATCACCTTACACACTTTATAAAAGTATAAAATCTTCATATCTTCACATATTCAGCACTAATCAAAACAGAGAACAGGAACACCTAATGGATACACTGAATACACTGTGGTGTATATAGGTAATATAAATATTCCACATCTACTCTACATCTATAAAAGCATAAATGCCTATCCTAATATCTGGATAAAGCACCCTCTTTCCTTCTTTTATAACTTATTTTGATACGGTTATAGAAAATCCCTATACTTTCCACCCCCCTTCCTTTACATTTCTTATTTTACAACACAACATAACTATGGAAAAAAATGTTTTCTTGCTTATTCTTCAGTAACAACTTCTAGTTTATTCTTCCATAAATTAAAGCTAGGTTTAAGATTACCCTGATTATAAACAAGGACATTTTCTCTGTGTACTAGGTAGATTTTAAGTAATGAAACGTTAACATTTAATATCAATCTGAATCCGCATAGATACCAAAGACAGTATAAGTAAATAAAATGCCAAGACATAAACAATAAATATATCTTTCTATTTTTAGTAGTGGTTTAAAATGAGAAAATAAATCCCGATCCTAGAACTCCTGATCTGACTCCTCTGAATCCCACTCACATGCCTCCACTTCATCAAAATCCACCTGTACATCGTACTGAAAGTCCGGATCACCTGGCTTCTTCACATGCTTTTCAAAAGTGTCCTCCATTAAAGACTTTTTTCTTCTGAGTGTTTCATCATCCACTTTATTTAGATCTTCCTCTGGGTCTAGCCTGTCAATCTCATCATTCTTTGCTAAACTGTCTTCCAGTGACATCCCACTTAGTTTGTCCCTGATTATGGCTACAAGTCTGTATAGCTGAAACTTTGGCATGCATTTCACAAACTTAGCATGTCTTGGATTTGTCAACAACTCATCAACAGTGGCATCCACACTAGAATTCTTATTAAAATTCCGTAGAGGCATTGTTCTACGGTGCATCTTGCCTGAGGCTTTGATGAGGTAGTTTAAAACTAAGGCAGGAGGGGAAAATTTCACTCCACATCTCTTTACTTCTATTCCATCTCCCATTCTGTGAATATCAAACAAAACATGTACTAGTCTACACTGGGTTATCAAGCCAAAATAATAAATTGCATGCATGTGCTCAATAAAAGAGCCAATTTTTAAATATTAAATTTCCTAATTAAGTAAGTAAATACTACCTGTAAAGTATTAGTTCAAACCTCAAGCATAATTAATTACTTGTACCATAACCTAAAATATTAAGGTCAAATAATAGCTGGGGCCAATAGCCCCACTCTTAATAAAATGATGAGGCCATTTTGAAATTTTTGGGGCCAAGAGAAAAAATACATGGGGCCATTTTAAAATATATCATAGTATGATGCGCTGATAATGCATATAACTCTGACAATAAAATTTAGGAAAATAAAAAAAAATGCAATAGGAATTGACAAATCATTGTACATGTATCTGACACTGACTTACAAGTAGAAACGATTTTTCTGTTTCTAAGAACTTTTAAAATCATTAATCATCTAACACAGCAAGTATTTCAAAAAATAATATAAGACAAAAGCACCAAAAAATTCTTTTTTAATTACCAATTCACAGATTGAGGGACAGGCCAAGATGCACAGACTTCATTGATAATTTGGTATTTCTTTGTAAGGTAATCTTTTCCATGTGTGTGACTTCCGTAAAGTAAAAATTGTGAAGCTATGGGCAGCCATCCAAAACGACTTGACACTTATGAACCATAATTGATACATGACATCCCAAACTTCGATGGAGAATATTGATAGCAATGAACTTAAAAACTAGAAAATCCTTCTTGCCCACATTTTGCAAAATTTTTTGGGACACGCTGCATGGTGCAGCACACTTTTATTGCATTGCAAAATTTTTCAACTGTATGCGCATATGGTGCAAGGTGCGACCCCTTCCCAGGCCCTGAAACATACTATGCAATCTGCTTTGGATAATGCAAAAGTAATAGTACCAAACTTGCATTAATCTCTATATTCTCTCAATGGGGTATTAAGCTCATTTCCATCCTTCATTATTACTATTGATAGTAATGATAGCATTAATTCACAAGACCAAATTCTCGCTAAAAAATTATCCAACAAGCTAAACCAAATCTGACATCAGAGAATTTATAGGGCTGCAATGAATAATTACAGTGCACATGAATTGCAATGCAAACCATTCAATTCAATTTAATTCAGTTCAACATCTTAAAATTACGACTCGGTTCATGTTTAAAAAAAATCAATGTGTTTTTTTTCTTTACAATTTGTAAGTGGCTAACGCCAGTGGTTAAATCTCTGGAATTTGGATTAAAACTCCAAAAGTAAACCTTAATTATGTCCCCATCGTGGATATATTTTGGCCTGAAAGAAAACAGAAATGCTATGAAAAGTATGACCGAAGAACTGAAAATGGAACCAAATCATGAGGTACCTGAATCATTGCACTGATTGCAGCCCTATAAAAATTATATGAATTTTCAATGAAAAAATATGGAATTCTGTACAAAATTGCATTCTCTACTTTTAATTTATGGAAATGCAACAGCATAAGATCAGGGACCTATATACTAACAGGATAAGCAACTCCTTCAGTGCCATGTTTACTTACCCAAAATGTCACACACAACATTGCAAGTTTTTCAAACTAGTACTTGTATGTTTTTTTCCAGAAAAAAAAACTTGTTTTCTGATTAATGTAATCTGTTCTTTTTGTGAATCAGAATGGATTTTTAATAAATTTTGAAGCACACATTATAAAACAATTTAAATATCAAGTAGAGAACCACAAAAATCGGCGAATTCTCAGAAACATGGCCAATCAAGGGCATCACTGATTTTTAAATAAACGTTATTACTACTAAGACAAGGAGTAAAAACAGTGCTAAGAACAATTCTTGAATAATTTTTTGATAGATAAATTAAGGTTTTATTCTGAAATATTTGATAGCAAAAGAGATATATTTAATTAAAATTGACTTACAAAATACCACAACTTACAAGATATCGTGTGACTTGTGAGAATTGCCTATCCCGTTAGTATATAGGTCCCTGATAAGATGAATGATGTGCCATCACACTGGTGACAGGCTAGACTTAGTGTATCCAACCTATAACCTTCCAATGTAATGTGCATTTAATAAGAGGGTGATCTAAGTTAAAAGTGTATATATATTGAAGATGAATTTCATTTTCTATTCAGCTGCCAAAAATACAATAATCATAGGTTAACTTTTGAAAGGAATTTGTTGATTTTTTTTCAAGGGAAAATATCAAATATGTCTAATACTAAAAAAGTTAAGCTCTGCTTTAATAGGCAATGCCCTGAAATACTGAAAATAACACACTCACTTATTAAAAAATGTCATATATCTAGAAATAATTGTAGTACATATTAACTATTGTACAAATGATTGTATGATTTATGCATATCTTCACATTCTAGAATATTGTTTAAATGTATGAACAATTGATGATTCTTGTATGCTGTGCCTTTGCCAATTATTGTAATTGTGTTTGCACCAATAAATATTGTATTGTACAATATTGTATATAAAGTAAAAGGTTTTTTGATGTGTATCCACATCAAAAAATAAACTCCTCAGAACACTCACATGTGGAACATATAATAAATCTGTAAACTTTTGTATAATATCTTGATTTTGTTATTTTATTAAGATTTAAATGAGACTTTGCTATTAGATAGACACCCCCCCCCCAAAAAAAAACCCCCTCATTCATCAAAGTGATATGACTTTGTTTAGCAAAAATAAATAATGAATAAATTATTTTGAAATGGTTTATTCCCTGCCAATTATTTTCGATCGAAGGATTCTGTGACATATCACAGAGTAGAATAGGTGTGGTTAAAATATTGATGCATTACTGCATTACTGAGGAAATTCAAGTTAAAAATATTGGAAGATGTAAAATGGCAAATATATTGCATATAGAACAGCAAATATAACTTAAATGTTTTGAATTATTGCACAAAATTAATCAGCATGCAGAATACAAGTTGTAAACAGTGCACCTACTCGATAATGTTAAATGTGCACCTGCAGAAAGTTTCACTTTCCAACTTTGACGTCCATGTTTAAACAATTTTAGGACGCATGCGGACTTTTTTTTGTAGAAACTGATCTAATCGATAAATCAAAATATTATTGGTTCAATAGATATTATAAAGAAAGAAATCTTTATTGAAAGAGCATTTTCAATTATATCACTCTGCAACAAAATCAAAAAATATGGTATAAGATTTATAACAAGTGGAATACTTGAATTTTTACGTGAAAATGAAAACATTAATTTATCGGCTATTTTCAATCGCGCATGCGTCCTAGCGTACCGCCTTTACCAATATGGTGGACAAAAGCACATCGGAAAATTAGTGAGCATATTTTTCCATCTTATTAAGCGTAAATTTCAACGGTTTTATATATTTGAAGAGCTCATATGATTTTAATTTTTATTTAGATTTTTTTACCGCCCTAAACACACACACAAGTCAAGGAATAATTGAGTTACAAGGAAAAATGTAACGTGATTTTTGATATAAATCACAATGTATAATCTAATAAGAACATAGCTGCAATAATGTAGCCCTCTACGATTTTTTTTAATCTGATATTTTCAGGAGAGGGCTACAATTCCACTGCATCTCCGTAATGGTGCAAATATATTTTTAGATACGGGCGACTGCAAAATAAATTGTTTTTGCATTTAACTTACTTCCAATAAGACGGAATTTTTATTTACTATCAACAACATAGCCCTTCATACGCGAAAACCAAGTAAAATAAATCTGCGTGTTTACCAGAGGCCTGTTCAACAGGGCGAACGTTCGCGAGCGCTCGCGAACATATCTGTTGGAAAGATAAGGAATATTGGCGAGCGCTCGCGAACGTTTGCTCTGTTGAACAGGCCTCAGTTGTTCTGCTCAGCAGCCATGACAGTTCTCGCGTGATGTACTGAGACATGCGACAGGACCTATATACTAACGGGATAGGCAACTCTCGCAATATCTCGTAAGTTGCGTGATTTCATAAGTCAATTTTAGTTAAATATATCTCTTTTGCTATTAAATATTTCAGAATAAAATCTTAATTTATCTATCAAAAAATTATTCAAGATTTGTTATTAGCACAGTTTTTACTCCTTATCTTAGTAGTAATTACGTTTATTTAAAAATCAGTGTGTGTCCCTAATCGGCCGTATTTCCGAGAAATTGTCGATCTCGGTGGTTGTTTACTTAATATCTAGATTATTTTATAATATGTGCTTTAAAATTTATTAAATATCCATTCCGATACACAAAAAGAACAGATTACATTAATCAGAAAACAAGCTTTTTACTTGGGAAAAACGTAGTTAGAAAAACTTGCAGTGTTGTTTGTGCCGTTTTGGGTAAATAAACATGGCGCTGAAGGATTTGCCTATCCCGTTAGTATATATAGGTCCCTGCTTGCGATTGAAATTTAGAATCACTTTATTAGGTAAATGTTGGTGTATATAAATCTTTGTGTTGTTTGGTATAACTTAACATCGATAAATAAAAGCATCCCACATGATATTTTTTCATAAACATTGATATTTATGCTTAAAATAAGGGAAATCCTAATAGGTCCGCTCCCCTAGATCCCGAATTCTCATTGGTTGTCCCAAAATAAAATCGATCAAGGTCAGTAAACAAGGCGGATAAATTCAAAATGTGATGTTGACATACACGAAAAATAACCAATATACGGATTGTTCTGTAAATTTTTGGATCAATTCATGTTTTGCATAACTACATTTTATGAGTTCAGGTAAGATATGTTAATAAAGTACCCACTAACTGATAATTTGAGCCGAAATCTGTGAGGTAGAATCACTCCCGCACTTGCACCATTACGGAGATCCTAAGGAGTTGTAGCCCTCTCCCCCCCCCCCCCCCCCAAAAAAAAAATCGGAGAGGGCTACATTATTGCAGCTAATAAGAACAGTGTCCTGATGATAGAAGAACAGCTTTGTCACAATCCAAAAATTGGAAAATGTTAATAAGTCAAATTCTAGTGAATGTGGTTATGGTGGGAAATAAAAGCTGTGGATCACTTTATTTATTTTTCAGAAATTTATACTGTTTTATGCTTAGTAACAGAAAATAATGAACAGGTTCCACTTTTTATTTGCATTTTCTATTCAAAGCACCATGTGGCCAATGCTGTTGGACATGAGCAAAGAAGAATGCAAGCGAATATTGAGGAGAATGGAGTTGGAGGCGTACAGCTCTATTGTTTCAGCTTTCAGAGCACAGGGCGATCTCACAAAAGATAAGAAAAAAATTCTTCAGGATCTTCAGTCCACTTTAAGGTAAATTATGATACTATTTCACAGAATTGCAGAAAACAAAAACATCTTTTAAATAAGACAGTGTCTTACTCTTTTTACTTCTCTTTATTGTAGTATCTCAACAGAGAGACACAGAGCTGAAGTCAGAAGGGCTGTTAATGATGAAAAATTAGCCACCATTGCTGATCAGTACGTTATTGAAATTTTTTCTGCCCCATGGGCTACTTTTGGGCCAAAATAGAGGGCAAAGTTTTACACAAGAAATATGAAACTTCTTTATGAGCAAGAAGACTAGAATTTGTAAGCTTGACATTAAGCTTCAGTGTACTTAACAAATTGCTGAAATTGTGGTCTTTAAGAAAATAATAGCTTCTAAAAGGGTTTTCATTTATCCACGTTTATTTGCAAGAAAGGTAATTAAACTCAGTTGCGTGTTGCAGCACTTTTGCTTATTGTAATTTTGGCCTTAATGTAGTGGTTTCTTAAAAAAAGAAACCTTTATGAATTTTGTTTGAATTAAGACTGTGTTTATAATTTTAAAGCATGTGTGGACCTAGCACAGATGCAGAATGGATGATCGAGGGGAGGAGACTAATTCCTCTGATGCCTCGTCTTGTGCCTCAAACGGCATTCACGGTGACAGCCAACCAGATGGCTAATCTACAAGCAGAAAAAAATGCAGCTATGCCAAGTCCATCTAGAACAGGCAGTAAAGACTGTAAGAAATAAATGATGTACTAAATCAGAATATTTTCAACTTGTCTAACTTGAAGCTAGCATAATGAATTCTTTCAAAATTGCAGTAAGCAGCACCTCCTCTAGTCCACCGACTCCTGTTAGTGGTACTGTCACCAAGGTAACAAGACCATCCAGCCCAAACTCTAATGTGGTGGTATTGCCAAGTGGAATGTCTATTCACATCAAAGGTATTTTAAATTTTCTTTAGACTGATTAAAACTTCATTTTTCATCAGTAAAAATTTCAAATTTAAGATAGTGACATTCACAAAATCTTGTAGGTGGATTAAACACAGAAGATGAGGAAGAATTGCCTGCAAGAAAGAGAAGAAGAAGTCAGTCCTCTTCAGAATCTATTAATATTGTGTCTCCATCAGCTGGTACACAAACTCCAAGGGTCACGTATTCCACTACAGCAAGTTCAGCTTCAGGGATGTCCCCTGTCAAAATCACCATCAGCAAGAGTCCCCAAACACGCCCTCAAGTCACATCTTCAACCAGCCAGTCACAAAAGGTTTGCTCTGTTCAATAGCCAGGGGAAAATTTTGTTGCAAAATTAATATATTTGATGCAAAAAGAAGAATTTTTATGACCATACAGTGGCCTGCAAAGAATGTCAGCAATCTCACAGATATTAAGTTTTATATGCACATCTATTTAATGATGAAATATAGTTTCAAGTTTTTTGGGTGATAGAAATGTTTCTTATTGTCCCCCGCTTTCGCAAAACAAGGGGACATTAAATCTCATTTGTCTGTCACAAAAACTACCACCGTGGTCATAACTTTTGAATGAGAAAAGAGAGAGCTCTCATATTTCACAAATTTGTACATTACCTCTGACGAGATCTTTGCAAATGTGCGATGGTTTTTGACACCTTGACCTTGAAGTTTGACCTGCTTTTCAAAAATTTTGACATTGATGATAACATTTGAATGAGAGAAGATAGGGCATTTATCTCTTACATATGCATTACTTGTGACAATCCCTTTCCAAATATGTATAATTTTTGAACCCATGACCTTGCCCTGGAAGTTCTGACCTGCTGTAAATCCCTTTTTTTTTTGTGAAAACTTTATTTTTGTGTAATTAAGAAAATCAGTCTGCTCCCGAAAATTTCATTCTGGCTTATATTTTTATTAGTATAGATTATATACAACAACCAGAGTTCACCAAGATTCTGTCTTGCTTATAAATTGCAAAAATAAGGTGTCACAAAAATTTTGTGATGTACAGTACTTTTCAAAGATTTTTAAGATTGGTGATGAAAATTTATAATGAGAGAAGATAGGGTGTTCATATTTGGCATGTGCATTACCTGTGACAAGACCTTTCCAAATGTACATATGTACTATGTTTTTTGACCCCATGACCTTAATCTAGAAGTTTGACTTACATATCAAAAATGTTTAACTTTGGCTGTAACTTCTGCTCCAGAAGAGACAGGGCTTTCATATTTTTTTCACATACATGTGCATTACTCGTGACGACCTTTTGGATAGTATTTTGATATTTGATCTCATGACCTTGATCTTGAAGTTTGATGCCGGTTCAAGAAACTTTGCTGTAACTTTCAAAATTCAAAAATTTAAATCTTTTTTGTATGATGGACAGCCAGGACACATAGGCAAGACAGTTACAATTTACCATAAATGATTCCATCCCATCCACTAAGACACTGAAAGCAGGAGTCCACAATATACTGAATTTGCTTATTAAGTTCTATATGATAAAGGTGTGTGACATAATAACCAGTGACAGTGCTACCTACATGTATCCCTCTACAGGTTATCCTTGTATCCAGTTCTGGGCAAGCATCATCATCCAGCATTTTACATCAGAAATCAATCACAGTCCCTGTGGTTAAAACAACCAGTTCTTTGGGAGGAACATCCAATCAGAAATCTAATATCTTACCAAATTCTGGATCTTCATCCAATGGAAATCTTGGAAACATTGTTACAGTGGCAACTCCCTTGTCATCAACTTCATCTTCAAGTAAGGAATAAAAGTAGATGACAGAGAATATGAAGTTTTTAGATTAGATCAACAGATACATTTATATCAGATGGATTGTTTATTCGTCAGTAACATTCATCCTCACTGATGAACAAGCACAGAAACATTATTGACAAGCAAAATAGGGTTAGTTACATGTACTGGTCATCAATTTGGTGCACTTGAGATACTGTAACATACTTTTTTTCAGCTATAATTCTGTCATTTACTTGATCCTCAGAATAATTATTTAAAGTTAGAATCTACTGTGAAATTCAACCACCGGATATATTTTAAGAAATTCAAGCAAAGAGTGAATGATGATAATTATTTACATTGTTGATTATTCTGAAGACATCCTCAGGACATTTCACTTTCACAACTTGGGAGTTTGATTTATGCTGAACAATTTTCATTACCAGCAATTTTAAATGCATTTTTGATTGATGGGTTTACTAAAACATGCAAGACACTACCATATTTATGTTCATTGTTCTTAATTAATGCTCTTTTATTTTAAAATATTTATTTACTATATTTATTTTAAACAGTGTATTAAGAGCATGAACATCTAAATGTTTCAATGGTTAGCATTGTGCTTAGTGTTATGGACCTTCTGCTAATCATGCCTGCAGGCAATTAAACTGCAGATGTTGAAAATACCTATCTACCATGAACTTTGAAAATAATATGTATGGAGCAAAAATTTTTACCATAATGTCAAATTCAATCAAAAATTGAAAATGTTTTGTTTTACCAAAATAAAATGCACGTAATGAAAAGAAGAAACAAAAGATAAACACCAAGGCTTCTTAACATTGTTAAAAATCATTCACATACAAAAAATTTTTTTTAAAAGAATTCACAAGTCTGTGTGCTGCATATTGCATTATTTTATTGCTCTTCTGTATTTTACAAAATCACTTTCAGACTCTACATCCACAGCTGTCACGACATCAACTATGACCTTCTTGACCCCAACTGTCAGTATTCAGAAACCTCGCCCAAAAACAGTTCCAAGACAGAGATTTCCTGTGGTAAGAATTTGTAAATCTTTTCTTAAATGAAACAAGCACTTCTTGTGATGATCATTGAAGGAAAATGGTGTGGATCAACTACCATAAAATCATTAATTGAAATTATATTTTCATTGACCGTATTTTTCATGTATAGTACATGTATGTATAGATAAACAGGAACTTGACCCCAGATTTCACCTTTTACAGAGCCAGGGTCAGCAGAAGCCTGGAGTAGTCATACCAATGGGGCCGCAGCCTGTACAGCCCTCTCCCCAGTCTATGCAGAACATTCAGATAAAACCTGTTGGCAAGTCCCCCTCCACAATTCAGATTAGGCAGGAGGGAGGTAAGAAAAGCAAATATTAAACTTTTCTTTACTTTTCAAAAGAAATATTCTGTATGATTTGGAAAAGGAAATTTTCTGGGAAATCATGAATTACATGTAATAGCAAATTATATATCTAGAAAACAAAGAATTGATTCATTGGTGAGAGTGGGTTAACCATAAGAATGTGAAGTATCTAGTTAGACAAACTTTAATATGTTACAGGTATGAAGATAATTACTCAGAGTTTCCCAGGGTCTGGTGGAAGTAAGATTCTACCTAAGCCCACTCAGCTCCCTACCAGTTCTGGTACACCAGTTGTCGTCGTTAGTCCCGGATCATCCACTTCATCAAATGTCACCATGGTCACCAAACCCATCACATCCATCGGTATTGTAATCAGAATTAAATTTATCATGCCTCATATATATGTAGTAGTGTTCCTGTTGGAATGAGCCAAGTGTCATGATAATAGTGTTGAATGTTACAGTTAACTGGAGAAAAAGTTTGTATGGTGTTTTGTTTTGAAATATTTAGAAAAATTGTTTTCATTTGAAGGTCAAGCTGGGACAAAGATTTTGAACATAACGACTCAAGGTGGGAAGGTGATTTCTACAGGAACAAGTCGTGGACCAAATGTTGTAACAGTGAATCCTAAAACACTCCACTTAACAGCCGTGAAATCAGCAGCGGGAGGAAGTAAGTGTGAATGTCATACCTCTTATAGAAGAGTCTGTTTGGAATATTTTGATGTTTCTTAGGGTCCAGAGTTTATGTTTGTAAGGGCCAAAAGAGGCAGGTGCCGGGCCCTATTTGCAGTGATAGAAATGTAAGGTTCCCAAAATTACCTATTAAAGGAAATTCCCAAACGCAATGGGAATTTTTTTGCAATGGGAAAGGCCAAGACCTTTGTTATTAATAAGTAAAAAAAAAATTGAGTCCCCTGTATGTACACCATGTATTTTAATTTAATGAGGCAAAGCAATGATTAATAGTTTTTCTTCATCCACTGAAGATGTGTTGGAGATGTTTTAAATGGTGTATTTTTTCCTTTTCTGTTTTCAAACAACCAATTTACATTATCTTAGGTGGAAAGCCCAATGTTATTGTTGTACAAAAGACCCAGCCCCGGCGACTTTCAGGAATGCCCACTTCTACCGCAAGGGGAACAACTGTCATTTCTAGTCCATTTGAAAAGGTCTGTAGTTGTTTATTGTTATTAAGATATTACCCTGTTCTGCTCGTGTTAAAATTTTCTAAGGCCTAAGGGGTAAATGTTAAATTTAAATGGTATATAGCAGATTTACATGTATGATTGTAATAAAGAAACTTTGTTTAACTTTTCTGACTCAGGAGTTGGTGAGTTTCCTACAGAAGCAAGACAATACTAAACACATCGTAGTAACATCACCTTCAGGTGGCCAGAGACCAATAGAAAGGAAGGTTATAGTGACCACTCCAGGGCAGCTGGAGGCCACTAGACAGGTACGTGTACATCTATCATGTACTGTAAAAAAAAACTGTTATCACTTTAAGATATATGGACAGGCATTACTTAAAAGTGACAGAATATATTTACAATAAATTTGAATTAAACAAATTATAAAAAAACATTAAAGCAAATACTGTCTTCCCTTTTGTTAGAGAGTTCGTATTGAAAATGCAGAAGGGAAGTTGATCCAAGATCTGATCCATGCAGCAAGTCAGGATTCTGAGGGAGGTGGTGACGTCACTATTAACCTGGACGAAGCTACCCTGGCTGCTCTGACGGGAAGCACTAGCAGTCAGGTATCAGAGACGGTCACCAGTAAAGGTATGTGACAGTAACACTGCACATTTTTATCTCCTCTTGTAATTTAAAGTTTATGTGATGTATATTAAGTATTTCATGTCTTAGGTGCCTCAAGTGAAAACCTGCCAAACAATGAATGGTTTGAGTATGATGACAATAACCCCTCCTTCCAGTCTGGGGTAGACCAGGCTGCTGTACAAGCCCTCATAGAACAACAGGGATCTAACAAACCAAAAGTGACAGTTCAAAGGTTAGTATAAAGTCAGATAAGCTCTCAAAGAATAACAGGGATCTATCAAATCAAAGTTGATCATTCAAAGGTTAGTTTAAACTCAGATAAGCCCTTAAAGAATAACAGGGATCTACTAAACTAAATGTAACAATTCAAAGGTTAGTATAGACACAGATTGTACTGCTGTACAAGCCATCATAAAACAACAGAGATCTAGCGACTCGGGAGGTTACTGTAGACTCGGATTATTTGTATAAGTTTGATAAGAGTAAGAGAAATGGATATTAAGGTAGTTGAAAGGGACCTTGGAAGTGGAGAATGAAGGGAGAAGATGAAGGAGGCAGAAGGGGGACAGTGAGTGATACCCTGAACCCCTCACTGCCTGATCTGTCCCCATGAGTATGTTTATTCATTTACAGGTCTGCCAGTGTGGATATTGGGCAGTTATCAGATCAACTCTCACAGCAGCAGTTCTACACAATTGGTATGATATATGTATTTGTTTTTGATTCTAACTAATGAATGATAACTAAGTACTTAAATATTGAGGTGTGAAAAGTATTTTATCTGGTATGATTTTTCTATTCATTTGAGAAACATTTTAATATTTATATATGCAGAGATTTGGGGGCATATAGTTTTTGGCTTGTCTGTCAAACATGTTTTTGGCCTCATGACCTTGATTTTTGAGTTTGACCTACTTTTGTCAAACTTTAACCTTTACCATAATGTGTGAATGGTTGGTATTAGGGCTTTCATATTTCACATGAGTATTTCTTTTGCCAAGAGCTATCTCTGGGTACCAACTTTTTTGACCTCATGATCTTGAACTTGGAGTTTAATCTACTTTTGAAAAACCTTAATTTTGGCCATGAGCTGCCATATGGTGGCAACAATGTTTCACACCCACATCTTTTTTCATGGGAATATTGTAGAACAAGCCATGAAGATTCTGAATAATCCAGAACAGAGTGAGGCAATGATGTTGGAAGAGGTAATTGAAGATGCTAAACCAAAAAGCTAGTACAGCACTAATCTTACTGTAAATCATTTTTGCATGAGCAGGAACTTTATATAATTATGCCACACAGTATAAAAATCTGCCAGATATACATTTATTAGCTTGTTTAATTTGCTATTGAGAAGGAAATGGTGTAAAATGTCTTGTGCAGTTAAAAGTTCCATGACCAGCTTCAGTGACACAGCACTGTCAGTGTACAAGAAGTAAAATGTTTCAATGAAAAGTTAATCGATCTGATTTTATTTTGTTATTGTCTGTATATGAATTTCATTCTCAAATATACAATGTACTTCAATATTTTTAGAGCCAGGAATCCACATCAGAAGGGAATGTTGTCATAGAGACAGTAAATACATCACAGAGTTCTGACATTACATCACAGAATGAGTTGGAACAGATAGCTCGTAACCTGAACCTCCAAGGGGAGCTGGATCCACAAACAGGGATATTTTACACAGTGACAAATGCAGCTGGTCAGACTGAAACCCGCAGGCTAACAACAGAATCCAAGGTTGTCACAGAGAGTGCTCCCCAAGGGGAGGCAACCCCAGGCTCCAAAGCATATGATTTGTTAAGCAGTTCCCTGGCTCAGGCACAGATTGACCTGGATCCTTATCAGTTCATTGAGGAGGATGTACTTTCTGACAAATCTGCAACAGGAAGTCAGGCTGATAGTGGGGTTGTGGGTAAGATAAAACACAACATTCAATTAATTTCTTCAGTTAAATTTTAACATGACTGCATATTTTTGTATTATGATGTATAGTAAGAAGATGACCAAGATCAGTGCTGTTGAAAAATACAGATTAAAATAATCGATTGAAATTAAATGAATTTTAAGATTTTTAAAAATCAGATTTTTTTCCTGTTTGTGTATTTTCATGAATACATACATCAATCAAATTGCACATTTGTATTAATGAAACATGTTAATGGGACATTTTCATGTTCTTTGAGTGGATTATTTACAGTATAAGAATTTAATCCTTGCCTGAATTTCCACAGAGATCCCATCTTCTGGAGAGGTCTCGGCTGACACAACAATAGAGAATGTGGTGGTGTCTGATAGCAGTGAGCCCACCACTAGTGCCGCCCTCCACACCACCACACTGAACACCACCACAATCAGGATCAAACCCGGCAGCAGCTTCATCCCTATACAGGATGTGGCTAAATCTTCTACCATCAATGTTACACAGGAACAGGTAGGACTTGGGTTTTACTTCATTCATGGTAGTGGATAAAAACTTTAAAAAAAAAAAGCATTGAAATTAATAATTAATTGATTTCAAGTAATTGCATGAGATATTCAGTTGTCACTGAATATTACAGACTATTATTTGAGATATTTTTGGGTCTGTTGGTTAGACCAGAACAGCTTATGCATTGCTTATGTGTCCATTCCTAGTTTGTTAAAACAGTTTACATAATTATAGGAATAAGTTTGACCTGATACAAATTTAGAGTACTTCTGGACATGTACATGTTTCAGCCAAACTTGAATTTCAATGTACAGTCTTGATAATGTTATTGAAAATAGAATGTAAAAATAGGCTTCTTTGATAATTTCAGTCTGACTAAGTCTGGTATAAATATAGATTACCTCAAAATATTTATTAAGGTTATTGAGTTTGCTGTAAATTATACTTTCTGTCAATAAGAAAAGGTTAAAGCTTTAAAGTTATAAATTCATTTTTCTTTTTGTTTGTTTAATAGTTTTTATTTTGTTTTTCATTAAAAAAAAAAATGTTGCTTCTTTCTTTGCAGTTTAAAAAGGGGTGTGTTCTCAATTCAGAAAGAAAATTTTAAAAATGCTAATGTTTGATCTGATCAATTTTTTTGTAAAATATTATAGGCTGAAATCATAAAAGCTGCCATCAAATCAGAATGGTTAAATCATGAAGTTAAAAATAAATACATGTATTTTTTTTTTTTTGAATGAATGAATAACATTGTGTTTTGGTGTTATATATGTTATAAGAACATTTTTGATACAGAAAATTATTTCATTTTAGGTGATTTTCTATTCTGCAACATTATGATAATTATAAACTATTTAGGAACATTAGATTTTTTAAAATATATAAATTATTCTAACTACATAATGATTTACCAATAGATAAACAGGTTATCCAGTTATAATTACTGTTATAATTACCCAATTGCACTGTCAACTGAACTAATTGCATGTGATGGTGAGAAGGTAGAGAACTTGGTACCTGTAATTAGCACCTGCTAGGTAATCAGATGCAGTATCTGCACTTACCAATGGTATTAGTGTGTAATTTGGAGGGTGTCAAGAGTAGGAGGGAGAACTCATGTAATTGGATTGTGTGCTCAGGCCAGGTATATATAGCTATCCCTCTGGCTAGGCTCATCAATCAGTTCTTCTGGCTTCTAGCACTTCAGACCTTGTGGAAATATTTTACTGAGAGCAAGAGAAGTTTTGTGAAACTGAAATCATAGGAAAAATTTTTTCCTATCTTTATCAATAATTTCAGGATTGTTTCCCTTTTTGGGAAAATTATCTGTGATATTTTTTTTTGATTTGTCAATTGAGCAAAGATGAATGGGGCTATAGTGTATGAGAGGGATTATGCGGACCATCATAATGTGGACAGGGATAATGGTTATCCCCCTTCAACAGAGCCATCTGTCATGGCCCAGGGCGAGTACCCCCCTCCTTACTTCCCTCCACCCTACACCATGCCATCTCAGCCTCCCATGGATTATCATTTCAATAACTCGTATGCTCCTGTGTCCGACTACCAGCAGCAGGAGCAGCCCTCCCAACAGGAGTTCCAGGCTATGCATGGTGGCATAGACAGAGTCCACGAGTACAAGATTCAGGATGGTGGTGCCAACATCCACAGACCAGAACCGGTGATGCCAGGAACTATCCCTGTCAACTTCAATGAACAAGGTATGATGAGTGGTGGAGTCCAGCAGGGAATGCCACCCATGAATGGAAACTACCCAATGGAGAATTACATCCCTAGAGAAATGAGAGAGATGATGGGAAACTTTGAAGCACAGTCACAGAAAAGCCTGGTAGTCCATGAGAAGGCTGGTCGCAATGATGTGGATATATCTGCAGCTGCTGCTCCAGCTGATGTTTTCTGTATGGTGGATGGAAGACTCTCCCTACTTAGCAGTACCACCAAGTACAAAGTCACAATAGCAGAAATACAGAGAAGATTGTCTCCCCCTGAGTGCCTTAATGCTTCACTGCTAGGAGGAGTTCTCAGAAGAGCCAAGTCTAAAAATGGAGGAAGATGTCTGAGAGAGAAGCTGGACAAGATTGGATTGAGTCTTCCTGCAGGTAGAAGGAAAGCAGCCCAGACAACACTCCTGACATCTCTTGTGGAAGGGGAAGCTGTACGACTTGCAAGGGATTATGGGTATTTGTGCGAGTCCGAGTTCCCAGCAAGGAAGTGTGCCGAATACAACTGTAAGAAATACCAGACAACAGACCCCCAGGAAAACATGGCAAGGAAGAATATGGTGCTGGCCACTAAGCAGATCCTGAAGGAGTTTATGGATATCCTGAATCAGGACCGATCTCCCATTGGAAACTCTCGTCCCCAACCAATCCTGGAGCCTGAGATACAGAGCTATCTGACCAATTTCAGTCTGATTAGCCATGGTTTTGGATCTCCTGCCATTGTTGCTTCACTTGCTGCAGTTCAAACATACCTGACAGAAGTCCTCAAGGTCATGGACAAAGGATTTCTCAACGATGGATCGATGCCACCCTCCAAGAAAAGAAAGTTGTAAGAAGGAAAGACGTTCTTTGCTCTGTAAATAAAGTGCTTTGTGTGACAGTGTCTTGAATGTTGACTTGTTTCCTAGGAAGATATATTGATAACTTTGTGACTTAAGTGCAGATTCCTGTTGCTCACTAAGTTGATGTTTGTGTTTCCAGTGTTTTTAATCTGTGTTTATAAGGATCTGTAATTCCAGACTCATTGTGATCTTCAATAACTTACAATAGAGATATTTAATATGTACCTTTTTTCATCAATATTACTTTGTATGTTGTAATTCATTGAATAAATGATTGTAGTATATTTACAGTTGTTTTTGTAGTATTTTGCTATTACACACATTTAGTTTCGTGTACTTAAAATGGATTTAAAATAAAATGTTAATCCTTTAGATGTTTTAACATTCTGGGTTAAACATACCAAGATGCCTTTATAGAATACCTTTGCTTATGTTTGCAAGAACTTGCTGACTTTTGTAACCTGGGTCATTACTTGTTACTGGCTTTACCTGGGTCATTACTTGTTACGTGACCTACTGGCTTTTGTAACCTGGGTCATTACTTGTTACATGACCTACTGACTTTTGTAACCTGGGTCATTACTTGTTACATAATGTACTGGCTTTTGTAACCTGGGTCATTACTTGTTACATAACCTACTGGCTTTTGTAATCTGGGTCATTACTTGTTACAGTTGAGTTTAGAAGGTGTAGTTCAGGATGACTTTAACACAGAGACTGTAGAAATGACGGGCACAACAGACTTCCTGTCCCAGCCAGCGGCCCTGACAGAAGAAGTCCAGTTAGTGATGGATTCTGTCTCGCTCGGAGATCGCACCATTCAGAGCACTGAAACTGTCACGGTGGAAACCACACAAACAGTAGATCCGACAGAAGTCAGTCTAGATGAGTTTGTGGTCATGGATAACCCCATCCCAGGTAATATATGAGCCATGGTACACATTAAGAAAAAAAATCCTGTTTATCCCAGTCTTGTAGATTTAAATAAGAAAAAGTCTACCTGATATAATACATTTTCTGTTAGCCTCTAAATACTTAAACCAATTCATATGCATTTATTCCCTCCCAGATTTACATATCGATTGTAGTTTTAAGCATACTTCTATTTTATGCAGGTACTAGTGTAAGTGAAAGCCACAGTGTTGATCCCTTAAGCAGTTCTGATCCCACGGGCTTGGCAAGATTAGGAAAGAGAAAAAGGAAAGTTCCAGCTGCATTGGAGGATAGTCCCACCCCCCTGCCTGGTGGGGGCTGGAACAGAGCATGCCTGGGGTAGGGTATTTTTTATGCAGCCTGTTATCAGGAGAATGTTGATTAATTTAATGATTTTGAGGAAGTATAGCATGTTAATGAGGTTTTTGGAAGATCAAGATAATGAAACTATTTCAAACATTTAAAATCATTGTGAAGATTGTGATTTTGACTCTTAGGATAATACAGAAAGTGATGAAATACAGAGGATTAAACAGACATAAAGATGACCTGAATGCCTCCACATGGTTTTTAGAACCAGGTAAGTGCAAGAATATCTTTAACTGTCATAGAACAATTTTAGCTTTAAATATGTGTCATGTGGTTTTATATATATGCATACATAAAAATGATAGTACAGTAAAACTTGTTGAATCCGGATGTTGTGCATTCCGGCATGTTGTTCAGTCCGACATAATATTTTAGTCCCTTGAATTTTCTTTATAATTTATGTTTAATAAATGTTGTGCAATCCAGATCTTGCCTATTCTGTAAACCGGCCGCTAATTAAAGAACTTACTGCTCATAATTAGTACAAATTATCTCCTCTAATCCGGCCACTTATTTTTACCTGTGCCCGCTGGTCATTAGAGAAGTCTCGCGTGGGGTAATTATTGTCCCGTTAATGATCTATCCTGTATCGACAGTTTAGATTCTAACAAACGTGATAAAAAAAATCATTAATGGCTCAAGTAAGGCGAGGAAAGTTGCGTGTAGCATGTCTGTAGAAAAAACTTGGAGACTTATTCATGACCTCCTTTCTACTTTCGTTTTGCGTGCACGACGTGCAATTCGAATTACTTCCCTTTTTGTCGCTAGTTTACAACGACCAAAGTGACAGAAGATTTTTTTCAATATTCATTACATGTAGAACATTTGAAATTAACAAATACAGTATCTAAATATTCAAACATATTAATTTTAAAAGAAAGAAATTAATTAGGAATCTGTCCCTAACAAAATAATATTTACAGCTACGATAAGGTTTTTGATTGTATTTAAGCACTTAACGATTTTCAAATTTGATAAATGAACTAGAGATATTATATTTCGATACTGAATAAAAAACGTAGCAGAAATTAAAATTCTTAAGAACAAACAGAGTTCAAAACAAATGGAAATAGACGATTTTTTCAAGTGAAACGTAAAAAATGACACATTTGATCAAGTATTTATTTACCACTCTTTGTTTATATCTATGTAATTTTTAACTTGCTATAACGGTTCAATTTTCTCTAATCCGGCCAAAAATTTTGGAACCACTGGTCGCCGGATTAGACAAGTTTTACTGTAAATGGCAATATTTCAACCAAAGAAAAAAAGGAAACTTTTTACAGGCATTTTTATCATGAATATATTAACATCTTCCAATGGCTTTATTTCTGTAGTGGACCCAGAGGATGCCCCAGATTATTACACAATCATAAAAAATCCTATGGACTTTGGAACAATCAAAAAGAAATTGGAGGTTGGTTACATTTCCAGTTCATCTGTTATTAATTGAAGCAGGATTCTATTGAATTTACAAACTGAAAAAGACAAAAATGTAGAGCTTTTCTTAAAAGCTACTATTGTGTAGGATGATGCAAGGAAATTTTTTTCATACAGATTATATTTCCAAATTGTATATTTCCTGTTACAGAGTCATACTTACTCTGATTATGAAGATTTCCACTCAGACATGCTGCTAGTTCGAGACAACTGTCGCGTGTACAACCCCCCAGGCAGTGTGGTCCGTAGAGATTGTGATGAGGTGTTTGCTTACTACATGTCAGAGTACGAAAGAATCCTAGAAAAATGGCAGAAGGTAAAAAAAAAAAACTAAGTCATAATTTGTTCGAATTTTTCACTTTTTCATTTTTGTAAGTTTGTTGCCTTAACATGTATCAGTCTGAGTGGTTTAAAATCATAATAAAAACATTAATATATCCAGTGTCTTTGTTAATTTACTAAAAATTCATTGTTCTGTTCTTTATTTTTTCATTATCTTAACTTTTAGGCTCACATCTCTTCACCCTCCTCCAAGAAACTGAAGTTTGAAAGTAGAAGTCCTAAGATGTGAATTGACTTTTTTATATTAACTCAGACCTATGTGCCAAATTTCCTCTGCTCCTTTTGATGGAGTCGTATACTGCCAGATTTTGTTGTTTTATGTTTTCAATCTCATGTTATATTAAGAAAATTGACTGAAAAATTAAATGTCTTGTTGTTTGATTAGAATAGCTTCAATTTCAGAGTCCACATTTGAAATCATTAAGAATGAACCATGCACATTTTTAAGGATGGTCATTGAATATTGTTATAAATTTCATTTATTTTTGTGCAATACTTTGGATCTCAGATTTAACTGGATGTTGGTTGTAAATTTCCAAGTCTTCTAAATACAATGTACATATAAATACTAAAATTAATGGACATGTTATTTGGAATCTGACAGTAAACTTATGTAGGAATCCTAGATATTTTTAATGCATGTAATACTGTTTATGATTTGAAACAAAGATGTTGAAAATGTTTATTAGTATTACAGGTTGAAACACATGCTTGTATACTGTACATGTATGTTTTTTATTACTGAATATTAAAATGTAAAAATATGAGTACAGCTTTTCATTTGTATGTCATAATATAGTACAGTTCTGTTTATTTTTTACTGTATTTATCAGTTCTTGACTATTTGAAGATTTATTCTTGGTCAACAGTACTTCTGATCTCCCTGCCCATCTCTTTTCTTTTTAGTGCAAGTGAGTACAGTAATTAAATGAAACTTTGTGTAAAGGTTGTCTAATGCCTGTGTGTCCATCTGCATCAATTAATTTGTTTTGCTTTGTCCTATTGAAATTTTCATAAGTTAATCAGGAATTGTGTTCAAATACAATGTTCAGGGTTAACTTTGACCTTTGGAACTGATAAATGAGAAATCTACATGATTTATTGTGGAGTATCTTCACAGAGATGAATCAGAATGGGATGCAATTTAAAGTTTTGCCAGCAGACACTGTCCTGAGAATTTCTGAAAAATGAAAGCTGCTCAGTTTTGGATGATGGTGCATTCTATATAACTTGGACCCTTGGTGACTGCACATCTATTGAAAATGACATAATTTTCTCGCTAGTCCTTTTATGACGTCATGAATATTGTATCATTCCCAAATTTTGAAAATTTCTTCAAAAATTGACAAAAGTTTAATCTGTTTTTCAATATCTTGCATTGAGCCCAACCTCTAATCCAATATATGCAATTGTATAATGAAAGAACATTTTTTTTTATCAAGGGGTATGTTTTTATTTTAATAACTTGCTGAAGATATGCAAAAACACCTGTTTCTTGCAAAAATCACGCAATTTCAAAAAACCTCTACAACGTTGCAATATTTCACCAATAAAATTATATAGGTATGATACTTTTTTTTAAAACATGGTTTTTCTTGTGTGAATTTTTCAGAATCTTTACTATGAAAACTTTTCAAGTGTTTTAAAGTAGATTCAAATTTTAATAAACAATCCGGAAGACAAGCTCCTTGATGAAAAAATCTTGACTGCGCAGAATTTATGCACATGGGCTTCATCTTTCTTTGTTTAAAACATTCTGTATAAAATACTAAATAATGCATATAGTTGAAGGTTTCATTGAAAATTTTCACCCCTAGAAAGCCATTGTCAACCTCATTAGTGGTGTGTTCCCGTTTTGCACACATTTGATAATTAGGTATAGAACAATAGGTGTGAAATATGTTTTGATAGCAATTATAGTCTGATCTCCGTCTGGGATTTACCTGGAATTACCTGTATTCACCAATGCATCATAGTCTATATTTAAAGGAATAAAGTTTGAAAATTTAAGTTGTCCAATCTAACTGAAATGGATAAATCAGACAAATGTCGTCAGGCAGTCCCCCCTCTTTTTTTTTATTTCTTGAAGAAAATATGAATGAGTTAATGAATTCAATCTTAATAAAAAAAAAAATTAACTTGCCCAGTTAGTATCATATGAATGTACATTGTACTTATAGTTTTGATTAGTATTTATAATATTTTTTTATGTTTTGAAATAGTTTTTTTCTTAAATTGAAATTACAGAATTAAATCAAAATAGAAAAAAAAAATAATGCAAAATTAATCATTTTTCTTCGCATTCTTGTCGTAGATTTCTTTTTCTCCAAATTCACAACTATGATATAGACTATATCAATTAAGTAATTATCTTACCTGGACAAATTCCCGTTTTGCACACATTTTTTCAATACCTGAAATTCAAATGTGTGCAAAACGGGAACAAACCTAATTAGTTGACAATGGTTTAATTGTCAACCTCAGCTGCAACTTGGTTGACAACAGTTTTCTTGGGGTGAAAATTTTCAGTGTAATCCTCAACTGCAATATTCATATAATATTTAATATAATATTAATGCTTTGCTGAATCCTGTGATATGGTCTAGATTGGTTTTTTATTTTATTTGTTTGCTTTTAATTCAAGCTCCAGACAGCTCAGTATTACGTTACGCTACAACTCCATATTATTCGTAGGGAAAGTAGTCCCGGAGAATTGACACTGTATGGAGTTTGCTTTAAATTTTCAATTCCGGATTTACCAATTTAACTTTTACACTCTGTGACTGGTGAGAAAAACGCTTATAAGGTACTGTACTTTTACTGTAACAAGAAGGTCCTGATTGACATCGAGTGTTCTTGTACACGTTTTTTGACACAATTATCGGTATCATGAGAGTGGTCCAATAACCATTTTAGTAGGAAGCCTGGGACGTTGACTGTTTGTTAAAATGGGCAAAAATAAAGGGGGACGGCATCAACCACCGCAGACACGCCAGAGGAAACAAAAACAATCGGAAAGCAATGACGATCTTGAAAAGCAAAATAAAACAGGGACAAAACCTAACCTTGGTAGAAAGAATAAAAATGATCAATCACAGAATAATAAAATGATAATTTGGACTATTGTATTCGTATTGGTAATATCAGGTGCAACTGTTTACATGCGCTACCAAATGTACCTACAGGAGCTAGTTGTTACCCCACTCAATGTACCAAAAATGATTTCACAGAATGTGTCAACTTCTATGGTTAACCCTGAAAAGTTTTGGGGAACCTATCGATCGAATCTATATTTTGGCCTTAAAACACGTTCTCCAACATCCCCTGTGGTAGGATTGATGTGGTTAGAGCAGTCAGGAAGTTTGGAGATTCGGCATTGGTGTAGTCAGGATGACAGATTGCCACAGTATGGATGGCTCAAACATGATGGGACAAATTTTGGTATCCAAGATGTAGTAGAGAAACATTTCAATGTAACAACATCTTTTGTCAAACAGCCAGGAGGAGAACATGGTGGGGACTGGACAGCTCGTATTTCAGCAATTCCCAAAGTAAGATGTAATACTAATCAGGCAACACATACTATCTGATATGATAAGTATCTTCCATAACTTACATATTCTGGCTCCAGAGGCATAAAACTTTGAGGATCTCACTTTTGCATTAACCAAAATACTTTTTCATGTGAAAAGAGAGATATGGATCCAAAATGAGTTCCTCAAAGTGTTATGGCCCTGGAGTCAGATGTTTATATTGTCCTTTCATGTAAAGTATTAACTAGGAAAATATCATTAACCAAAAAAAAAAAAATGCTCCTAGCCTTTACTTTAGCAAAATATGCCATCAGAATGATAAAATATAGCAAGAGATGATATTACTGGATGACAGATAACATGAAAATTGTCTCACAAAATTTATGTGGATACCAAACAGTATAGGTTATATTAATACATCAAAATAAATGGCATTTTACTTCATTTCACAATGCAGTGTTGGTCAAATGCAGTGGAATAAATGTTAATCAAACATGAATACATGTATGTTATATACTGTTTATATATTTGACATTCAGTATGGTATAATAATTAAACATAATGTGTACCTGAGGGTAAAAGCTGAAATTGTCACCCTTCAAAAAGTCATTGCACTGTTTGCATTAGCCAAGGATTCTATGATGAGAGTTTGTCAAGGTGTGAACATTTTAACTCTTACTTATCCTTACTTACATGTTTATGGCACACATTTAATAAATTTGACATAACATGTTCTTTCCAATTGCCTTGAAAATGGAAGGCTAAGGAGAGGGTAGTGTTATGGAAACTTTGACCTTGCATGTACATGTACACTAGTAAATGGATGCATTAGTGTTATAATTAATGATCAATGTTTGCTTTGACAAAAAAATGATATTAAAACATGTATTTTGCATACATTTTTATTTCAAAATGTATGTCCTAGAATGATCATTAGCTGTCACTTATTTTAATTACTTTTGATAGATATTTCTAAAGTTTTCCATTTCAGTTTTAATTATTTATTTTCTATTTTTCAGGATGTCAACAGACCTGTTTTAGTATCTCTCATGTTTTATATTGCCTTAGATGGACAAGGCACACTGAATTCGAACATAGCGAGGAACAGGATGGAGGTAGTCAGCGGACAATCTCTTGAGCTTGGCAACTTTAAGTTGTCATTCCCAAAAGCCAGGAAAGGTGTAGGAGTTAAATACAACCATCTTATCTCATATGCGTCTAGGCTTGACAAGCTTAAAGATTTATTACAAAATTCTCTGAGGACTGATAGCTTTGATAAAGGAAGAACAGTTCCGTACCTTACTTTAGCAGGGCGTCTACTTCCAAGGGATAGCCCAAGTCCAAATTTTATGGTCCACCAGGTTACAGCACAATTACCATTAGAAATGGAGGTTGTGTTTGAATCAGGGAGCAATTATGATCGCCATGATTCCCTCCAAGGTGAATTGTACACACACAAACTTGAAAAATTCTCAAAAAGTTTTGACAATAGATTCTCTGAAGTTTTCAATTTGGAAAATAAAAGATACAATGAACATGAAATTGCTTTTGCAAAAGCTGCACTGAGCAATATGATAGGCAGCATTGGATATTTTTATGGCTCTTCCATAGTCCAATCAAAGTACAACAAAGAGCCTGTTTCTTATTGGCCTGCTCCTCTATACACAGCAGTACCTTCCAGATCCTTCTTTCCAAGAGGATTTTTGTGGGATGAGGGTTTCCACAATCTTCTTATAAGTCAGTGGGATCCTAATATAGCAAAAGATATTATTGCTCACTGGTTGGATTTACTTAATGTTGAAGGATGGATTCCAAGAGAGCAGATTCTTGGTGTAGAGGCCAGAGCCAGAGTTCCAGATGAGTTTGTAGTTCAGAGAAATGAGAATGCCAATCCACCGACTTTATTTTTACCACTTCAACGTTTAATCAAAGACATGATAACCAGCCATGATCCACTGGACAAACAGTTCTTGAAAACAGTGTTTCCTAGATTGCAAAAGTGGTTTAGTTGGTTTAACACAACACAAGTAGGAAGTGAGCCTTTGACTTACTACTGGAGAGGGAGAGATGATAAGACAAATAAAGAATTAAATCCTAAAACTCTAACATCTGGCTTGGATGACTATCCTCGAGCATCTCACCCTAACACAAAGGAAAGACATGTAGATCTAAGGTGCTGGATGGCTTTGGCTTCAGGAATTCTTGCCGACATTGCAAAGGAGCTTGGAGAGAATGGGAAGGAATATGAGGCTACACACAAGGTTCTGACTGATAATGGTCTCCTGGACAAACTGCACTGGTCACCAAAAAAAGAACGTTACTGTGATTATGGACTCCATTCAGATCGAGTTCTTCTAGTGAAACCAAAACCACCAAAAAATTTACAGCCAGGACAACCCTTCAATCAAGAGAAGATCAGGGAGGTGAAGACACCTCCCCAGATGCAGTTTGTTGAGTCTTTTGGATATGTTTCTCTATTTCCGCTAATGTTAAGAATAGTAGAGCCAAGCTCTTTAAAACTTTATAAAATTTTGAGTGATCTCACTAATACAGAATTGCTGTGGACTAATTATGGACTTCGATCTCTAGCTAGGAATGCTCCTCAATATCAAAAAAGAAACACAGAACATGACCCTCCATATTGGAGAGGGGCTATCTGGATCAATATGAACTACCTTACTCTAAGTGCTTTGCATCACTATTCGAACACTCCTGGTCCATATCAACAGTTAGCACAGGGAATATATAAGGATTTGCGTGCAAATATAGTCAATAATATAATAAAAGAATATTATAGGACAGGCTACATTTATGAACAGTATAATGATAAAACAGGTGAGGGTAAAGGAAGTCATCCATTTACAGGATGGTCAGCTCTGGTTGTACTAATAATGGCAGAAAAATATTAGTCATTCAAATTTATTTTAATCAATGTGTTCAAAGATTTTTTTTTTAAATAATGTCTCAGTTGAAAGCAATCTTATTAAATTAGATTTGATATCCCCTCATACACTCACTACACAGTGAAGTGATGGTATGACATAGGATCAAATACTTAATTTTAAGCATATTGCAATTGAAAGCAAATATTTGTGAATGATATGACTTCTCTAATTATGAGAAGCTATATGTTGGTTAACTTGGTTTTTAAATCTGCTACCTCTGTAAACCAGTTTTCATCTTTGACCACTCATGTTTTGTACCCATAATTTTTATAAGCATTATTTGATGCATGTTGATTGAAAGAATGCCGGCAACTTTCAGAGATAGTGAGTTGTATTTGTTATAGTGAAGACTGTGGGTTAAATAATTATGTAATGTGTAATTGGCATGCCATTTAAATCTGTTAATTTGTTTTAAATCATAAATTATTTCATTTCATAGATTATTTACAGGTACATACATGTATAGCAGTAATCATTCATTTGTCAACTGAAAGTCCATTGTGTAAATGCAGATGAAATGAAAAAGTTGCTCAATTTTTAGAAATTTGATGTTATTTCTACAAAAGAGATATTTTTAGAATAAAAAGACTTCTAGGTTATAGCACATCACCTTTTTTGTTACATTGTACTTGGCAACTTTTTGATATTATTTTAGCCCTACATTACTTTACTGGAGCCCTGATTTAAATAAATCTGAAGTTACGAAACTTTTATCACTCCAAGAAAATTTTAAAAAAAGCAAATATTCCTCTCACACAACAACCAATGCATGTATACTTGTGGTACGGTGGGTGAAGTTTTCCAATTAGGATTGCTGTTGAATATATTTACACTTTAAGATTTTAAATCTTCTCCCAAGAAAATGGGTTCTGTATGATAATGAAGAGATTTAAATACTTGTAATGATAATTCCACATTGCTTATGAATGATTTGTGTCTTATTTGGTTAAATATATAGTGATTCTGGAAAAGAAATTTAGGATTTTGAAAGATAAAAACAAACTCATGGTCCCTGTTCGCCTCTAAGAAAAAAATGAATCATTTAGACCAAACCCCCATCCCAGGTTACCAAAGTTGAAAAAAAAGGTATGAAAGATCCAAGTCCACTCACAAGTAGAAAATGCATTTCCTTTTTCATAAAAATTAAGTTTATTTTAAACCTGAAATCTATGATGAGTCTTTAATTAAGCTCCACTAGGGTACATACAATAAAGATAAAAAAAAAAAACATCTGAACCTGCTTTCTTTTGACAGAATTGCACACAATTTTCTATTTTTACTTAGGCCAAGATAAATAAATACTGTGTTTCCTATTCCAACCTGAGAAAAAATAGGGTAGGTAGGTAGGGAAAACATTTTATTTTATTTTAATATTTTATTGGCAAGCGCACTACCATTTTTCCTTGGGGAAATCGCTGTCAAAACATTTCTGATTACTGTGTATAGGATATGCATTTGAAGTGATCGAAATTAGGATTTCTAATAGTGAAACTGGAATAGTTTGCTCCTGGAAAGATATCTGCGGATAAATTTTTTAGGGCCGGCTCATATATTTTAGGGTTAGTTGGTGAACCGGAAACACACAATTTATTTATCTAGGCCTTACCATTGCAATTTTGTTGATTTTTGAAAATTAAAAATCTGATATAAGGCATTGTGTACCATGGTGTAGTGTACCTGTGTTCAAGATTTTATTGAAATCAAAACACAAAATGTTAAAGTAGCATTCAAAAGAATTTCACTGACATTTCTATTTTAAATAACCATGACATCAACTTTTGTTGAAATTAAAATCTGTTGCACAGAATTATGTATCTTATTGTAATTTACTTGTGTACTAAGTTCTATTTCATTTAGAACAATATTATATAGCAGGAGTAGCGTTTTGAAAGAATGGCATTCACAGCAATTTCTGTTTTAGTCAAAATTTTAAAAAGTCAGTATTTTAAGTGTACTCGTGTACTAATTCGAACCAAAAAACTGTAGGAGGAGAGTGTTTTTAAAGATTTTCACAGAATGATTTTCTATTTTTAATAACATACAACACCTTTTGTCAAATTCCAATATAGTGAAAAAAAGTATTTTGAAATCAGTCCAAAACTGTAGGAGGAGTTGGCTTTAAAGCAAAAATTAAAAAATTATGTAGAGTAACCATGGCTCAAAATCAAAAACCGATTTATTTAAAATACATGGTTACTGACTTGAAATACATGCATAAGCAATAAGGGTAAGGAAACATGATGGAGGCGAGGTTTGCAAACTGCAAAACTTCTCTATCGTATTTTTATCCCGAGCCCAAATATTGCTTATATTTCAAGACTGTTATATCAATGCATGTATTTTGTTTATCCTGCAACAATTTTTTACACAGCTATTTTCAACAAATTTAGGCACATCCGTGCAGTTGAAGCTATGATGCCATGACACAAACAATGTGTCATATGACATCACAATTCATTGATCAGATCTTTTTAGTTTTAAAAACTTATGGACCGGTATCATCAATTTTTCAGCTGATGTATCTAAAGACCTATACTTTTTTAATTTTGCAGCTTTTGAGTTAACATCTTTTATATGCTTAACTTGGACATAGTGAAACCCAAGACCATCAAACTTTCTCAGTTGATATGATTACCAGTAATTTTATGCCCTCAGAAGGTGTGCATTGTAAAGTAGGTCACAGTGACCTATATTCTAAATTTAAGACTTTTTTCTGTCACATGTCAAGATTCACATATTTTCTGTCCATTCTATTTCCATCAACCTGAGTAAGATTCACTTATTATGATCATGAATAAATGACACACATTGAACCAATGGAATAGCGATCTAATTCTTTTGTCCAATGAAAATGATCAGTCTATCCTAAATTTGGATGTAAAGTAAAACTCGGTTATAGCAGAGTCCTTGGGACCTGTGAATATATACTTCACTATATCTGTAATTCTCTATATCCGTATAACGAGTTTATTAAAGTATATACTGTAAACGTATTACATTTGGCTGTGTACTCTTTTTTTTTAATTAGCGTATTTGGCGGAAAGCAACCTCTGCTAATTCAAGTACAATGCTAAATGTCTTCCACATTTACACATAAGTAAGATCATTCACAAATATGCTAAAATCAAATTTACGCTAACTTGTTCAAAATTAAATTTCCGCTAAATATCGTACATGCTAAATATAATACATTTATAGCATATCAAATTCACACTATGCATCTTTACCTTCAAGTATGACTTCTAAATATGGTATTAAATACAAAATTTTCCTTGGGTTACTAAAGATTTCTAATGAATTTCAAATCTAAATAGTCATGAAAAATAATGTCAGTTCATTTTGAACTTTAAAAACATCGAAAATTCATTATCAGAGTTTGTTATAACCGTAATACTTTCCTTAGGAATTTCACCTGGGATTAAAACAAGAGGCCCATGGGCCACATTGCTCACCTGAGCACATTGGCTAGGAAAAAAAGCAAAAATCAGTTCAGTATTGAAAAGTTTACGGGGAGGGGGGTGTTGAATTTTAAACTACCTGATGATGCTTTCATGTCAATATAACAAATGGCTTTGCTGTTCTTGAGCAGAAGATTTTTTCCCATGTATTCATTTGTAAAAATTTGATCCCCCATTGTGACCCCACCCTATCCCCGGGGGCATTCATTTGAACAAATTTCGTTCTACACTACCCAAGTATGCCTCCATATCAATTTGACTAATGGCTTTTCTGTTCTTAAGAAGAAGATTTTTTCCTATATATTCCTCTGTAAACTTTGATCACCCATTGTGGCCCCACCCTACCCCCAGGGGTCATGATTTGAAGAGACTTGAATCTACACTACCTGAGGATGTTTCCACATAAGTTTCATCTTTCCTGGCCCAGTGGTTCTTGAGAAGAAGAATTTTAAATGATGCAATTATTTTTTCACTAATTCCTAATAATCTCCCCTTGAAATAGGGTGTGGCCCTTCATTTGAACAAACTTGAATCCCCTTCACCCAAGGATGCTTTGTGGCAAGTTTGGTTGAATTTGACCCAGTGGTTCTTGAGAAATCAAAAATGTGAAAAGTTTACAGACAGACGGACGCCGGACAAAATGTGATCAGAAAAGCTCATTTGAGCCTTCGGCTCAGGTGAGCTAAAAAAAACTGCTATATGTCTGTGATTTAGCTATGTCTGTGTTTGTACTAAAGAAGTTTTACTGTATAACAGTAGTGGAGCATTTCAGTTTTAAAACTACAACATTTAAACAATGATGCATATGTTTGTTTATTGTTTAACATCCCTCTTGAGAATTTTTCACTCTTATGGAGACGCCACAACTTGCCGGTGGAGAGCTGCAAATTTTGACCTATACTTGGCAATCAGGGCCATTGAGCAGTGAGGGATCTTTTTCATGCTAGCACCTACTGCAACATGGAACCTCGGTTTACACGGTCTCATCCGAAGGACCAGTCTCCACATCCCACAGTGGATGATACATATGGATAATGTATAGGAAATTTTTCTAAATTATGTATTGAACAAAGGTTTATGCTGGGGCTAAAATCCCAAAACAAACATACTAATAATGCATGTATACAGGGAAAACAAATCCTTACAATATATTCTCAAGAACAGTAATGACTTATTACTTATAGTGATATTAAAGCATCTCCATGTTGTGCAAGTTCAACTTTCTATAAGCTGGGATGGGGCCACAATATGGGGTCAAAATATTTCATGTCTAAAGAGAAAAAAAAATCTTTAATAGATCTTCTGGGTCAGGAAAAACACAGGTGAGTGATATGGTCCATGGGCTTCTTTTTTATTGGGATAGTATCATTACAATATTCTACCATTATAAGTTCATTCTAGGATTGGCCTACTACTTCTATCAATAATTAAAGGATATCTTTTTCATCTATTACTTTCATATTTTGTAATTAATCTATGTACTTCATTTCTTGCAACAGGAAACCCCAATTTGAGCTGTGTAAAACAGTATAACAAACACAAAGTATTTTTCTTCTCTTTTAATGTAAAAGAAAAAAAACTGCAAATATTGCACACAAATGAATTATGTTTTCAATCAAAAAATTAATTTATAGGAAGAAAAAGAATTATATGGATACTGATGGACATTATTACTGACAGAAAAAAAACTGCAGTGGGACAGGTTCAGACAAATGAAGATTATCAAGACTTTAAACACACTCAATATTGTAAACACTAAATTTCACTAATGATCATTTCTATGTGTGACATTTTAAGATTTTTAGGAAACAAATCAATATAAACTAACTTCTCTTATGAGTACACCTGAAGTTTGGATGTAATTAATTTGTGATGCCCATATAAAGTTACACATAACATCAAAAAGACACAATTCTTCAACCACAGAAACAATCTTGCACTTATTAAACCTGAATTTTTTTTCACTTCGATTAGAATTAACAGTAATCTTACTTAGGGCAGACATGATTACATTGAAAACCTGCTTATACTTTTTTTTTTATCTTTACACTGAATACTACAACATTTTAAAATTCTAATTTAAATACATGCACATGTAATTAAATTTGGTATTGCAAAAAGCAATATAGGTTACCATGGAAGTACACTGTATATCAGGTTTTGCTTTATACACTACAAAGGTACTTCAGCAAAAATTATATTTATTCCACATAATACCTGTAGCAGACTAACAATAAAGCAAATAATGTTTTAAAAATAATCTGAGAGTACATAGCAAAACAGACAAACATTATGAAAAAGATATGCATCATTTACTTCCAATTTCTCTATGCAATCTATGCAGGAAATGTTTTTTCTCTGTGTTTGCCCATTGCAAATGTGGAGATATAAGAGCTCTGTAATGCTACAGAAGTAAAATATATAATATCAATCATAGACTTCAAAAATGAGAGATTTTAAAATGAGGTATTTCCATTTTAGAATTTCTTTGGACAAAAATGGCATTCACAGTGTAACATATCTGATAAACATCATCTTAATATAAACAAGTATTCATTTCAGTAACACATCTATAAATCTGATAAGCACTAATCATATAACAAACACTGAGGGAATGATTTATATATCTGAATTAAGTAACAATTATGGTTCACTACATACAGTACATACCTTTGAAAACCCCATTAATATTTGACACACACACACAAACACACGTGACAAAATACTGTATACAGGGTTATTTTCGCCCCGTGTTATTTTCACCCTTTCACACTTGCAAACAAATTTGCCCCATTTTAAATTCTCCCAGTCACAATTCTGTTTAAGAAATTACACTGTGTTTTTTGAATTCGCCCCATTATAAATTCGTCCACCTATAAGTAGGATGAAAGGGGCGAAAATAAAATGGGGGCGAAAATTTCCCTGTATACAGTAGTACACATTAACATTAAAGCCATTTTTATGAATATCATTTTAGGAGAAGACCAGGAAATATTCAGTTCAAAATGCTTCATTTAATGAACTTTTCCTTTCTATCAGTAATGATGTCAGTGATGAACAGTGCAGGGGGAGATCTATTTTAACCTATGGATGCAAACAAATGCAGGACTTTAGAGAAAAAAGATCTCACACTAAACAAATAAATTGGAAGTATTTCTTGTAGAATTTAACTGATGTCTATAATATTACAGCTGAATAAAACTCCCCATTTCAAACACCCAACATAATACTGATTGACTTATTAAACACATAATCTCCCACAATGCTGTTCTAGCACACAATGCTGGCACTGTTGAAAGACATATCATATTTGACCACAAAAACGGAATATATCTATACAAAAGACAAACACTGTTGTTACCAAGCACTGCACTATCAACCAATAAAGCACTTTCCTTTTTTCCCCTTACTTCTTTACACACAATTGTACAAAGTAGACACTTTAAAGTTCAAATTCAAGACCACTTCAGTATATTAATTAAAATACGAAAGAACATTATCAATGAAATAAACTTATTATTTATTACACAAAGGATATTGTACTAGCAATCAAAACATACCATGTTCACATAAAATATAACATTAAAACTTCAACAACAAAAATATCTAATCAAGTTTTCTGAATAAAAAAGAAACAACCAGAGTTATGGTGAATTTGCTTCCTACTAAAGCAAACTAAATGGACACTATTTTTTTCTAAAAGAAAAAAACAAGAGGCCCAGGGGCCACATCGCTCACCTGAGCACTATAGCTAGGAAAAAGCAGGAATCAGTTTAGTCTTGAAAGGTTGAAAAATTTAAATACAAAAGTGGGGGGGGGGGGGGGGGAAATGAACAAATTTGAATCTACATTACCTGAGGATGCTTCCATTTAAATATGACCAATCATGGCTTTGCTGTTTTTGAGTAGAAAATTTTTAAAGATTTTTCCTACGTATTCCTATGTAAAACTTTGATCACCCATTGTGGCCACACCCGACCCCCAGGGGTCATGTTTAAACAAACTTGATTCTATACTAATCTAAGAATGCTTCCATATAAATATGACCAATCATGGCTTTGCTGTTCTTAAGAAATAGTTTTTTTTAAAGATTTTTACTATGTTTTCCTATGTAAAACTTTGATCACCCATTGTGGCCCCACCCGACCCCCGGGGGTCATGATTTGAACAAACTTGAATGTACACTATCTGAGGATGCTTCCATGTAAATATGACCAATCATGGCTTTGCTGTTCTTGAAAAGAAGATTTTTAAAGATTTTTCCTATATATTCCTATGTTAAAATTTGATCGCCCATTGTGGCCCCACCCGACCCTCGGGGGTCATGATTTGAACAAACTTGAATGTACACTACCTGAGGATGCTTCCATGTAAATATGATCAATCATGGCTTTGCTGTTCCTGAGAAGAAGATTTTTAAAGGTTTTTGCTATATATTTCTATGTAAAACTTTGATCCTCCATTGTGGCCCCGCCCAGTCTCCGGGGGTCATGATTTGAACAAACTTGAATTTACACTATCTGAAGATGCTTCCATATAGAAATGACTCATAATGGCTTTGCTGTTCTTGAGAAGAAGATTTCTAAAGATTTTTCCTATATATTTCTATGTAAAATTTTGATCCTCCATTTTAGCCCCGCCCTACCCCCGGGGGTCATGATTTGAACAAACTTGAATCTACACTACCTGAGGATGCTTCCACATGAGTTTCATCTTTCATCGCCCTGTGGTTCTTGAGAAGAAGATTTTTAAAAGATGCTATTAATTTTTCACTAATTCTTTATTATCTCCCCTTGAAAGAGGGCGTGGCCCTTCATTTGAACAAACTTGAATCCCCTTCACCTAAGAATACTTTGTGGCAAGTTTGGTTGAAATTGGCCCTGTAGTTCTGGAGAAGAAGATGAAAATGTGAAAAGTTTACAACGACGCCGACGCCGACAGACAACGGACAAATTTTGATCAGAAAAGCTCACTTGAGCCTTCGGCTCAGGTGAGCTAAAAAGCACTCAATCAGAGGTATTATCAATTAATCACAAACAGAAAGGTAAAAGTACTCTGTCTTATTCCTGATCACTCTCTCCATCACTTGAGAATGTTTGAGCAGCCAGAGTTGTTTGTTTATTTGTTGTTAAGGTGACATGTGGTAGCTGTCTGTAATGGTCCAGCCATTCATCAACCATCTGTTTGATCATTAGGGGCCGCTTCCCCACCTTCTGCAGTGCCACCAAACAGCCACCCTTAGTAACAACACAGTCCAGCCACTCATGTAAAATACTCTCTTCACGTCCAACCTGAAATGAATTTCAGATTATAATAGACTAAATTTTCTAATATACTTACAGTTAAGTTATGGGTGAGTTTAGAATTGTAGCCCGAGATAAACCGATCAAATATAAAATCCTATTTTTTCCAATACATGTATATAAGGCCATGATAATTAAGGTTTAACCATTGCTAAATAGAAAAATTATGTTATTTGAATATTTGTTAGACCTTTGATATTTACATACACTGAATATTTTTCTCCTTTATTTCCTAAGAAAATTGATTCCATCAATCAATTAACCTTAAATTAATTCAAAATGCTTTTTTTAAGCCATCTGATTGAAAGATTTCTTGAGAAGTGGGCTCTTCCATCAAATTAATGTACAGATCAATTATACAATATCTTATGTACTGTCACCAACTTTATATGAATAATTGATACAGATATACAAATATACTGTAAAAATAAAATGTCTTCCTTTCTTTGTTAACATGGGGATTAATGTTTGCAACCATTGCAGAAAAAAAAATTATTCTCTTACGTGGGTTAAGTATTTTTTTTCTGCAACCTGGTTGCAACCCTTAATTCCCATATTAACATAGAAATCGTTTTATTGTTTAAATGATAGCATTAGTTTACAACCTCTGAGCCCATTAAAAAGGGCACTGGTAGGAGCTTTCCTTCGTAATCAACCAGTGGTAAATAGGCAACTTCATCATCATCATTGGGCTCAATATGAGCCCCAGCCCCTGGGATGCCATCTGTGTCCATTTCCATAGTCACAAGGGCAGAGAAATGCCCCCTTGTATAACCTAATGCTATTGGTGTCTTCCAACAAAATCCATTCTCCCAGAGTAATGGTAAATAAACACCTATATAATTGCACAATTGATACCATAAATATGAAAAATACTGTTTGCTTGGTAGTAATATAAATGTAGCATTACCTTGAAATGGGAAAAAAAAACACTTGCTAATGAATATTAGCACATTTATCATAATCATGGCAGGTAATAAAGTTGAAAACTGCTTTTAGTTAGATTTAGACAATTAAAATACTACCTTCTTAGTAAATTTAACAAAATACATGTATATATGTTTTTTATAAGTGGTTTTCAAATCCACTTATGTACATACATGTATATATATAATTAAGGTATTCAATGTATAACGACCATTTATTGTACCTAATACATGAATGGTCCAATTTTTAATTCATGGTAGTATTTTGAAGGTGTTATCAAATAAAAATACTCCACCAATTTTTTACCAAATTTTGATTTTTGTACAATTAATTTTATATCTTGAAGTTAACATTGAAGTCTATGGGCAGCGCATGTGTTATTAAGATATTGTAAAAAGTAATTTGAATTCCTTACAATTGGTGAATATATGCATAAACTCTCTCTTTTTTATAATATGAAATAAAATGAATCATTCACCATAGATATTTTGAAAAAATTAAAATTTTCTTCTTTTCATCAAGGGCAGATAACTCATCAAAATCTTTTAAGGTGAAAAATGACTGGCTTCTTGCATGTTATCTGTCATGTGAAATTGGTTCATTTCACTTTCATCATTATCTAGCAATGCATTTTTAAATAGTTTAAATGAATCAAAATTGTTCAAAATACATTGAATACCTTAATATATTCATATTGTGTTATCAAACCATACTAGTATCAAGTCTATATTATTTTACATTACATTGTGGTAAATGATACTGTGATTGTTTGAATCACCTTGAAATCTTGCTAATCCTAATGATTCTCCCCTGAAACTTTTAACATACTTCACTCCATACACAATGATAGGTCTACGAAGAATATGGGCTAATGCAAATATATGAGTCTGTTCTAAAGAAGCACCTGTAAATAGATTAAAAATTCGATGAATATTCAGGTTAAATAATTTATATTCTTATTTTTAAATTTACATATATTTACAAGTACAGTAAAACTCATTTAGTATGAACATGAATATAGAAAATTTATGGATATAGTGAAATTTTGGGGGATCCCTAGCAAAATTTTTTACGATTACCGGTAGAATTAAATGGTTATAATGAACTCTGATTTTACAAATTTATAAATCTAGTGAACTGATTTTGTGTCTCATAGAGGTTAAAAATAACTAAACCTACATCTTTTATAGCGAACATTTTAAATGTTTGTTATTTTTTTTTTCTGTGCTGAACTCACCAGGTTGACTTGCTAAATTTAAGAGTTCTGCCCAATCATTCTGCCACTGTGCCTCATCCAGAGAAAACTGCAAGCTCTCAGCATGCATCGATTCATATTCTTTCCATCTAGGGTAGAACCTACAAAATAAAAACAAAAGAAAATGGATGATTTTACTTCCTGTATTCATTTTCCTGACAGATTATCCCACCTAGTTGCACCCTAGTAAACCTTTTTCATATTACATCTAATTCTTACATCATAGCACCATCACTAATGCTCTCTGAGAGGGCTTGTCTGAGTGTGTTTTCCGAGTCAAACACTCCCCAGGTTGCCTGTAGTACTGAATCCAGAAGGCAGTCTCCTGCAGTTCGATTCCACAGTGCATACAGACGACTTCCTAACCTTACTGTCAGTTCCAAACTCCAGTTGATCACTAAATCATCCTCTAGTTCTACAACAAATGAAGAATTATTGTTTTTTGTTTATTGAAATGTTTCCATAAAGTATGAAGTGCTTTGCTATTTAGGATACTTATACTGCATAATGGAAATATTTTATTGGAAAATATTTTCCAACAATCTTCAATAAAATTATTTTTTCTTCACATCTATGTGTTTTAGGTCAGAGTAAATACCTTTTTGTACATCTTCATCTAGGATTTCACTGAACACCTGTGACTGTACAGACTGTGGTAAATCCATAACACCTGTCAGAAGGCACGCACAAAACCATCAATATATTTAATTGTATCATAGGAAATAATGAATCAAAATCCAATAAAATAAGCTATGGAGTCTATTTTCCATTCAAATAAAAAAAAAAAAAACATATATGTATATTTGTATTTAATCTTTCAAAATGTTGTATTTACATACCTGAGGGTAAAGCAAATGTAACACAATCAGAGAAAAACTGGCAAGGGAATTCCCCTTTTCCTCCCTTCCTCTGTCTCAGTATTGAAGAAATTTCCCGACGAATTTCCGCTGCAACATCAGGACAAACATGGGATGGCAGGCGTTTAAGTCCCTTAGCATTAGATTCAGTACTTGTAAGGAGGACAGCAAGCATGTCGTCTCTCTTGAATCTTATGGCAAGATGGACAAGTGTGTATCCTACTTCAAATGCACTTGGTCTGTTTAACAAAGCAACTTCTTCTTGGGTTAGCTGCCGCGAAGGATCACCACCTGACGTAATAAATGATTCAATGGCTCCTAAATCTCCAATAACAACACCAACACATGCGTTCAACCACAACCAATCTTTTTCTCTCATACACTTTCTTATCTGTTTAAGTCTTTTTTCTGTAGCTTTGTTATCATCAGATGTTACAGCACCAGAAGTAGAAGGGTCTTGTAATTCTACAGACTGATTGTCACTCTGAGGAGATCCACCCCCACATGCCATGGTAGGGGAAGAAGGCCCCATCTGTTTTGAATTGATTTCGGTGGGTGATAAAGAAGGAGGTGAGGTAATGATCTCTGGAGAAGTTCTTCCTTTACTTGTCCCACACATCACACATTTTGAAGTTTTGGGCCAGTTTTCATATGTGCAGGCTTTGCAGGTCCATTTTATTTTTGCATATTTGGAATATGTTTTATTAATATCATTATTGGATGAACATTTTGCTGCCTTTGGTGATCCAGGTGTTACTTCTCTTGCTGGAGTAGTCCTTCCTGATCTGGAACTCTCCCCTAAGTGAGCTCCAGATGTTTCATTTCTTGTCTTGCTCCTCTGCTTAGGTGACTGACTTCCAGGTGACACATTTTTTCTTGGTCGCAGACACTGAGTGCACTTACTTGACTTTGGCCAGTTTAGATATGTACATGCTGAACATGCCCATTTTGTACCATGAACTGCATCACTGCTACTGATGTGGGGTGAAGTTGAGGGCACTGTACTGCTTTCTTTGTTGTGGCCCATGGAAGCTGCCATTTTGTAGATGTCCTGCTCCTCATTTTCAAAATCTGAGATCGGTGTATCCTGTCTGCGTACATTGCATATTGTACACTTTGTAGCCACTTGAAAATTCTGATAGGTACAAAACTGGCACTTCCACTTGTCCGACTCAGTCATTCTGGATCTCTTGCACCTTGCACACTCCTGGATACTGACAAAATAAATTATAATTGAAAAACATTGTTAAATTTGAATTGTATGCTGTCTAATTCTATTACAATTTTACCAGTTCTACATTTATTTATATATCTGTAAAAATGTCCATTTTGTTCATATTTTTTTCTAGAAATGCATTCCAAAACACATTCAGCTGGAGGAGGAATCTTATAGGTTTAAACAACTTCTATTCTTTTAGATTATAATTGATAACTTTAGTTTCTTACCCTTGCAAAATTTATGCTGCAGTTGCACATGTTGATGGAATTTTAAATTTGCTTTGAGACTTATAATAGCTAAATATCATATGTAATGCAGTTGCTCTTTTATTCAATTTACTATATTAGTAGTTTTGAAAAGGTTTGCTAGAAAAAAATATTTATTTCACAATATCACATGCATCTTATTAATAACATTTAAATCCTCATCCATAATACTGGATACATCATAACCTGTAAGTAGCTGATCTAATGTCATCCCAATACTCTCAATTTTCCAAGTGCCCTGGACACTTGATGGGAACAACACCTTGACTTTGAACCCTACCCATCCCCTCAATCATCATTTTGTGACCTGGCTAGCAGCAAAAAGCTGCTGGACAACTTATTTTAAATTTAATTAACAGGCCAGTAGGAAATCCAAAGCAATTGGTGCACCATATCTATTCTCATACTCTCTCAGGGGTTGACACATAACTTTTAAGGCATAATTAGACTGCAGGGTTGGTGACAACAAAGGAAATTCAAAGTCACTGATGCTGTCGGTTATTATGCCTTATGAGTTTAGTGTCAACCCCGATAGAGTATATGAGAATAGATGTGGTGTGCTGTAGTAATAGAGACATAAGATCTTGTGCTGGTGGCAAGTGTTTCTCATAAAATAAAGGCTTTCCATACACAGTAGAGAGATGTGGAATTAATCTCAGCGAGATCCGTAAAGAATAAATATTTTGGTCTGGTATCTCTACGGATCTCAGACCAGTATCACATAATCTCATTCGTACTACTAATTTTTCCTATAGAAATGAACCATAGTACGAAGTATTTGAAGCAGACTATTGCTGGAACTCTTCAGCATCGGAGGTTTAAACGAATAGCTTATTGCTATGAAAAATCAGCAACTTTACATTTTGATGGATTTAAACCTTTCAGAGGTAAGAAACGAAAGTTTTATGGTGATAGGAAATTAAAAGGATGTCCAAAGCAAAAAGTTGAAGCGGACAGCTAATTCATTTCAGCCCATATGAATCGAAACCAGCGGTCGAAGTCCCGGCACGAAACCCCGAATGAGATTATTTGATACTGGTCTGAGATCCGTAGAGATACCAGACTAAAATTTTTATTCTCTATGGATCTCGCTGAGATTAATGTGGAATATGAATACTAACCCTTACACATATACATTAATATGATGTGACTTAGATAGATCGTTCTATTGTTAAAATGATATTGTCCTACGGACCCAGGGCACTTGGTTTGGGTTGTCCTGAGACACAGTTAGATTATTCTAACTAGATGCGACTGTATATGTTTGTACTTGAAAATGAGATTTAACATCTATATGTAGTCTGTAGATGGTTTATGTTAACAATATAAGGGAGACTACGATCTGTGGTGATCTAAAGGTAAACGAGTTTAGCCTTTTTAAATTTTTAATGTTACAACAATAACAAAAAGGTACTTTAACATAAATAAAGATTCCGGAGAAAAAATTACAATGATTAGATTCTCTGATTATCAATCCTTGAGCTGAGAGAAGCAGGTAGTGAAATGAATAAGTAACGAATCATGTGAGATCAACAACTATTAACAACTGATTAAGTCATTGTCTAAGACAAAGGTAAAATATTGAGAAATGGACTAGTATATCTGATTACGTAGATACTTGTTCTTATAAACATTACCAGGAAAGACAGGAAAGAAGTTTCTTTTTAAGATCACATTGTCAGCTCCAAACCAAAACAAAGATTTTTCTTCTGTATATTGATGACGTCACATCTAAATTTACGAATATACTTGTGTAGTTGAAGAAACGAATAATTGATATCCAGTCAAAGCGCCCCCTAGGAAAACCATCCCGGTCAAAGCGCCCCATAATTTTGGTCAAATCGTCACCTGATTTTGGTCAAAGCGCCCCTTCATAAATTTTATAGAAAAAAATCATTTCGAAACCGTCCCCAAGCAATGTGCCCCCCCCCCACCTTCTGATTTTGGTCAAAGCGCCCCTTAGATATTTTTATAGAATGTTCGTTTGCAAATTTTCAAAAAAAACAAAAAAAAAAAAAAAAAAACAAAGCAAAAACAACAAACAAACAAAAAAAACCCCTAAATTTTATTTAATTTCATTTCATTTCCCTTTACTAATTTATGCTATTTATTTCATATCCCGAAAAATACATTTCATACTTTATGTTTTAGTTGATTTTTGTTTGTTCAGCGTGTCCCATGAAATATTTCATAGATTAAGTTTGAATAATCAGAAGGAGGAATGCCACACCAAAATTTTATTTTATAAACCTTTAAGACATCCCTGATAAGTAGTGGTTTCAGCATTAAAAGGTCAATATTAGCTCTCAATTATTTAATAAGAATTTTTTTCCTATTTTTAATAGAAAATGAAAAAAATGTTTTATTTGCTAATAAGTAACTTTAGGGTTAAAAATTTGCTATTAATAAATGCATAATATGAATGTCTAATAAAACATGGCCGTAGGAACCGGGAGGGCACGGGGGGCGTACCCCCCCCCCCCAATAATTTTGCCGATATATAGATTACTATAGTAAACATAGATACTATATATGCTTGTGCCCCCTCAATAAAAACGTCTGATGACCTTTTTTTTTTTTTTTGCTTGTCAAGGAATTTTTGGTGGTTGACGACCTTTTTTCTACTTGTTAGGAAATTTTTGGTAGTGTCCCCTCAACTGTCAACTGACAAATGTTTGGCTGTGCCCCCCCCCCCCCAACTGAAATTGCTTCCTACGGGCCTGTAAAATATGATAATAAAGGCTGGATAGTATAGATTCCATATGCGACAACCAACAGCTTACTGCCAACTGCTTACTTCCAACTGCTAGCTGCTTACTGCCAACTGCCACACATAAATTTTGGGACACATTGTGCTGTTGAAGAAACAAGCATACTAACAATGAAATCATCTTAATTCAGCTAATTTTTTCATGACCTCTTCTTTTGTCAAGAATAGGTGCATAATACCTAAAAATGTTTGTATACCACCCCCAAAAAATTAATGAAAAAGGAGTGTTTCGAGCTGTTAAATTACGAAGCATCTCGATCAGGTGCGAAACAGAATTGGCGCGAAACAACACAAATCCCCCCCCCCCTCCACACACACATACACACGCATGTTCCTCCCAAATAAGTTTTTTTTGTGAATTTCTTATTATCCTTGTGTTTCGATATGTGTGAATTCTTTAAGCATTTGAAGTAAATCTATATTCTGAATAATTTGAATTTCCACAGCTCTGGGTTGAGTGACCAGTGTAAACTTCCGGTTATTTTACTTCCGGTTGGAGAGAGGGATACAATCGTTGAAAAAAACTGTAAGTACTCTTTACGTTTTAACTCAAGAGCTTTTTCATATGTTTAAATATGTTTACTAGTTTTGACTGGTAAATGAGGGGTGATATGAGTCAACAAGAACTTATAGCATGATTTCAACTCCATTTTCGAGACTTGAATCTATTTACAAAAGGTGAAAGGATTGATCAACAAAGTATCCACGATATATACTTAATAAGAAAGTATCGCACAAGAAACCTTTTATCCAAGCCATATGTATTGTAACATACATTTTAGGAGTGAAAAAAGGCGAAATCATGTTAATTAAAATAGAAATTAAACTTACTGTACTCTGAAATGAAACTAAATAACATTCATTGTCAGGGTAGATAAGCCAGAGAATAATGATGATTGTCGATGACATGTATTAAAAAAGCATACAGTATAAATGTGTGCTACAAATAGGATGTCATTGTGGTTGAATGTTTGGTGCATGGTGGTCTGGCAGTCGCACGGGTTCTTCTAATTGCCCAAATGGGATCTGGAATAACCCTCTAATCATACCCCCACCCCCAACCCCTTTTGGAATATAATATGTCCAACATACTGAAACTTTTGGCCAGGAAATTTTTGAGTATCACTACAGGGGTTGAAATATACAGTAGCCTGATGCCCGGGGCTAGTCATTTTAGGACTCGGGCTAGCTAATTTAAATGTAACGATAGTCTGTTGGACTAACTGAATGGAAAAAATCCTCGTCCATTTTCTTTTTCTTTCTATATAGTCTGGTTTCTTTTGACTGAGAACTAGTTTAATTTGTTTCTGTCACCATAGCGTTTGAAACTTTAAATTGTTACATTTTCATTTTGCATTAAAAAAAATTGTTTTGCTACTTAGTTTGAGGTTTGGGCTAGTAATTTTTTACTGATCAGTAGCCCTGGGCTAGTGGGATTTCCAGGAAAATTTCAATCCCTGCACTATTGCTTTAATAGAGCATTAATCCAAAAGAAGATCCAAAATTTCTTCTGGTCAATCTCGTAAACTGATGGATGAAGGAAAAACCTTGCATAAAAATTTGTTGCATTCGGTGTACATTTATGTGGGTAAAAAAAAAACTGTTTCTCCATCTTTTTTTTTTGCAGAGATGGCAATGTGGTGATTTTGTAATATGACAATTAAGAAAAATTATACATTTGCATCTTTGACTTCTACATTGAATAATTTTGCAGTTATAAATGCAAATATCAATTATGAATTTTTGAAGATTATTTCACTTTGAATGTCATTATATATTTAATCTGTTGATATTGCAAGGAAGACAACAGCACATTAATAGTATTAGAGTGTGTAGATTATACATGCAGATATTACCCATGCATAAGTCTTAGCAACTGGTATTCCCTGGATTACTTAAATAATTTCGTACTTTAATATAATATATCAGTGATTCTGTATCTTTTTGTTTCACACTTCAGTCATGAGTGGTTTACACTGAAAGTCATCTTTTTGTTTGTGGAGAGGGCTTATATAGGCTATGCCTGCTACCCAATCAATTTTATAATATGTTTCAGTACATAATAAGATATGTTCAAATCAAATCTTCTTGTTTGGGCATAATATTAGGGCTCTCTTTTGAGTATTATTTACATAATTTTCATAGAGTGACGACCATATCTTATGACACCGGTAATAAACAAGTTTTGATATATCAAATAAAAATAGGTGGAAACTTCAGATTTATATTATAGTATGAGATATCATCAATTAGATACCAGTTAGTAGTAGACTAAGAATACAGTCTCATTACAGATAGCATAGGGGAACACAGGATTACTTTGTCACTCTTGAAGAATGTGTGTTATCAGCAATAGGATGTAAAAAAAAAAAAAAATAAAACTAGGGTGTGTTTAAAAGCAAAGGGGACTCTTGAGAATGTTTGGCTCTAAACATTATTTATTAAAGTTAAAGAGACTGTTTGAAACATAAAAGTTGTGAATAAAGTGGAACCTGGGAGATATTTTCGTAATACATTATGTACATGGCATGCTATTAAATTTCATCATAAATTGATATGAAGGTAATTTAACTTTCATGCAGATAAAATAATGTAGAATTTTACATACATCATCATGATCGTTAAAAAGGGTTCACATTGCAAGAAAAAAAATGTTTCAAAAAAGGAAGAAAAACAGTATTTATTTATCAGGTTTATTGCTTAGATTAATCATCACACATCTTTACCATAAACAATCATGAATAATCTGATACATTACTTTTGAGTTTGGTGTTAGGTTACAGAGAATTTGAGCGACACTGATACAACAGGTGGTATAGATTAGCCAGAGTTTGTACTGCCTTTCTTTTTAACCTTGTCCAGTGTATATAAGATCTACATTGTTTAATGTGAGGATTACCCACTCGTTGCTGTGTTTCATAGCTAGTAACAAAATCAGCACACAAAGGCTATATGGTATGGGTTTAAATGCCTTACGTTACACTTTTATCGACCAAACTTTGAACATGTTAATATTTAATATAAATGGTAAGACCTTTAATTTGCACTACTAACATTATGATTCATGCATAGATAACTTTGAGAAATTGCTTTTGTTTTTTATTATGTATGTTTATTGAAGTTTAAGAGACTGTCAAGCAAACATCAATTTGATCATTTTCATAGAAGTTGATATTATTGACCATGTTGACCAATGAGTATGTGAGCGTTAATGCGAAAAGGACTATATTCTGTAATGGCCAATGTCTGCCCCCAAATCAAACTTTGATGGTGAAATCTTAAATCATGTTCTTAGCCAGGAGGATATGCAGACTTCAAAGCATTAGACATTGTCATCAAATCACAATTGTGATGTCATAAGTTAGATACAGTTGAACTTCGGTATCTCGAACACTGATATCTTGAATACCATGGATATATCAAAATGATTTGAAAGTCCCAATCCCTTATTCTTTAAGTATTTTACCCAGGATATCTCGAATCCTTGGATATCTCGAAGTTTTTTCTCGGTCCCATTGGGTTCGAGATAACGAGGTTTGACTGAATGTCAAAAAATTACATAAATTAAACATTTGAATTTTCAATGATTTCAAAATAACTATCAAACAACTAAATTGTGCAATAAATTGCAGTCCTTTTTTGTTGGACAGACTGCAAAGCAGGAGTTTTTTTTACAAAGCAAGTTGATCAAGCAGCATCAGTTTCTATGCCCCAATATGTCCCTATAAAGCTGCTTATTTTGTTTGTTGTGAGAATATTAAGTGTATATTCCAGATGGATCATTTTTAACCACCACAGGCAGCACCAGTAGCGCAGCAGTATTGTTTGAAAAGAGGTGAAAAGTGAATGTAAAAATTGATGAGCAACTAGGTCAGTCGTTTGAATGTGGGACTTTATGATGTGTATAAATTATGTCACAGATTGTCCATTGTTTGTAAGATTTTTGACATTTGTGCATCTTACAGAGAGCCTAAGCAATCCAAAATGTCATCTTATTTTTCTGTAAACACAATATACCAGGTATATATAGGTCATAAAGATTGGAATGGATTGTTCTAACTTTGTTGTCGAAGTGAGTTATGATTCATGGAAGTGTAGAAATTGCATGAAGACAGATTTAATGAAGACAACTGAACAGAGTATTGACCAGTTTTGATAATGGTACTTGAAGGTGTTCATCGGATTTATTGTGTAAACATGGTAAAAGTCATACGTCAAGTTTTATTATGCCCCCGGATCGAAAGATCCCGGGGGTATATTGTTTTTGTCCTGTCTGTCTGTTTGTCTGTTTATCTGTTTGTTTGTCTGTTTATCTGTTTGTCTGTTTGTCTGTCTGTCTGTTGTCAACTTTAACCTTGCCCATAACTTTTGATTGGTTGGAGCTATGACTTTCATATTTCACATGTGTATTCCTTGTGACAAGACCTTTCTTTGAGTACCATCATATTTGACCTTTTGACCTTGACCTTGGAGTTTGACCCACTTTTGCAAAATTTTATGAGACTTTAACCTAGGCCATAACTTTTGAACAAGTGGTGCTTGGGGTTTCAAACTTCACATGTGTATTCCTTGTGACAAGACCTTCCTCTGGATATCAACCTCTTTGACCCTTTGACCTTGACCTAGGAGTTTGACTTAGTTTTGAAAAACTTTAACCTTGGCCATAACTTTTGAACAGTTAGAGCTAGGGCTTTCATACTTCACATATGTAATCCTTGTGACAAGAACTTTCATTTGGATACCAACCACTTTGACCCTTTGACCTTGACCTAGGAGTTTGACCTACTTTTGAAAAACTTTAACCTTGGCCATATTTTTTGAACGGTTAGAGCTAGGGCTTTCATACTTCACATATGTAATCCTTGTGACAGGACCTAACTTTGGATACCAACAACTTTGACCTTTTGACCTTGACCTAGGAGTTTGACCTACTTTTGAAAAACTTTAACCTTGGCCATAACTTTTGAATGGTTGATGCTAGAGCTTTCATACTTCACATAATTATTTAATCCTTGTGACATCACCTTCCTTTGAATACCAACCACTTTGACTCTTTGACCTTGACATAGGAGTTTGACCTACTTTAGAAAAACTTTAACCTTGGCCATAATTTTTGAATGGTTGGTGCTAGGGCTTTCATACTTCACATATGTAATCCTTGTGACAAGACCTTCCTTTGGATACCAACAACTTTGATCTTGACCTTGATGTTTTACTTACTTTTAAAAAACTTTAACCTTCGCCATAACTTTTGAACAGTTGCAGCTAGGGCTTTCAAATTTAACATTTTTTATCTTTTGGCCTGGATTTTGACTTGCATTTGAGAAACTTTAACCTTCGCCATAACCTGCCATACGGGGGCATCAGTGTTTCACAAACACATCTTGTTTTTTGACATGTATTAATGGTAAGAATTTATTAACTTGATTAAAATGAATGATTTATGATTCTCAAAATCAGTTGGCACCTGGACATTTTGTAAGCTCTTTTTTTTTTTTTTTTTTGAATTTGTGCCATTTAATGTTTCTTAGTTTAAATAAATTTCTGTCAAGAAGTACATGTTTATACATTTAGATAAATGTAACAGAGTTAAAAGTGGCTATGCGTTGTATATAGTGAGGCCACGCTCCTACTAGCACTAGCTAGCCTGTAGCTCAGTCGGTAAAGCGTTGGATTTTAAATCTGAGGGTTGTAGGTTCAAGCCACAGTGTGGACACCCCTAGTTAATTGGTCATATAAAGAATATCAAATTATTTGGAAATATGTTTCACAACTTTATACTAAATCTCTTTCTCCTTACGATTTTTAAATTGTATGTGTATTGTGATGCAATAGATCAACCCATCAAGTTAATCTAATTGTCATTTGGACAAGTTGCTGACGAATGTTACTCATCCAAACTCATTTTTTACTTGTCTGACTTTGAACAGATATAATAGGAATTTGTAGAAATTAATTTTCAAGAATGAAGAAGTTGAAAATAATATTGACTTAGAGATTTGTTTAATAATGAAAATAAAAGCATTAATACTGATCTAAAATGCAGTAGCACTCTCTTTAACCTAGTCCTTGAACATTCTGACAATATCTGGTGAAGTGTGACTCATGAGCCCTTAAGATTGTAATGTTTCGTATTTGATGTTTGTGATTTAAAAAAAATCACAGAGCTAGGTAAATGAATTCTATGGGGATTTTTTTTCCATATTCACAATATTCCAATAATTATTTAAAAAAAAAAAAAGTAACTTTGATTGGAAAGTGTTTTTGGAGATTGACTTGACTGATAACAAAATGAAGTGGACACGGGCAGTCCGACAAACGTTAATGTCCTGATTAAGTAGAAGTTCTAGCCAGAAGGTACCGGTATATTCTGGATTAATGACTCTCTATTTGAAAACTTAAACAGTGGAAACTGGTTAAAATTCATCAGTTTATGTATGAATTATTCTTAAAAGTAGTAAAATTCTACAGTCATAAATCTCCTATAGGTAGTGAACAGAAGCTTGTGCAGTTAAATTCAGATTGATTGTAAATAAAATAAATGCAATATTAATAACATTTCTATTTTATTGCATTCAAGCTTTTGTAACATTGATGAAGGGAACTTGCACACATTAATAGAATGTTTGGAAGGAGAAAAATAAAGTTAACTGTAAATGAAAAGTCATCTTGCCAGAGATTTTTGATCCACTAGGTACTGCGCTCCCCACATTTTGACTGAGGAGCATAGTAGATTGAGAACCCTTGGCTTGCAAAGATGATAAAAAGTACACATTAAAAAGGAATGTAGACCTCTGTATACGTTTATTTCTAACCTCTTCCTTTTGTAGGATAGTGTCTTATTTTGGTTTTTAGGCAATTAATGTTATTTGAATCCATCTATATTCTGACACCTGATTTTAAATCCTCCAGAACATGTATTTCCAAAGGCTGAGCTAATGTTGAAATTCCCATTCATGAGAAGACAGCAGTTGCAAGATAATGTATAAGTTGCTAGTTAAGTATTCTCTAAATGAGATAATTATACATTGTGTGACTGATTAAAAAATTATTTTGTCACAGGTAACTTACCTACTTAAATTATGTGCAAAGGGCTGTTAAATGAGATAAAAATAAATCATATTCTTCAGTCTAATTTTAGAATAGTCCTCTAGAAATGTAGGTTAATATGCTTTAATTTTTTGTATACAAATAAGTTTTCTGCTCAATGATGTTACATACAACCAAGATAAAGGTACGAGGTAGATATAAATCAGTTGTATTTATCTAAGACTATAGGCACATTTTACATTTGGTAAGAATTCAAACTATATTTGATAGAAATTTTGTAAAACTTTACCTAAAACTAAATTGAGATTTAATTGGGCTCAATCCTGTGATATTTGAAAAAAATGTAAAAATTTATGTGACTTTTAACATGTTTAACATGTTTGTCATGGAAATGGAGAACTGATAAAACTTGGGTGATTAATTCTGCAGCTAATGCTGTTTGTTTCAAACTCAATCTCCATTTTTTATATATATATATATATTTTTGATCAGACTGGCTCACTGTTCCCCAGACATGTGGCTAGACTGGGTCATATGGAGGTACAGTGAGTCAGCAAGTGCTTCATAAGATCCGTGATTGGCCAAGTACTTCTATAATTTCTTTGTTTACATCACAATCACATTGGCTCATTGGCTATCCTATGTTTTTTAATCTGTAAACTTTATGAGCTGCTGAACCTAAGTTTGGGTGTATCTCTGATGCATTGAATTTTGACACATTAAAATTTGTATTAGCACTTGCATATTGAGTAGATAACTTCTCACTGCAGCACAGGGAGATCCTAGCTGTGAGCCAGAGAGGTAGACTTCCACACGGAAGGATATGAACATGCATTATGTTCTCAAACTTGCAATTGAATGTGATGCATACTTAGAAGTATCCACAAGACTTACTCTCTAGGGTAATAACAAAATTTCACAGTGTCATAATATCTAAGTAATTTTCTAAGTTGTATATTTTTCAGATGTTTTAAGATGAAGTAGGCAATTCCAGAGTCAATGATGGACGACAAAATCAGCATCAAGGATAAAGTTTAATTCTTCAAACACAGAATTGTAAGTTATCATGGTTATATTCTGAAAATTACTGAACCAAATATTTATTTAATTTTTTTTTAATGTCAAATGTCATGTAATTTGTAACTGGAGACTTTTCAACGAAAATCTTTGTCACTGGGACAAAAATGTTTCACAATGTAATTATTTTTGGTATTCAATGGCCATCAGCTGTGGAATTCTAGAAAAAGTGCATATAGCATTTCATTAGTTGCGGAATAAACCATACTTCAGCATAATTTTAAACAATACAGTGAAATGAATAACAGAATTAGCAAACTGACTGCTTATTGTTATGAGACCATGGAGCTGTCTGAGATCAGTATATAGTTTTTTTTTTCTATTCGATTGCTAAAAATGTGACACCATCAATTGTGACAGTAGCCAACTCTGACCATGATGGCAGAAAATATTGACAACTTCATTTATTTTAAAGTTCATTCAGATATCTCTATGGTTACATGACTTTGTATCTGTTAAAGATTACCGTACATGTAATGTGGATACATCATGTAACAAGTATTGAGAATTAAGAATTTGTTTGATGAACACAATCAAGCTATGTAGGTCAGTATCACAATTTTCTTAACTTAAGGTAAGCTTATATAAATAACCTCTGTCTTTTCTCTCTCGTGTTAAACTGAATTTAATTAAAGTACTTCTAAGCTTATCCATGAAGATAAGGCACAGGCCCATGTAAGATTATATGTTAACATTGACCATGACTAGCATTATAATAAATAGGTCTTAACTCTTCATCATACTATTTCCTGATGACAGATATAAATAGTACATTACATCCATACCCTTCATCCTTAAACACACATGAAACCTCTTGGAATGTTAAAGTTACTTTAACAGTGTGAAATGAGGCAGATGTTTTGAATTTAACAAATTCAAAGAGAAATTTTCTGAAACTGTCAGAGGTAATTTCTGGGTGTATGTGTGTGTCTGACATAGCATTCTGGCATTTCAGTGTCCATGGTCTGGAGCCTTTATGAACTCAGTTAATTAAATGTATAAGATGCAATATAGCATAATACTAATTATGAACTTTGATTATAAGCTAGGTGTTAAAGTAAAACATTTTTATTTAACACTATTAACTTAGGTCCAAGTATTTTATGGAGTATATGGCATACTGGCCATATAGTTTTAGTTTGAAAAATGAAATAGAACATATTTATAACTGCTAGGTTATTTGTTTGTTCAGGTATGTGATGAGAACATGTAGATATATGATTTTTATCAGCAAACTAGTAATTATACACCGTGAAAAAAGTACCCCCTCGCTGTGATAAAATAATCATATACAAGATATGTAGAGTTTTTCTTCATATCAGATAGTGTAAAAGTACTGCTACCTATATACATGATAGAAGAACATTACTGAAAAAGATAATATTTAAGCATTACCCATAATGAAATTTTACTTTTTATACCTATTTTCATTATGAAATATAAAAGTTTGTAGTTAATAAGTTCAGATGAAGAAGAAAAACTATTGATGTTACATTTGTTTAGATTTTGTTAACTGGTTTTAAGTTAGAAAATGACATGTCATCAAGAACTAAGGATTTTTTAAAATAAAATTTTAATATGAATCTGATAGACAAGTAGATGCTTTGAATTCTTCTTTATCAGGATAAAGTGAAGATCGATCCTGATGTTAATGTGAATATGTGAAGTAACATATACAATTTTTCTTATCCATGCCATGCATAAAGTAAAACATGGTTACAGTGAACATAATGAATTTACATTAACAGTGTATTGATTTTCATTTCCGTAGTTTCAAAACATCCTTAACTTATCAGATATTATACATATATCACATGCTTTGGGAGGGGGGGATGGGGATATCAGAATATTTGCCCCTTGGTGCAGGAAAGTCATGGAGTGTTATGTCAACCACTGCTGAAGTCAGAGGGTTTCATAACACTCCAGGGCTTTCCTGTCACCTCAAGGCAAATATTCTGGTAAAGTCACCCAGGGGTCATGTGATATATGTTATAAAACATTTTTAAAAATTTCCTTCATCAATAAGATTGATTATTAGAGTATAGGCAATTAAGGTCAGACGACGTGTTCCTCAATAATATTTATTTTTTTTCCAAGAATTTACCATTGAAGTATTGCTATTTTAACAAGTTTTCTCATAAAAAATTAAGGTACCTTACCAGGCATTTGTGCAAGATACCAGAGGATGCTATTGACTATATAATCCCATTGGAAATCACTAGCATTGCCCAAATTCACAATTATTTTATGTCTATATCTACTTACACATTTTGAGAACAGTTTAAAAATCACTAGACAATGATAATTATGATTATTTTGTTGTATATTACGAAGAGATACAAAACAGATATTCGAACAACATGTCATCAGACCTTAAAGTGATTATTTTGATTTACCAGTGTTTTTAAATCATGAACCTGACCTAATTAATGTAAGTGACAGAGGGTAATCGGGACTGTGTTATAACTTTTCAGCATGTTCAGAAGAGTGTCACAGCTGTTTCCTTTTTGATTCAACATTCTTCAGGGTATATAGTATTATACATTTATTGACTGGGTTCTCGGGCAACATGCATTTTGTTGGACCCAAGAACCAAACTGTTTGCCTTCGGCCTAACGGCCTCAGGCAAACAGTTTGGTTCTTGGGTCCGACAAAACGCATTTTGCCCGAGAACACAATCAATAAATGTTTTGTTATACCTTTTATTTTATTTACATATACATGTATCTTGTACTGGTTTCCATAATGTAAATTTCCTTTACCCGCACTGCGGTTAAACTCGGTCCCGCCCACATTGTGACGTAGAGGTCCAATATCTCATCGACAGGTCCAATATCTTACTCAGCGGTCAAACATCGATTTTCAATGGACTGCTCAGTAAAACATTGAAAATGTCAGACTTTTTAAAGTATAGATTTATATAGGAAACAATTTTTAAAGGTATAACAATACTTATTATATTTGTGACATAATAGGAAAAATTATTCGAAAAAAATTACTGTTGTATAACAAATGTTTTTAACAAATCAAAATTCTTCATCCCTTGCATACCACTAAAAGTGTGTTGTAATGTATTTAGTGCAAATTTATTGGGAACTTGGACAGTGTTAATTTGCACACCCCATTTTATATCAGTGATATATTGTATACAAATGCCAAAAAACTTTAGATTATAGTCTCCATTGCAGGTTCAAAATTCACTTAATTATATCTCTTAATATACTATGAAACATGCGTACAGCTAAATGATGAACAAATGATGAAAAGGGATGAACAATTTTGATTCATTATAAACATGATTTGTAATATCTGTTAAGTTTATATTATGTCTTTGCTGTACAGATAAATTCATTATATGAGTGTTCAACTAAACTTGCTACATGTGTCCTTTGGTGTTGGGGGGGGGGGGTTCAAATTTGTTCAAGTAAAGGTCCATTTCCCTTTCAAAAAGGGGCCAATTAAGAAATAGTGGAAGTAGGGTGAGATCATTTAAAAAAACAAAACAAAAAAAAACTTGTGTAGAGTTTCTGTTTAGAATATGGTAGAGAAGGGGTCCAAAGTTTTGAATGCAGGTGTATGGTAAAATCTTTTAAGAACTACAAGGTGAAAAATTTTCAAACTTGTACAAACCTCCTCTGATATGTAGATCAAGTCATATTTGTTAAGATCCTGACCTCTAGCACAGAAATTGGCCAACACAAGGGTCATAAGTTTTACAAAGAAATGCATAGAAAACTCTTAAAGAATCTTTTGAGGACTGCAATTTAGCAGGCACCCACATGTACCGCAATGTACATTCAGGTTTGTTCAAACCCTGGTCACATTGTGCAGGGAATGGACCACAAAGACATATAATTGAAAAGAAACAAATAATATTTAAAAAATTTTCTCTACAAGATTTACAAGACTACAATTTGTCAAATTTATTTGCAAACATTTTATGTAGTACAAATTTAAGATTAGGGCTGTGTCAATAAGTTGATAAGTAACCAATATTCAAGAATGTATCGTATCAAAAAAATAAATTCCAATACATATCGGGCAGGCTGTTTTTCTTATAATTCTGTGAAAATGTTGAAAATGTCAATCACCAAAGATTTGAATTAAAACTAATTAATAATGATATAAACCTTAGGGAGATAACACATCTTAATTATTAAAATATTCATAGACAACTATATTCAAACATGCTGGTTTGACAGTCATTGAAAATTTGAATTTGTTAAAAACTGGTTAAAAAATCCAATATATCGCAAATCACTTTATAAAATATATAATAAGTATCAAAATTATTTGCTCAATACAAAGCCCTATTTAAGATTGAATAAAATATTGTCCCAAAGGCATGTTTAAGATGTGGTCCCTAAGGCAGAATAAGTGGGAGAGACACAATATTTTTTAGTGTAATTAATTGGACTTTGAAAAAATCCTGTCATGGAGGTTACAAATTGTCGAACTAATATGAAATTGTTCTCATAAGCAGTAAATTCAGATTTGATTACATCCTTGCCAAATGGACCAAAACAGTTTAGATTAGGGTTATCAAATCTAAGATAAAGAAGAAAAGAATAAAAAATATTTTCTTAATGTCACTCGGAAAATGCCTCTAAATAACACTCAGGTGACTAGTAAGGTCCATGGGCCTGTGTGTGTGTTTGTTTTGTAGCTTTAAGTAAACCAGGAGTTCAAATTTTATTTCCAAAGGTAAAATTAAATGCATTTTTAATGATGTATTTTTATTTGTGCCAGATGTGTCTGTGATGGGTACAAATTGCCCAGCAGAGTATTGATGGAGCGAAGATCAGATGAGCAATAGTGTGTTGTCACCAAGACTGTGAGGCACACACAGTTTGTTGACATGAGAGTAAGACCATCTCGTTTGCTACGCAGCCTCTTTCTGGTAGTGCTATTTCTTTTCGTGATGCTCAACATGCATGTGCTGTTGAATACGAATTCTCACCATTCAGAATCCGTGGATCATTCCCTTCTCTACAAACTCCGAAATCCGGACATTTACATCAACCCTCACGTGCAAGTCGGCCATGAAGTCACACCTCAAAGTAGCGAAGCCAAGCTGGAAGTGTTCATCCCACCAAATATGTATAATCAGACATTCTCCAAAGGAGACGTACAGGAAAACAATTTAACACAAATTAAACTAGAAATAGATAGGATTAACCGAGAACAATATATACAAAATTTGCACAAGTTTGGATTGAAGTTAAGAACAGACAGTGTTGTCATGGTAGTCCAAGTTCATGATCGCGCTCAGTACCTCCAGATTCTTGTGGATTCTTTACGTAAAGTCAAGAAGATACAGGAGACCCTTGTGATATTTAGTCATGATGTGTATTCAGAGGCTCTAAATAAAATTGTGCAATCTATAGACTTTTGTCCGGTAAGTGGTCTACTTGATGATTTATTAAACAGTATTTTGTACGTGTTCTTTGCTAGCACTGAAAAATTACGAGCAGTTGTTTATATTATACATGTATAAGTTTACCTATAAAACTTAAGTTTTATATCAAATAATTTTTTGATAAGCATTTAAATATGATGGGTATTTACTTAAATATTTGATTTTATGGTTTTTGATTATATGTGGCAGGTTTTCCCCCCACAAGCTTATGCCTTAACATGCATACATTTCACTGAAACCTTGACAGGGTATCAAAATCTTGACAAATAATTTAGATATTATTCAGATTCTGTTTACATAGTCAGCCTGTTATTAAGAAATCTAAAATTAAAACTGATAATTTTTGCTGTATATGTGCATATCAATTATGCAATTCTCATTTAGACTTTTAAAAGTTCTTGATTCGTCAAAGTGATCTAAAATGTATTATACAAGCATGCTAATTGATGATAAGTAAAAACTGTTTTTTCAAGAAATGTGTTTGAATTTTTGTTGGCTATGTAGAAAACCTTATTGATATTTTTACTATCACATTTAGTATATTACAAATTTTACCTGATTGAAAACTTAAGTAAACTCCTCATTTTTAAAAAAAAAATTGCTTGAAATGCAAGTATGCAACAAAGTAGTTTTTTATAGAAATATCAGAATAAATTATGGTTATCAAACTTTATATGAGATATAATGACCAGGAGACATTTATATCAATTTTTAATTAAGTATTAATGTAGACAGGAGCTTATCAGTATCGATCAATACTCAAATGTGCATGTTTTTTTATATACATGTATCATGAATAAAGATACACTAAAAATATAGATAAGTGATAGCAAAAATCAATGTAGCTATGGGATTAAAGTACTACTTATAGAAAGAAAAATAGAAAAGACTAGCAGCTAAGCCATGTATATGTGTGTATAAATACAAATAAGCAGTTTAAAACATTTTAGTATTGCACATTCTATCTGTTTTCTATCTCAATCTGTTTACAAACCCTACAGCAGGTGCCCTCTGTTTTGTGTCTGGTGCACTAAGAGTTGCATACAGATTTGAATTTTTGTTTACCGGTAGTAGGTAAATTCTCAATATATACCAACAAACACATACGTAGCTTTGACAAACTAATTTGTACACTATTTTTTCATCAGGTGATGCAGATATTTATGCCTGTGACTGCTCAACTTCATCCACAAGAATTCCCCGGCGAACACCCAAACGATTGTCCCCGCAATATAAAAAAGGAGGAGTAAGTGTGTATATTGTAGCTTATCACTGAAACTCTGTCCCTGTGGTCAGAAAACATACAGCTTTGCTGTTTCTTAAAGAATAGGAAGAGCCCTCGGGCACACTACATTGTATATCCACAAGGGTTCATGACCACTTTGCATGATTTGCCATCTCTGCCTTTTATTCCCTGTGTTCATCTTACCATGACTTTTGCAAAACTTTGGTTTGGCTTCTTTGAATGTTCATAAAGAAATATACAAATTTAACATCAAAACTTGTTCACAAAGAAAAAAAATTGAAGTGGAAGTGAAGAATATTTTTTTGGATGACTTTTCAGGGCAGCATCAAAGAAATGTAACAATTGGCAGCATCCAGACAAGTATGGGCATTATAGAGAGGCCAAGTACTGCCAGACAAAACATCACTGGTTATGGAAGGTAAGCTAACTGATCAGTATGGGCTGTTTAACTGACAAGCCTGGGCAGTCTGATGATGTGGGCTGTCTATCTGACAAGTTAAGGGAATCTGACAACTATGGGCAGTCTAACTGACAAGTATGGGCAGTCTAACTTACAAACATTGGCAATCTGACAAGTTTGGGCAGTCTGACAATGTGGGCTGTCTATCTGACAAGTATAGGGAATCTGACATCTATGGGCAGTCTAACTGACAAGTATGGGCTGTCTAACTCACAATCATTGGCAATCTGACAAGTTTGGGCAGTCTGACAATGTGAACTGTCTATCTGACAAATAATGGGAATCTGACAAGTATGGGCAGTCGAACTTGCAAATATGGGCCATCTAACTGACAAGCATGGGCAGTCTAACTGACAAATTTGAGAATCTGATTGACAAGTACAGACAATATTGGCATTACAGAGAGGCCATATACTGCATAATGTAAACACAACAATTTAAGCAATACAATGACTGCTAGGTATTATTTGTCTAAAATTTATGTCAACCACAATACACTGTTTTCAAAACATATAAAAAATCAATTTGACAAAGGTTTCTCTGAGGAATTTTACTGTGGTATTGTATCAATCATTGAAACCTTTAGGGTGTTGTTATTTCAGTAGCAATGTAGCATTGTTGGGATAAAATAAAAATGCTTTGAAAAATGTCATCTACCCTGTTGTTTGATAATCTAGTTTGTAGTTTGATAAAACATGATCTATAATTGTTTTTTATATTAATCTGATGGGGAAATATTTTACACATATACAATTCTTTTTGCACAAATGAGACTGACACAATAATACTTGTATTTGTTATTTATCTATCCCCAGAGACCTGCAATTAACATGATTAGGTAGATGACTATTTGACACAAGGAGATAGACTGATGTGTTAGAATCTCTGTACATAAAATTACTTACTCCTGCCACAGTAGGGGTAAGTCACATGAAATTAGGTCTTGGCTTTAGATAACTGGACTTAGTAAAATCCATTGCCTTTAAATCTGATGAACAAGTCAGGTTAAAAAAGTTTTGCAAGCATAAGAATAGGGTTACAGTAATTGTATAACAGGTGTGTTATTGTACCTGGAGGCAGCATATCATATTGTATGATGGATTGTGAATCTGAACAAAACATACACTAAAAAGTCATTTCAGTTTACTTTCTATGTAGTATTGATATTGTTTTTCTGTCATATGAACTATTTTCATCCATTTTTAAAACCCTGTGCTTCATTTTTTTTTTTTTTTTTTTGGCAATCTTGTGGTAGAGCAGGTAGATAAGACTAAAGTGAAACTAGAGTGTTCCAAAGAAATGCATGTGTCACCTGTTTTATAGCTCCATTAAAGATGTAAATAAATCTAAGAATGGTCATGAAAGCTATTTATTTGCCTCTAGCATTATCAGTAACCATGGTATTTTACAAAAGTCATGATGCCAAGCAATATATGTGCAAAATCAAATCCATACCTCTAACAGTTCTAGAGATAGAAAGTGTGACAGATGGACAGACAGACAGATGCCGAGTAAAGTGATCGCTAAGTGTCGCTCTTCTCTGCAGGCAACACAAAAAAACCTTTTGTTTTAATTTACATAGAGACATGATATATGTCATTCATATTGTTATTTTAGAGTTTAATATATACATACATCTTGCCCAGTTCTCAAAAATGCATAGGTCACTTATGAAAATATTTTATCTCTTCAAAAAGAAAAAAAAAATCTTAAAAGAAGTTTTCAAAGCATGCTCCTTTCTATGATATTTTTTGTATAATAATAACTATCCTGCATGTGCATCCAAGCCTGTGTCCCTTACAGGATTGTGGATGAAGAGTATTACATGTATTTATTGAAAAAGAGTGGTATATATTACAAAATTTTCTTTTCCCATCACTTTCCCTGATTATGGGGTTAGAGATTTACTACTACTACCAGCTAGACTTTTGTGACATATGACCACTTTCTGATAATATCTGCTTAGTATACAAATAAATCCCTTTTTGATATGACTAAAGTATATTTCCTTATGCTGAGGTGTAGGGAGAAGAGATAATGGTAGATTGGTTACTAGGAGAGGCTAGGTAAATTTTATTTATATAAGCTACATGTGAAATGATGGATTAAACTGTGTGGGTCAGTTTTAATGTAGATACAGGAGTATTTTTTCCTTAAAATACACATACAATTTGCTTGACAAACATGAAATTATCAGTATAAATGGTTGGAGTGAGCAGATATAGAAAGGTAGATTTCCTCTTGAGTAGTGTTTTTTTTAATAAAACAGAGTACATGAAGTATGACTGGTAATGTTTTCTCAGTAAAAAAAATATTCAAAGCACATTAAATTTGATATCTTCTTGTCCCATCACTTAGCAGATATATTTAAATCAATGTTCGGTGTATAAACTGAAAAAAATCCAGGTATGCACCTATATTGGAGGAAATTAATTTTACTGGCCTGTAACAGCAAAAAAAAAAGAAAATGTATAGATCTATGGTAATATTTTTGCATTCATCCATTAAACACAACATTCAAGAACAGAAAAATTACCAGTGCATGAATTTTATTTGTATTAGCACTCAAATTCTTTTTTCATTGAGTTTCCAGCTTATGGACAGTTAATTATAGGATTAGGGACTAAACATGATGAAAAATAATTATTTACAAAAGGATTTTACTTTGCAAACATGGTTGAGTAAAATTAATCGCAATGTAAACTTTAATTTAGACAGATTGTGTTTGATTTCTGTTGATAATTCAATTCATTCATGATATCAAAGTTCTTGTTATGACACAACAAGCATGTACATTACATTACTACATTGTATCACAAATACCAAAGGGTCCAAACTCTTTGCCTCATGTTGCCAAGAAAGATTTAAAAATGAAAGCAAAATCTTTTTCACAATATTTTCAAAATTTTTGCAAACAAGTTTGTTATAGCTTTACTGATCATAGAGTGTCCATAGAATACATGATTCTGTGTACTGGTTTTATACTTTTTTATGTTCACTCAAAATGGAATAATCTGTTCATAATCTACTCCTATTATGCTGTGGGATTTTTGTAAAACTGGCTACTACTTTATAAATCCTAATGATAAATACTGATATTTGAGGGGTGATCAAAAAGTTTGCAAACTATCTCTATATTTACAAAACCACAATTCAGATAAGAATGCAATTTGGCACACATATAGTCATACACATGTTCTATAAATAGCATATGTAATGTAATGTTTTTCTCCATGTGTGTAATGTCACAATGTAAAAATGACGTCAATATGTAGGTGACTTGTGACAAAAAATGGTTGACTCAGTCGTACTTGAGATACAAACGGCTGTGAAGTTTAACGTATATCTTGGAAACTCCTTTGCAGTAGTGTATAATATTTTGAACAAGGTTTTGAAGATAAACAACTTCCCAGAAGTTCAATCATTAATTGGATTGATTGTTTGAGTGAAGGGAGAGAGACGGTTAAAAATGGTGTTTGTTTTTTTTGCCCAGTGATAGAAAGCTGGTTTAGTGTTGTGTCCATAGTTGAGCAATTTGTTATTAAAGATCGCCAAATTACAGTTAGATAAAATGTTAAATATCTTAACAGTAATGTTAATATTAAATCTCTAAAATATCATTTACTTCAGACTTTAAACATATCAGATATGATAAAAAGAAGTTGCACATACTTTATCCACATTGGATAAATGATGTTGCCAAGGTAGAGGACTTGGGTTGTGATGGTCACCATGCTCATTCTAGGAAAAGATATCCTTTTCTCCCCATCCTATTTCTGAGATTTGGCCATTTCTGACTAATGGACTGTTCTTGTTATAAAAAATAACCTGCATGGTAAGAAATATACGACTCTGAAAAATCTTTTGGCTTCTGTGAACAGAACGCTAAGGAGCATGTCACGTGACCACCTGGATCACGTGATTCACGCATGGACAGAACGGTGGCAGATGTGCATTAAAATCGGGGGGGGGGGGACTACTTTAAGAAATAATGAATATTAAAACCTAATTTTAGTTCTTTTATGGAAGTAATTCAATTAGTTCACGAACTTTTTGATCACCCTTCATAATTATATAAATGTTGAACTAAAAAATAATGTGTCTAAAATCCAAGTGCAACTTTTAGTCTATTCAAAGTGGTAGAGCTACAGTCTCAGCAGAGACCTCTGGTTCATTATTTAACCCTTCAACAGATAATTTCTGTAGCACTTTGTTCACTTTTACCTATTATGACCCACATCTTGGGTACCATGACTTGCTTATCAGATAGAACCCATTAAAAACCTGTTTCTACAAAAATGTTTTCTTTTCTTTAGCTTCATCGTGTGTTTGATGAGCTGGATGTGACCAAGAACTACACGGGACAGGTTCTGTTACTAGAGGAGGATTACTATGTAACTCCTGATATTATCACTACTCTACAAATGACACTCAATCTCAAGAAAAAGTGAGCACTTTTTTCTGTCTTGGCTCTGTACTTTATTATAGGATATATATCCATAGCTAAAGATATGTGTTGTTTTATTTAAAAGTATTGCACTTCTTTGGGATGCCCCCTAAAAAAAACCCCTGCACTTTCAAATGAGTGAGTGGTTTGTGTGAAATAACCCAGCTAAATTTCTACATTTTAAAATACCCTGGTGTTGAATTCATTGATTATCAACTTTTGTAATAGTTTGAAATCCAGAGGAAATGATGATGAATTCATAATTGCTAATGTCCAACATATATCCAAGGTCACAACATGCAATATCAAGAGGCTGCTGGGAATTTAAATGTTAACTTTTAATATCCATATTTAATTTTTAATCCAAAAGACCACTCAGACATACTTTCTATTTAGGTCATTTCCATTTCTGAATAATTTAATTCTGGTTGTAATGTGCCATTTGATTAGATAAAAAAAATTACATTATATCATATATATTGTGTTGCCTACGTCACAATGACTTGGGTCAAAAAAGTATCGATCCACCTGATGTTACATTTAAATTTGGTATAATTTAAAGTCATTTTTAAGGACAATCATTTCTATTTACTTATAATAAATAAATGAAAATTGAATTATAAGGAATGAATTTAATAGCTACTCAATTTATATGGTATAAACTGGGTTGGAACAGTTTATGCTTTTTTATAAATATACTGTATAAATATTGGGTAGCTATTAAATTCTTTACTTAATTAATATACATGTATATTTCTGTGTCCAGTTAGATATATATGTACAGATAATGTTGAACTTTAAAAGACAATGATTGAATTTACTTATATGTTTTTTATAATTATGTGATGTTATAAACTGCTTATTAAAATCTTTCAAAACTATTTATTCCAGAGAGTGTAAGGACTGTCGTATGATCACTGCAGGGAATTATGACAAATCCCAGATATTCTCGTCTAATTCAGGCAAGGTGAGATCAAATAAAGGACAACTATGAGGAAATAAATACAATTCTAACTATATAATGACTTACTGACCTTCAAAACACAAAAATTTTCCTTTCTAATTAAAAAATACTGTTCTGATTTTTAGAAAGAAAACTCACTTTTTTAAAACAGAAAACTGAACAAATGACTTGCTGACCAACAGAATAGAAAATTTCCATTCCAGTTAACAAATGATTTGTTGATTTTTAGTAAGAAAACTACCCATTCCAGTTAACTTACTCTCATACAGAACAGAGTTGACAAATGACTTGCTGATCTGCAAAAATGTAAAATAACAAATGACCGATTTACAGAAATAAAACTTCCTCTTCTAATTAACAAATTACTGGCTGACATAACATAAAATTTGACAAATGTCTTACTTCTCTGCCGAAAAGAACCTTCTATTACTTTTAACAGATGTCTTTTTGACCTTCTGTATGGAGAAGAAAAACTGTTCCACGTGTTCCAGTTAACAAATGCTTCATTGACCAGTAGAAATAAAACTTTCCCTCAAAACGACTCATTGACCAGCAGAAAGAAAACTTGCCTTTCACATGTTCCAGTTAACATATGACTCATTGACCAGCAGAAATAAAACTTTCCCCCCACATGTTCAAGTTAACAAATGACTCATTGACCAGCAGAAAGAAAAATTTCCTTCTACATGTTCAAATTAACAAATGACTCATTGACCAGTAGAAATAAAACTTTCCCTCCACAAATGACTCATTTACCAGCAGAAAGAAAACTTTCCCTCCTCGTGTTCAAGTTAACAATTGCCTCATCAACCAGCAGAAAGAAAATTTTCCTTCCACATGTTCAAGTTAACAAATGACTCATTGACCAGCAGAAAGATAACTTTCCTTCCACATGTTCAAGTTAACAAATGACTCATTGACCAGCAGAAAGAAAATTCTCCTTCCACAATTTCCAGTTAACATATGTCGCATTGACCAGCATAGAGAAACTTGCCATTCCAGTTAACAAATGAATTACTGACCTAAAGAACAGAAAATCTTCCTTTTCAATTTTGAAAAGATTTTATAAATCGAAGAAAGAAAGCTTTCCTTTCCCATAAATAATGACCTACTTACCAGCAGGACAAACTTCCTTTCATGGTTAACAGTTGACATATTGACCTGAACATTGACTTAACAAACCAGCAGTACATAGACTTCCTTTCATGGTTAACAGGTGACATACTGTCCTTAGCAATTACTTAACCAACCAACAAAAACTTCCTTTCATGGTTAACTGGTAACGTACTGACCTCCAGAAAGTTTTTTCTCCGAGAAAGTGAGCTTTTCTGATCGCCCGTTGTCCTGCGTCTGTCCGTTAGTTTGTCTAGCTGTCTGTCTAGCTGTCCGTCCGTCTGTAAACTTTTCACATTTTTGACTTCCTCTCAGAAACCAAAGTTGGCACAAAGCATCCTTGAGAGAAGGGGATTCTAAATTGTTCAAATGAAGCTTATGAAGGGCTAAGTCCTATTCCAAGGGGAGGTAAACAAGAAAAGGATAAATAGGGTGGGGTCATTAAAAAATTTTCTTCTCAAGAACCACTGGGGCAGAAGAGATGAAACTTGTGTGAAAGCTTCAGGAGGTAGTGTAGATTATAAATTGTTCAAATCATGGCCCTGGTGTTTCGGTGGGGCCACAAAAGGGGATCAAAGTTTTACATTGAAATATATAAAAGAAATTCTTTAAATATCTTCTCAAGAACCACTGGGCAAGAAAAGATGAAATTTGTATGATGGCTTTATGAGATAGTATAGTTTCTAAATTGTTCAAATCATGGCCCCCGAGGGTTGGGTGGGACTAAAATAGGAGATTAAAGTTTTACATTGAAATGTATAGAAAAAAAATTCTCTAAAAATCTTTTTCTCAAGTACTGGTCCTGAAGTGATGAAACTTATACGAAAACTTCCTGAGGTAGTGTAGATACTAAATTAAATAAATTTTGGCCCCTGGGGGTAGGATGCCATCACAATAGTGGATCAGAGTTTTACATGGAACAATATAGGAAATAAATGTTGAAAATCATCGCAGGAACTACATTCGCTCCATTCATATGCAAACATTCCAAAGTTGAGTGGATTCATTTCTTTTTATGCCCTACCATAAAATGACCGGGGCATATAGTGTTACCCCGTTCCGTCATTCTATCATTCCATCATCATGTCTTTCCATTCATTATCTTGGCAACAGTTGCACACATTCAACTCAAATTTCACATATGGATACGTCATATAAATATGCAGGTCAAGTTTAAATTTGGTCATGGTCTGATGATTTTTGACAGAGTTATCCTTCTTGAACTCAGATAAAAATAAGAAATTTTCAGTTTCTGCTCTCCAACTTTTGTAGGGATGTTTGTATAAGGTTGAAATTATATATGCAGGTATTTTACCAGAAAATACAGGTCAAGTTCGAAATTGGTCCTGGTCCGTTAATTTTTGAAAGTTATCCCCCTTGAACTTGGAAAAGATTTGAAAATTCACAATTTCTTATCATTATCTCGGCTGAAAATGTGCAATTTACAATTTGTAATTTGAAATTATGGCTGCTTTCGGGGGCATTCGTGGCATTACAACACATCTAGTTTATATTATATACTTTGGGTTAGAGTTAGCTAAAATAGGGATCAATTTTCACTTAATGCATGTATACATGATAGTCATAATGATACTGAAGCATCCCCATGTTGTGTGAATACAGAGACCTTTAGAGTGAGAGTGGGGCTATAGTATGCGGTGACAATTTTTCATGGGAATATAGAACTCTTTTTGGAAATCTAATGAGGAACAGTAGGGCTAAAGTTACTCAGGTGAGCTATGTGGCCCATGGGCCTCTTGTTTCAGATAACAATGACTTATCAAGCAGCAAAAAGAAATAACTTGTCAATATTACTTACTTGCATTTTTGAATTTTTTTCCCCCTCATATAATCTGTTAAAGGATTCAAAAATAAGGAGTTTCCACACATAGGATTCACAATTTTATTGTAAGAACAGAAATTATTCAGAGGTAAAACATCTGAAGAGAGAAAATATGTTCTTTTAAATTTTGTAATCTCTCTGATTAAATACATGTATACATTAATAAGGAGGACATTAATCAAGTCTATGCACTGAAATTAATTAAATAATTTTTTCAGGTTTTGGAGGTAAAGCAACACAGTGGCATATAACATTTATCTTCTTATTATTACAAAAGTGATAAATCTATTTCAAGACTATTTTTAAAAAAAAGTGTTTTACTATTATTAGGTGTATGCACCCTATGTCTGAAGAAGATATGTCACTGTATTGACTTATTATTTACACTTCTTATTCGGTTTATAAAAAAGTGTTCTTTGGACAAACTGTATCTGTTGAATATATTTCTTTTTCTGAAATGTGTAAACAAAAGCACACTGTTAATTCTTTAATCTCTCCTAGGTGGTGCTCTTATATTGACTTATACCTCTTTTCATATCAGTCCTTTTGTTATATAAAGCAGAAACAGAAATTAGATTTTGGTATCAATACTGGTGTTAGAAATAATGACCTATAGGAAAAAAAATTAAGTGAGAAAGGAAGACAATTCACTTTTAAAAAAATTATTCAAACATCTGGAGTGTGATTTCAAGAGTATATAAAACAACATTATAAAGAGAAAATAGAATGGAGATGATCCAATAAAATGTTTAAAAAAAATTTACTGAATTACATGTATTTTCTTTCAGATGGAGTTAGCATCTTGGATTTCTTCTAGACACAATATGGGGATGACATTTGCTAGAGATCTGTGGAATGAAATCAAGAAGTGTGCCAAAGTAAGGCTCTTTTATTATTTGAAAAGTGAGGGTTAATATTGATGGGGATGTCTGCACATCCATTTTTCCATCCATCCTTCCATCCATCCATCTTTCACACTTAGGGTAGCCATCCCTTATCAGCAACTCCTCTTACACTTCTGAATGCAGTGTAATGAAACTTTTATGAAATCTTTATTATATAATGGCATTATACACTTTATATTTTACATTTCGATCCAACACATATTATTTGGGGTTTCTCATAGCAAAACATGGACACTGCCATGTTCTCTATAATATTGGGGTACCCATCTCATATCCGCAACTCCTCCTTTATCACTGAATAAAATTGAATGAGACTTTCATGGAATCTTTATTACATAATGCCATTGTATTTTTATGTTTTGATCAGACAGATATTTGGGGTTTCTCATAGCAAAACATGGACTTTGCCATTCTTTTTATAATATTGGGGGTACCCATCTCTTATCTGCAGCTCCTCCTATATAAAATATATTGAGACTTTCACAGAATCTTTATTACATAATGCCATTGAGCACCTACTATTTTATGTTCTGATTAGACAGATATTTGGGGTTTTCCATAACAAATGTACTTTACCATTATACTAGTATAGGGGTAATTTTTTGAGCTCAGTGCTCACAGTACTTCTAGTTTTGTGTCTACTGTTAAATAAAACTTGGGAATAAAAAAGAAAACATATAATGTAGACAAGATATATGTATTTCAAATCACCAAGCCTTTGTGGGCAGAAATGCATTTAGCAGGGGTACAAAGTTGAAAAACAAATAATTTGATTTCTCAATCATGTACAGTAACTGTTGCTTGTGATATTAAATATCAGTAAATGAGCTAGGAATCATTACCAAGTCTTTAAATAGACTTTTTAATCACAATAAGATATTTAAGTCCTATGTCTTATTTTGTTTGCATAATTTGACAGATGCTAGTTTTAAATGACCTGTTGACTATTTTCAGGAGTTTTGTAATTTTGATGATTACAACTGGGACTGGACATTGCAGCACTTGAGTATGAAGTGTATACCAGGCCAAATCAAATTGCTCAAGATGAAGGCCACACGAGTGTTCCATATGGGGGAATGGTAAGAACATTTAAGTGGTTTTCTGTTTATTTCTTATAACAACTTCCCATCTGATTTTGTGTTAATTTTATCACACGTTTTGAGGACTGATTGTCTGCAATGTTGTTACTTAAAAAAAAACTAACAAGATGAAATCAATACTTTTAATCATATTTTAAATGATTGTACTATGATATATTTTTCTCTTTCAATTTCAGTGGTGTACACCATAAAGGGAAAAACTGTAATCCACAAGTCAAGAAATCTCAAGTAGAGAACCAGATAAACCAGAATTTAAAGCACCTGTTTCCTAATGTGGTCATTATAAATGGACAATCACGGTTCAAGTTACGAGACCCAAAACCAAATGGAGGCTGGGGCGACATACGGGATAGAAATCTGTGTCTTAGCTTTGTCAATGATGGTTAATTAAGGGAAAGATATTCACAATATTCAGGGAACAATTACGAAGGAGAATGTTTATACATAATACAAAGAAAGGTTCAATTTAGAACTGTTTATAGAAAGATGGAAGTTCTAAACTCCAGTGCTTTCACTTCATATGCCTTTCTGAATGATTATGTATTGTGATTTATCATTTTTTACTGTGATGTTTGATACTGGGCATGATGAGTATTTGAGCATTTTTTATCGTGTAGAGGTCATTCTATGAACAATTTCTAAGGCCAAAGAAAAAAATATGTTTGTGTACTATTACTTGCTAATTAAAAATTGGGTCATTAGGTAGGATTTTGATTTTATTTTTATTTTTTTTTTACATAAAGACATTACTATGAAATACAACAGCTCAAAAATTGCCCACTAAAAATGACCATACAACCTAGAAACCATTACATTTGAAGGAAAATGTACAGACAAGCAATTTTTGGATTGTGCCCTAAAAAAGATATTTGGGTCAGTGCATACAATAAGGGTTAGTCAGGTTACTGTAAACAATCATATTTTTTCTTAGGCCTAATACAGGATATGGTAGGTGGTCTCTAGATGTAAAAGTATGTTTGTTTGTAGATGAAGCATTATTAATAACAGCATTTGTTTGAATTGACTTTTCAATCAAAATAATTTTTTTAACATTTTCATACAATGAAATAAAATTGTTTGCAGCAACAATTTACATGTATGAATAAAGATTATGAAATAGGACATCTTTTTAAAAAAATGTGCACTGTGTATTCTTAATCACACACAAGGTTATTTCTGGATTATCTCTTTACATGTCAAAAACTTAAGTTCATAGTTTTTTTTAACATTTCAGTAACTTTTGTATGCTGAATTAATTGTTTGGCTGCAAAATTAAAGTCTAATTACTTTAATATCATACAAATAATGGGCCGGTTATTCCAGTTTTGAGGTTTTCATGCTTTAAAGTTGTATTTAAAACGATATTGATAGGAACATTAAGGATATTTGCACAAAAGTACTGCAGTGAAACACCTGGGAATTTCAATAGCCTTTTAATGTAGTTTATGAAGAGGCTTGAGAATATTGCATTTTTACTTGGGTGGAAGTTTTTTTGTCTTTTTTATGGACATGTTACAGTTATTTTAGAGTTAGTTATTTTTCTTTGAGGTTCTTCAGTTGTCTAAATACATACAGTCATTCAATGTTTCAGACACTTGCATGCATTTCACATATGAAGATATTCCTATTGTTGTTTGTAGATATTTTGTGATCTCAAAACAAATGTTATCTTAGTGTTTGAACATATTTGAAAATTTCTACAGACCACAACACACATTAATTGTTAGATAATTTTTCTTAGGAAAATAAATCTGTGCATATACATGTATATGTATTTTGAAAATTAACAATTGTTTATTGAATGAGAGCTTACATGAATATCACAGTGATACATACCACTTCATTTATCATGTTCAGTATATACATGTATAATGTACTTGTTACATTGTACAAAAGAAAACACATGTATGACTGAAAATTACTGCATTGCTTTTTCCAATGGAGAGGCATTTCTTTAGAGTGTATATGTATGTGAGATGGCAAGATGTTTTCATGATATAACTGTGTTACCATGTGTGAAATCCTCATCATCTATATTTAGATTTGTAGTGATAGTTGTTTGTGCCTTTGTCATAAATATGTCACATTCACCATCTGTGATAAGCATTATTATCTTTAACATTTTGTGCTAGTTTTACACCAAAATACACTGTTATACTGCAGTACTATTTAAAAGTTAACCTTTATCTCCCAGATCTCCATTTTTCCAGCTTTCCCCTCCTTAACTTAGTATTTGTGCTCTCCTTTAAATACTTCCACAATAACTCTGTACTGAGGTTTGGCTATTTTTTGCTCTCCTTTGAATACTTCCACAATAACTCTGTACTGAGGTTTGGCTATTTTTTGCTCTCCTTTAAAAACTTCCACAATCTGTACTAAGGTTCGGCTAGCCTATTTGTGCTCTCATTTAAATGCTTAATCCTCATTTACTCTGTAATGAGGTTTGGCTTTGTTCTTACTCAGTTTATGCAAAGGAAAAAAGGTGATTTTTTTAATATATGAAATTTGGCATTAATAAGTATTCTTTGCTTGTTTATAAGTAAAAAAGATTACTTGTAGATCTTATTTTTCCACATGAAGATTTAAATGCTTAGTACATTTCTTTCTAGCATGTATAAACTGATTTTTTTTATAGTGTTACACAAAGCTTATAGTTACAAAACTGGGGGTTTTTTGTTCATCATTTGAACAGTTTTTAGCTCACCTGAGCTGAAAGCTCAAGTGAGCTTTTCTGATCACCTGTTGTCCTGCATCCATCCATCTGTCTGTCTGTCAGTACGTCTGTAAACTTTTCACATTTTCAACTTCTTCTCAAGAACCACTGAGCCAATTTTAACCAAAGTTGGTATAGAGCATCCTTGGGTGAAGGGGAGTTTAAATTGTTAAAATGAAGGGCCAACCCCCCTTACAAGGGGAGATAATCAAGAAAAGACAAAAATTGGGTGGGGTCATTAAAAAATCTTCTTCTCAAGAACCACAGGGCCAGAAAAGCTGAAACTTATGTGGAAGCATCCTTAGGTAGTGTAGATTCTAAATTATTCAAATCATGGCCCCCGGGGGTAGGGCGGGGCCACAATAGGGAATCAAAGTTTTACATTGAAATATATAGGCAAAATCTTTGAAAATCTTCTTCTCAAGAACCACTTGGCCAGAAAAGCTGAAACTTATGTGGAAGCATCCTTGGGTAGTGTAGATTCTAAATTGTTCAAATCATGGCCCCCGGGGGTAGGGCGGGGCCACAATAGGGAATCAAAGTTTTACATTGAAATATAAAGGCAAAATCTTTGAAAATCTTCTTCTCAAGAGCCACTTGGCCAGAAAAGCTGAAACTTATGTGGAAGCATCCTTGGGTAGTGTAGATTCTGAATTCTTCAATTCATGGCCCCCCGGGGGTAGGGCGGGGCCGCAATAAATATTACAAAGGGGAGGTCTTGTGAAGAACAGCAGGGCCATAGTAACTCAGGTGAGCGTTGTGGCCCATGGGCCTCTTCTTATCTGTGGTTATCTGTTAAGTCTAATGCAGCAATTATCTTGAGAGAGTCTAAAGATATACAGTTCAGCATTTATCTGTTGATATCCATAAAGAATTAAATTATAAAGGGAAGCTTTACAATGAGAGCACTGTTTTAACGTTAATTTACATTTTTTTTCATTCAACATTAATTTTTGAATTTTGGATCAAATTGTCTAGCTTAAAAAAAGCTGGTTTTCTAGTCACTAGAAATGTTTGTCAGAGAGAATAAGATTTTTGACAATACTTGGTCATAAAGTTTTCACTTGGACCACTACTGTATTTTAGAATATTTCTGAATTAATTAATTTAGGTGTGTTTGAATTTGATCATTAAAAACTGCAGTTTGCCTTGAAGGTGTTGATATAAATTTCTTGTGTGTCTTGTATAATTCTGTTATTATCAATAGGAAATTTTATCGTTTCATCTTTTTTAAAGAAAATTTTAATAATTTCTTGAATCCAAACAAGTGTACCACCTAGTTTAGTAAATAGAATGAATGCCTTATTTTGTAGTCCATAATTTTGTGATTTGTTAATATTTCCAAGCAACATCCACAAAAAGTAGATTGAAATAATTTTTAATTTATAAACTTGGGACCAGTGCAAGTACATGTAGTTTGTTTACATTTTTAATAATAAAGGATCGAGTTAGAACAAGCTATCAGAAAATGGTAGCATGAAAAAATTTGTTGTGTGACAAGTTTGTTATAAAAAGTTTTTATATACATGCACATTTATGTAAGTAGGTATGTAATTTTATTTTTTATTATGAATACTTTACTCAACTTTTGATCACTGTTACTTACTTTTTTCATGATTTAAATTGAAGAAAGCATTTTTTTGTGAAAACAGATGAATTATTGAAAAACAGTTCTCATTAATAACTTGCTGTAATACAGAAACTACTGTAGCTTTATAAATCAGGGCATTGCAGTAATTTCTGTAGATATGCACACAAAATAGACTTGCATCTGTGACAGTGAATAAGCTTTATAAATCTACCATGTATTCACAATACACCCTTTATGTTATCAAAGTTTTAAGTATGTACATGTATATCATTCATGTAATCAAATTATATCAATTTATATGGTTCAATAATTCAATTGTGATAATGATTGCATAATGATTCTGTGTTCTTGTTAATTTATTGAATAAAAAATCTTTGCATATGAAACAGAGTGTTTATGTTAAATGTTGGGAAAACAATGTATCTTGCATGTGAAATATAACCATATAAAGCTACTGTACATCTTCTACTATCATATTTTATTCCATGAATGGATATTTCCTATTATGTCCATTGTCAATGCATTCACAAGGCTGGAATGTTAATAAATGATAGACTCATGAGCAATATTTTAAAAGCAAGAAGCACTGAAATTTATGCCAATTTATGATTGCACTAATCAGTTGAAGAATGCACTAAATTTTGAGTGTGCTGATTTACCGTGTATGTGCATTTACAGTATTCTAAGGCAGAAGTAGATTAGACTTTGGGTAGTAGAAAGAAAGTCAGTCATCTCCATCCACTGAATCTTAAGCCTTTTCTTTATTGAACCCTCAGTGAAGAAAGTCTGAAAGTCTTCAAATGCTCACAATAAACTATTCATTCTTCAAGGAATTTTCTCTGATGTCTCAATTACAGTTGGTATAAAATCTAAACAATATGCCTCAATCTCATTTGTTTTTTTTTAAAGAGTTTAAATAAGAATCAGTGTGCATACACAAAAGTAGGCAAAATTGATACCTAAAGTCTTCAAAATGTGTCAGTTGATGCATGCATCTTAGGTCCTTGGAGTATTTCAACCAAAAAGTAGGTCACTGTGACCTACTTTTGGAATTTTATGGCTATATTTCAATATTTCAGATACTTATTGACTTAGAATCATCAATTTTTATCAGTTGATGCATCTTGGGTCCTCCCAATGTGTTAACTAAAAGTAGGTCACTGTGACATACTTTTGGAATTAAGTTGGTATTTAAATAACTCAAGTAATAAGAGGCTTAGAATCATCAAGCTTTGTCAGTTGTTCATCTTGGGGGTTTCACACTACATTAAAAGGTCACTGTGACCTTCTTTTGGCATTTTATGGTTATATCTAAGAAAATAAGGGGCTTAAAATCAACTTTGTCAGTTGATGCATCTTGGGTTTTCAGAGATAGGTTGTATAATTTCTCATAAGAGCATTCTAAGTCCTTGGTCCTCTTGTCATGTAGTTTTTATATCTTTAATTTAAAAAGACCACAAATTTCCAACTTTTTTAAATAGAAGAGGTAAAGGAGATGGGTGAACAAGGTGTGCAGAATGCCTATAGCTTCAGATATGTAAAAAATCAAATTCAGTTTGTGAAATTAGTATTTATAGTAAAGTTCTCTTTATTGAAGTTCATGAAATTATGATAAACAAAACTTTTCTGAGGAAAATTTTCCCACCAAAAATTTTTCTGTTATTAAAAAATAATGTGGTATTCGTGGGTATCGAACCCCTAGCATTAAAAATCCCGAGTATCATTTTCCTTTGAGACCAACATGCTTACCACTACGCTACACAGCTCCTGGTGAATAGTGACATTTAAATCATGTTTGGGATATGAACATTGATTAAATGGACTTCAAGTATTTCTCAAAAGATGCGAATGTTGTGTCAAAAATGTATTTCTAAGGTATACTGGGTCTTTGCTCCATGTCTTTGTTTACCAAAAAATGTATATTTTTACGCAAACTTTGATGATAACCTTTCAAAAAAATGGAGCGAAGACCCATTCATATAAAACTAGAAATATGTCCATAGGACATGAATGTCCTGCCGAGGGTATATTAGCAATGCAACATTTTAACACAAATTGAGAAAAGTGAGGTCAAGGTCAAAGGAAAGGTCAAGGTGAAAAAATATTGATGTAGTTGAATAGCTTACATCAGTATGTATCAGCATATGAAGTTTGACACTAATTTAAGAAAAGTGAGGTCAAGGTCAAAGGAAAGGTCAAAAATTGTTGATGCAGTTGAAATGGTTACATCAGTATGTATTAGCATATGAAGTTTGATAAAAATATTATGAATGGTTTCTTTAAAACTGAGCTAAACACTAATTTAAGAAAAGTGAGGTCAAGGTCAAAGGAAAGGTCAAGGTAAAAAAAAATATTGATGCAGTTGAATAGCTCTCATCAATATGTATCAGCATATGAAGTTTGACACTAATTTAAGAAAAGTTAGGTCAAAGGAAAGGTCAAGGTCAAACAATGTTGATGCAGTTGAATAGGTCTCATCAGTATGTATCAGCATATGAAGTTTGATAACACTATCTTGAATGGTATCTTTAAAACTGAGCTAAAAACTTATTTAAGAAAAGTGAGGTCAAGGTCAAAGGAAAGGTCAAGGTATAAAATATTGATGCAGTTGAATAGCTCTCATCAGTATGTACGTATCAGCATATGAAGTTTGTTAAAAATATCTTGAATTGTTTCATTAAAACTGAGCTAAACACTAATTTAAAAAAAGCAAGGTCAAGGTCAAAAGAAAGGTCAAGGTCAAAAAATGTTGATGCAGTTGAATAGCTTACATCAGTATGTATCAACATATGAAGTTTGATTACACTATCTTGAATGGTATCTTTAAAACTGAGCTAAACACTAATTTAAGAAAAGTGAAGTCAAGGTCAAGGGAAAGGTCAAGGTCAAAAAAATGTTGATGCAGTTGCATAGCTCTCATCAATATCTATCAGCATATGAAGTTTGATAAAAATATCTTGGATAGTTTCTTTGAAACTGAACTTTGAACAGAGCTAAATGCAGTGTGACGGAAGTACAGAAGGACAGAGGACAGGACGGAAGACGGACATGACAAACACTATATGCCCCGGCCATATTCATGGCAGGGCATAAAAATTGTGTTATAGTATGAGAAAATGATCCTTTTTTGCCCTCTTTAGTGTGTGTATGCTATTTCACAGGCAATTAATTTCAATCTTCGTGAAATTTTTGCAAATTGTGGAAATTTTACATAAAATATACTTTAATGTTAGATGAAATATCAAAGAAAATTTTGTTATTATTGAGATTTAATTTTTCTTCTTCATGTTTGTTGCACTATAGGCACTTCGCTTGCCTTGTTCGCCCATTTTCTTTAGTAAGCAAATGTAGTAGGATGTATTCCAATCAAACATGCCCGAAATCATAGGTTTTGGGGTTTTTTTTGTTTTTGTTTTTTTTTATGAACATGCTTTTACAATACAATCTCACTATATACATATTAGCCATGGAATTCTACTCAAAAATTGGAAGGATACAAACTTCAAAATTATGCCTATGCCCATTAAAAACATTGCAGAGAAATTTAAGGCATTTTAAAATTCAATTCCAGAATGTCATTAAGAAATATACTTAACCTAGAGCTTCAGCAACCTATATATATATATATATATATATATATATATATATATATATATATATATATATAGATATATATATATATTTATATATATATACACACACAAATTTTAGCATTATAAATCTTCTCATTTTTTTCTTTATAACAACACTTTGATGGTTTGAATATGTTTGTATATGGTATCCAGTTTGTAGTTCACTCAGCCAACTGTACATTCCTTACTATTTTCAAAGTCAGGTACATGCTGTATTCTTAATAAGGATGGCAACGAATATTCGAACAGTCGAACATTCATTCGATGAGTTGATATTCAAATATGAATTTAAGATTCGAATATTCGGTGTTTTTCAGATTTCATAAAAAGAAGTACTGTGATTAATAAATTTTGATTAGAACAGTGCTGGGATTATCCCTGTTTAATTTACTAGCGATCAATTTCGATCGCCTGATTTCTTTCACTACTTTCTTATCACTTATAGATCTAGTAAATTACATGTATTTTGTTTTAAGTAAGGTGTTAATGAATTGTACAATAATGCTTTGTGTATAATACAAAACGTACTTTCATAGTTTTCATAAGTTAAATACGATCGGATCTAGAATAGAGGACAACAAAATGAAAACCTTCTTCGAATGTCTAAAAAGTGAAGAGTATACATACATATCTAAACACATTTAATTGATCATTAAATGAGTGTCCGATATCGAATTAGTCTGTAATTAATATTGTAAAGGGCTCAATTTCAGAATAAATGTGTAAATTACTTGATTATCTCGGGTTGTACAAAATCCTGAGTTTTATATTCATAATCGGGAAATTAGTTAATTACATTGACAAACATTGACAAATATCAAATGGAATTTTATTGTACACCTACAAAAGTCTTCATACAATTTTACTTCCAATATAAGTAAACCTACGCTAAACCTTTCATGAAAGTAGGATGATGTTTATTTAAAATAAAACATATTTTATTTATTTTATCGAATATTCGAATATATTCGAATACTTTCATTGAATATTCGAATATGAATTATTGACAAAATTGACATCCCTAATTCTTAAGAATTAAAAGTTAACCAAAATAGAAAGAACACATGTAACAAAAAACTTGAGATTTAAATAGACACATTTTATTAAACATCATAATACCACATTAACAATTTCCAATAACCTTTTTACATCAAGCATATAACAAAACAAAGGAGTAACCTAAAATGCAATATAACAATTGCAAAAACTCTAATGACACTGTATATCATATATACAGTACACAATAAGCAACAGTATTTGTTCACATTCTGTGTGCTCATAATGAAATAGTCACTCAGATGTCCATATCAAAGGTCGTACTGTCTAGGTGTTTTTATTTTCCTTGTCCTGGTGGCAGAATTTGGAGGCAGCACAGGTTTTGGGGTAGGCGTGTAAGAAGTGACAGATGGGGTGGTAGACTTCGGAGAGGGGCGCGTGGAGGGCGAGGTGGGAGAAACAGTCACCAGGGTGGTAGAGCCCTTGTGTTCACTTTCAATGGTCTTGAAGTGATAGGCTAGCACTGACTGGGGTGACACAGAAGATATTGAGACTGTAGAACTCGTCCTCTGGATAACTGGGCTCGACTCGAGCAGGGAGGAGACCTTCCCGAGCGTCTCTGTTGTGGTTGGGATAATAGTGGGTGATTTGGATGTTTTGTAGATGGTAGGCGTGACCACTGTATGTTGACCTTGTCTTTCTGTAGAAATTTGGAAATTTCCCACACTGGCAGCATTAGATATGTGAATGGTGGCACTAGCGGATGATTTTTGAAGTGGGATTCCTGGTGCAATTTTGCCAACAGTGCTGGCACTTGTGAAAGTTTTGGGAATAGTAACTGGTGTATTGGGCAGAGAACTGCCAAGTAATTTAGCTTGAGTTATTGTGGACACTAGACTCTGAGGAATGGAGGCTGTTGTCAAAGGAAAATCATGGTACTGAGATTTTTGTACGGCCTGTACTGTCTCATCTGATTCCTCCATAGGCTGTGGTAGAAGATCACTGTCTTCTAGAGTGGAATCTGGTGACACCGTCTGCTGAGACTGGGTCACCATTTCCTGTGCTGGTTTAGCAGGACTCTCTGCCAGTCTTTCTATCTGATTTGGGAGAACATATGTGACTTGTTGTCCTTGTGATATTGGACAATTTGATGCAGCTGCTGAAGATTCAGTGGCAGCAGATGACAATGGGGTCTGGATGCTTGTGGATGGAGATTTCATGGTTGCTGTGGAGGTAATCCCCGCTTTAGTGATACCTGCCAATAACTGCTGTATTTGACTAGAGACTGGTCCAGCTGTTGTGATGTGCACTGAAGGTTTTATGCCTCCTCTTAACACATTTGACAAACTAATCAGATTTGGCAAACTGATCTGTGGAGAAGAAACACCAGTGGAACTGCCTGGAACAGACTCTTTACCTACCAAACCGGATGAAAGAGAGTATGGATGATTGTTAGCAATGCTACTGGCAATTCTCTGAGCAGCCTCCTTCTGAGCCATCAGATTGGCCAGGCTTTCCAGGGTGACTTTGGAGGCTTTACTTGGGCTCTGCTGACCAGATTCTGATGCGGGGCCTCCTTCAGGTTTACCCTCTATCTCTTTAACAGTCTGTGGAACAGGGCCTTTTAGGAGTCCAGACAACTCTGGGGCATTGTTCAAAGCCTGTAGACCTGCAATTTTATTGGCCAGAGACAGGTTCAGTAATGGTAGAGCTTTGTCTGATCCTGCTGCTGCTGTTTTCAGTTTCTTCTTAGCCACTCCCGCTGGACTCTTTACATACTTCCTCTTAGGTTTTGGTGCTACAGCAGAAAAGATTCTTATCAAAGATTTCTCAATTCTTTACATTCATTCTTGATAACTAAACAAGAACATTCATCATTTGAAGCCCTAATGCCACAATGACTTATGTATTGTATAGGGAAGAAAGTTTAAATCCATTCAATTACCCTTACCAGTCGGTACTTGGGCTGCTGGTGGATTGGAACCAGCCAAAAGATGACTAGCCAGCTGACTTGTCTGTTGTCCTACGGACAGCTGCTTGAATTCTGCCTGTCTTGCAGCTTTTAGAGCTTTAGCCACACTCAACTGTTTTGGTGTTGAAGGAAGAGATTTTTCCTGTAAGTATGCATACAAACACTCAAGTCAAACCATGGATAGTATCACAGCTAATTTCCAAACCTTCATTTTATCAGACAATATTCACTAAAATTAAACAATCATTTTTTTTTATCATAAATGTTTTACCCAAGACCATTAAACACACTTGTTAAACACATTATATGACAGTCGATTGACAAAAATTTCAAGAGTTTGTGCCAAATTTGTACATTTAGCTTTGTAGAAAAAAAAATCATTTTTTCCAATTTGCTGCAGTAATGAAAGACAAGTGCTATTAATTTCATGGGATAAACCAGAAGTCTCTGATGAGACTATAGCTCTACTGGTTTGTACTTAAAACAAATGAAGAGAAAAGTAGCAATTGGACTTGAAATTATGCAACAGCAAAAAATAAAATAATGATCCTTGATTGACTATCTTTTTGTGGTAAAATTTATTGCAATCACACTCACACTGAAAGAGTAGCCTTTTTGAAAATATTTTACAGAAATTTAGTAGCTATGGCAACACAGTTCATCTAAATAAAAAAACAATAAAAAGAATTATGTATGTTGGTGTTGTCTACTTGTGTGCCCGATTATTTTAAAATCCGACTAAAACTGTAGGAGGAGTAGCCTTTTGAAAGTATTTCACAGAAATTTCTATTTATAGTAATCATGATAACACTGTTCATTGAAATCAGAAACTGATATATATACATTATTATAACAGTAACTTGATCCGAAGAGCCGTATCACGTCGAGTTGACAGGCGCGGATCATCAGATCAAACGAGACGCGAAGCCTGTCAACGAGACGTGATACGGCTCTTCGGATCAAGTTACTGTTTTAATGATAAATTTATTATATACCCTCCCTTACAACTAGCAAAATATAGTTTTTCCATTAAACAAAGCATTTTTCAAGGAACTTTTTGATGCGCATGAAAAATAACGTCATGTTTCTGTGTACTACGTCATCAGTTTCAGAGAGGGGTGATATGGATTCAGAAAACCACAGTGTGGTGATCCGGAAAGTCGGATCACACCGTCACGTGATTGTACGAAATCTACAATAAAAATTGAGTGATACACACTTGGGTATATAATAAATAGAATTACGTATTTCAGTAAAGTCTACTTGTGTGCCAAGTTATATTGAAATCAGACCAGATCTGTAGGAGAAGTAGCATTTTGAAAAATGTTTACAGATTGACAGACAGCTAGACAAATGGATGAATGGACAAATGGACACCTTACTATCACATAAGCTCTTCTGGTCTCTGAGCAGCAGAGCTAAAAATGAAAATACACGTAAATAGGGAAAATATACACATGTACCTTTTTTTGCTTTTTCTTCTTAAACTCTGCCTCATCTATCATTTCTGCTGTATCTGAGTTTAACAGGTCAGACTGCGACAGAACCCCTCCCAGAAAATCTGCCACATGGTCCTGATAAATAAGAATATTAGCTCAGATGTGGATAATGTAATTCACTTCTGATAACCTTACTTATGCTAGAAAAAAAGGGTGCCTTCTAATCAGTTCATAAATACTTTAAAGTATGACAGATATCATGCCAAAAGAATTCAATGTTCTGTCAAGCTAATTACCATTCTCATCTTAATATTTCTTTCAAAGTATTGAAAAAAATCCTAGAATCTGCTTTAATACCGGTAAATGTATAATAAAATTCTGTCAAATGACAAATATTCATACCAGAATCTGCTTGTCAGCCATGACTTGAGTTATCCCCTCTTGTTTTTTCTTGCCCCGACACAATCTGAGATTACTGTCTGCCCCGCCTACCACCAGCAATTCATTCTCTGCCTTCATCTTCTCCCTCAGGTCCTCCATGTTGTCCGTGGTGGCAGTGTAGGAATGCTGGCCAATCACAAACATGGTGGGAGTTTTACTGTCCAACAGAGTATCCTCAATATCCTGACAGTTATACAAAAAAAAGTACTTTATATCCAAAATATTGGTCAACATGTTATTTCCTATATTAGAGAAGAATATTTGTCCTTAAGTTTCTTCAATGTACATTGAGAGAATCTTACCCCTCTCTGGCCATTGACTCCAGTAATGGGTAAACCCAGACAAACCACAGCAGACACAGCTTCTACCAGGGAAACCTACAGAATATGGAGAGTCACAGTTTAAAAACAAGTTGTGTTTGTGAAACTCTGATGCCCCCATATTGGCAGCTCATGGCAAAGGTTAAAGTTTCTCAAATGCAAGTCAAACTCCCAAGGTCAAGGTAAACAATCAAAATTTTGTTGGTACCCAAAAGAAGGTCTTGTCAAAAGGAAAACGTGTAAAATATGAAACCCCTAGCACTAACTGTTCAAAAGTTATTGCCAAGGATAAAGTATTTCAAAAGTAGGTCAAACTCCAAGGACAAGGTCAAAATTGTTGGTACCAAGGGAGGGTCTTGTCACATGGAATATACATGTACTTATGATATATGAAATCCCTTGAACCAACTGTTCAAAAGTTATGGCCAAGGTTAAAGTTTTTCAAAAGTGGGTCACACTGTCATGGTCAAAGTCAAAGAATCAAAATTGTTGGTACCCAACAGAAGGTCCTGTCACAAGGAATAAACATGTATATTATATATAGACAAGGTCAAAATTGTTGGTACTCAAGGGAAGGTCTTTTCACAAAGAATGACCTGTGAAAGATGAAAGCTCAAGGTTAGAGATTTCAAAAGTGAGTCAAACTCCAAGGTCAAAGTGTTAAAATTGTTGGTACCCAAGGGATGGTCTTGTCACAAGGAATGCACTTGTAATATGAATGCCCTAGCTCCATCCATTTAAAACATATGGCCAAGGTTAAAGTTTTTGTAAAGTGGGTCAAACTCCAAGGTCAAAGTCAAAAATATTTGTACCAAAGGAAAGGTCTTATCACAAGGAATACACATCTGAAGTATGAAAGCCCTAGCACCAACCATTCGAAAGTTATTACCAAGGTAAAAGTATGGTAAAATTTTACAGAAGTGGGTCAAACTCCAACGTCAAGAGGTCAAATAAGTGTACCCAAAGAAAGGACTTGACACAAGGTATATACATGTGAAATATGAAAGCCATAGCTCTAACCAATCAAAAGTTATGGCCAAGGTTAAAGTTTTTGTAGAAAGACAGACTGAGAAGGCAAAAACTATATGCCCCCCAAATCTTCAATTACGGAGGTATAAAAAAAATCAGATCTGATAAAAATTTTCATTGACCTCTCAATCAAAAACAAAACATATCGTAATTTAAATTTGAAAATAAACCTCTGGGCAACTTACATGGCAGGCCACAAGTGCCCCAATGTTCCATCCTAACAACACAATGGGTTTGTGATGAAAATGACCCTTCAACTGAAATCAAGAGAATTTCCAAATTGTACATACAAACAGGTGTATGTGCATAATTCATTCACGACCAAAACACACTGCATTTAAATAATTATAACAATATCCATTGTGCTGTAAAACATCACCATAAAACAAATTTTACCTCCAAAACTTTGGTTCTGACAGCCCCTATCATGTGTTCCAGACATTGTGCAATCCCTACTCCGCTGCCACCATTAACTGTGTGCATTGTGACAGGGATCACCTTCCCCAGGTTTGACAGCTGGCTGTTCCAGAATCGGGTCCGCTTGGAGTAACTGTGGCCAGTGTAAGTCGGACCATTAGGTGCAATCAGAATCAGGGGATTTCCTGGTAACTTATTCTGTAAGATACAACAGATTGTGTTAAATGTGAAGGAAGATTTCATTTCTGTGTGGAAAAAATTACCAGTGACGCATCTTGACAATGTCTGATTTTCTTTAAAACATACTGAATGAGATTCCTGGCAAGCAACCAATAGATTTTTAATTAAAGAAAAAGAGAAAAAAAATATACAAGTGTATGGGTTATACATTTATTTTGGTAAAATTCACAATTCATTGCTGAGGAAGCAAAGGTGATAATATGAAACCATTTTGCTCATCAGTATAAGATTAGGATGTTAGTGACACTTGACATACTGGTTTTTGCTGAGAGTAGACACTCAGCACTGGATCCCATGGCCTCTTCAACAGAAGATTCAGGGCCTCCAGTGATGCTGTAGCGGACTTCCCTCCAACATTGGTGTTAGCTATCATTTTGTCAATCAAGGAGGGAACCTGTTGAATATTTTGAAACTTTCAAAAATCTGATCATGTTTTACCTGTAATCTAATTAAAAAACTTAGATCCCCTTGCTATGTTGTTCAAAATTTAAAGATGAGTGAAATTTACAAATACTAAATATAAAAATATGCAAATCAATCTTTGAAAATTACAAGGGTTATTTATTGTTTGTTGACTTTTTTTTTGGATCAAATTAACTATCCACTGAAATGCAGGCTAGTAAAAAGACCCAGACCCATAAATTGACTCTTTTTCTTTAAAATTTAGTTAAACATTCCCACTCTTTACATTAAAACATAAGTCATCAATATTTCCAAATTTTACAACCTTTTCAATTTAAAATTCCAAATTGAAAGGATACAGGATGTCATACTAAAAAGTGTCAGTTAGGCTCTTGGACAATTTTTGACATCTTGATACTGACCTTTGCTCTTAGTGTTTGAAGAACATCCAGGTAAGCTCCTAAAACAGGTAAACTGAGGTTGTCCACCAAAACACCATGTACCCACTGTGTGAGCTTTGTATCCTGTAAAAATGACAGCTGTGAAATGAATTCAAACCACGAGGATACCAGAAGTCTCTGATGAGACCGTACATTGTATTGTTTTGAACATATTTTATTGACAATGTGTCAAAGGGATTGGACACAAGTTCTAAAAACTTAGATAGTCCTCTCCTCGTACATTGTAGCTCTACTTCTGTGCACTTATAACAAAGATATATCTTGGTATAGTCTAATTGTGTATCAAGTCTTGTTGAAACTGGACCAAAACTGTAGGAAGAGTAATAATTTGAAAGAATTTCAAAGGGATTTCTAGGTTAATAACTATGGCAATCTTTGCGAAAATCAAAACGTTCTATAGAGAATCATTTATCTGAGTACAAACTGCTTGTATACAAAATATTATTGAAATTGGACTGAAAATGTATAAGTAGTGTTTTGAAAAATTGTTGAAAGACAGACGGATGGACACCTTAGTAAGTTTTTCTGGTCTCTGACCAGTAGAGCTAAAAATACCAACTAACAAGGCAGTGATTTATGACAAATTTAGAAAACTATCTTACCCATGCTACACTGGCCAACGCCTGCCTGATCCTACGGGCTGTCTTGTCAATGTGGATTCTTCGCATTACAGGCTCATTAGAAGTCTGAACCAGAGAAAGAGAATGAAAAATCATTTGAATATAAGTGTAGAGAAAACTTAATACCTCAATGTGCAAAAGCAACATTTTTGTTTTGTAATTCTTGAAACTAATGGCAAAACATGTTTACATTGTGATAAGCTAATCTAGCCAATCTGTCAGTCTGCAATGCTTTAATGATCTTGTTGAATAATCGATTCTGTTGCATTGTCCATCCAGTTCTACAATTAGCAATAGAATATGAAGAGACATATATACAAGTATTATAAAATCAAGGTTTAATGTGAAGCCCTTTACATTACACATAAACCAACATTATTATAGATAAACATGTATCAAACTTTTGATTTACACACATTATACTTTAACCATGAGTATAAAATTCTATGCATATGTAATTGACCCAGACATGAATCATCTATATAACAAGAGACCCAAGGGCCTTAATAGTCACCTGAGTATAATACAACCCTTTTAATGATCATAAGTGAATAACCAAAGGAAATAACTTCATGTTCAAAAGAAAATTAAAATTCATAATTTTTGTACCCCTTTGTGCATTGAATTTGATGCTATATACCAACATTGGTTGAAAATGGTTTATTGGTTCCAGAGAAGAAGCTGAAAATGTACAAATGTTAATGGATGACTGATGCCTGACATATGCATGATGACGGACAAAAACAGATAGCAATAGGTCACCTGAGTGACTCATTTCATTAAACTTAAGATTATAATAATTTTTAATTGTAATACTTTACTAAATAATTGAAATAATTTTTACAATCTAAATAGATGAGGCTAAATAAACATTTTAAAAAAAAAGGCAAATAAACAAAATTGACAGTTAAAACCCTGGGAATGCAAGGGTGGCAAAATGAAGAAAGCATGCATAAGTAACAAAACTGAACTAAGATTTGATACCTATTGAAGTCTTTGATTAGAGACTTGTTACAGGCTCCTTTTTTACATTGAAATCTACGATGGAACATTTACAGTATATGTGATGAAATTCATTTCTGCTTTTGGGGACTTAGAATATTTTTAAACTCTTAAAAATAATGTTGCATTTCAAATTTTCCACGGGGATATCAAATCTTTAGGAGATGTCTAATCTCTTTACCTACTAAATTTGGTATAGACAATGCAATTTCCATATTTACTCCAATGTGTAAAACAGTGTAAATCAATTCCCCTGATCAATGCAGTGGAATTTACATCCTTTCTATACTGTAAATATGGAAACTACATATTGTGCCTGTACCTTGATTATAATTAAACCAGTCCACAGACATGTATAGCAATACATTAATGTAAACTGATTCCTTTATAAATACACTCTAAGACTACAATAACCCATCACCAGAACAATGAGAGGTGAATAATGAGGGGGTGGGGACCCGCCTGTAGGATGACCGACGTTTGTTTAAACCTCGTTATGTGTTCCTCCCAATCATCTGGACACTCCTCCATCCGGGCAAAGTTGACATGACGATCACATTCGTGCATCAAGCTTCGGGCTTTGGCCATGTCATAGGGTGGGTGTGGCTTAGCAGGAGCATCAACAACATCAATGATTTCATGTTCACTGCAAAAATAAGTTTGTGAGATATGATAGTATAGTGTCTGGCATAGCTAAGTATACTCCTTAATATGACTTTATGAATACTATTACATAACTTAATACTAATAAACAATTTATATACTAGAGATACTGAGATATAATTATGAGGTGGTGAACCTGGGCCCAGTTTCACAAAAGAAGTTATGACTAAGATCAAAAAGTAAATTTGGTGAATAACTTTGTTCTTTACATTAATTTGAAAACAGTAGTAACATTTTTAAAACAAGTTTTAAGAGATATATTTATGCAAGCAATTTTAACAGAATTATTAATTTTGTAAGATTTTACATTCAGATAAAGATTTCTGTCTTACTCTTAGTTGTAAGTCCTTTTGAAAATAGGGTCCAGGGGTTCAATCTGTTCATTTCTTTGTGTGTGTGTTGGAGGGGGGGGGGGGGGGAGGGTGCTCAAGTCCAGGATTTGAAGGGTGAATTTGGAATTTTAGCTGAGTCCAACGAGGAAAAATTAAGATTTGATTTAAATGAATGAAGACAACATTTAACTGTTTCTTTTTTCTTCATACATATATGGTGATATACCATGATAACATCGTATTGGTACATCAGATACGACCAGTTCACCAATGAGTCTGAAAATCACTGGTATCTTTTCTTTCAGCTTATCATTTACTACACTGAGAGATAACAGTGCCATCAGAGAGAGAGACCTCTTACTTGAGAAACAAATCTTGGCACCCGTGTCCTTAAATTTTTAACACATAAAGGAAACTTGCTAAATTGAGTAAATGTTGGTCAAATCGTAACATGGGAATTGGGAACATTTAACTGTTGTGTACAAAAGACACACAAAATTATGCATTTTTATGATACATGTATAATCAAACGACGTTAATACTTTTTGAGATTTTACGATCTATATTTCAGGTTTTTTTGAATTATCAACTAAAATAATGCCCAGTCCCTCAGAATTTGGGGTGTCCCAAAAAGGAATTACTGTAAAAGTGGTTATTTACACTGGTTGTTAAGTATGCGTTTGTGACCATCAAACATTACGCATGGATGTAATATACGCGGTCGCACGAGTTACTGAGAAAAACATTGAGTTGTTCCCCTTTGAAAAGGTCAGGTAGTTAACACGCATGGATAAGAAAAAAAATAATTAGAAATAATTAAAACAAACTAAACAAAAAGAATTTAAATTGTTGGATTACTAAATATAACAGCGATCTGCACAGTCAAAAGTGGTGAAGTGTGAACAGCTGGTGTACGCTGTATTGTAATTATTTACGCAAGCTCAAACTTCAAAGTGGGATTTACTTACCTGTATCTGCGCGGCAAGTGTTGGCAATTAATTCAATAGGTATGTTTTAGTGACTGTGAGTTTGTGTAACATTTTGGACTAATTATTTGAAATGAAGAGGGACATACAAGTACATACAAAGGAAATGAAAATGAGTATCAATGTTTTTAAGCTTTAATTGTGTGACGTTGCTTTAAAATATTTAATATGAAGATGCATTTTTCATTGCACAATTAAAAAAAAAGAACAGTTACGTTTTCATCACTGTTTGTGATGTATTTATCTACTCACGTGCGTTCAATACCACGATTAATATGACTGGTTCGATCGGTCTAACAGTATAAGTCGTGGTCTAGAATGATTCCAGAAGTTTGAAATTTTGTGACCATACGCGCGGTGGTATTTTACGCAGTTCTAAGCTTACCGCGTAAGTAGTGTAAATTTCCCCCACGCGTAAATAACCACTTTTACAGTACCTAGTCCCACACATTGGGCTTGAGGAATGTTGAACCCCTGAACAATAATGAAATAATACCTGTAGCTCAAGCCTCAAAATCTAAAGAAATATGTCCCTCTTTTTGCATTTTCTGATCATTCATCTGTTTATCCTTTAATGAGTTGTGTATAATGGACAAGTCAAATACATAAAAGATATTAGACAACAAACTCAAATCAGAATGGCTCAACTGAGCTTGTGTGCTAGCAGAGATGATACATACTTTGAGTTTTCAGCTGTCTGATTACGTGGAACTCTTTGCATGTATATCAGTTTTACTGGTCTAGCATGGCTGGCATCAGGATGTGCACTCCAAGGTTTTGAGTAACCATGGTCCATTCCAACAACCTCCATCATGGCGAGGAAGACTATCTATAAATAAAATCCAGGAAAATTTCTATGTAGATTAGGAGTGTGGATAGTTCTTATTAAAAAAATACTGTCTAAAAATACATTTTTTAAAATTCTTACATATTTTTCAATTATAAGGAACACAAAGCACTAATTGTTAGTTATCAGAAAATGTTAATGTTAAGAAAGGGCTCAGATATGAAATTATTTTCACTCAAACAATAAAACTGATTATATCTAATCGTTCTTGCCTAACTGGCAATTGGGTTTAAAGATATTTTCTGCACATTTAAGTTCTACATGCATGTAAAAGATACAAAATATCTTTAGTAATTAGTGATATAATATTAAGGTTTGTTATTCCTTTAAAAATTAATTCCTATATAAATCTATACTAAAAAGGTCTAAAATTTCCAATGTCTTACTGAGAGGTCATTAAACAAGAGGCCCATGGGCCTTGAATTGCTCTTCTGATAAACTGTACAACCTATCACTTCTATTTGAAGCTTCGAAGTATCCTGTATATTTACATAAACCCTTGAAATTCCAATTCACACTCTGAGAACCCAAGATGATTCTATGCCAATTAGTACCTGAGAGTTGGTCATGGTGACCTACTTATCACTTGTCATTCTCTGAGGACCCATCAACTAAGTTTGATGATTCTAAGCCAATTAATACCTAAAATGTTTTTAAAATTATAATCATAAAATTTTATAAGTAGGTCAAAGTGACCTACTTTTCAATTGTTTTACTCCAAGGACCCAAGATGCATCAACTGACAAAGTTTGATGATTCTAAGCCAATTAGTACCTGAAATATTTGATTAAAGCCATAAATTTTCAAAAGTAGGTCACCGTGACCTACTTTTCAGTTGTTGTACTCCGAGGACCCATGACGCATAAACTGACAAAGTTTTATGATTCTAAGCCAATTAGTACCCGAAAATATTTTATTAAAGCCATAAATTTTCCGAAAGTAGGTCACGGGACCTACTTTTTTAGTCGACCTACTCCGAAGACCCATGACGCATCAACTGACAAAGTTTGATGATTCTAGCCAATAAGTACCCAAAATATTTAATTACAGCCATAAATTTTCAAAAGTAGGTCACAGTGACCTACTTTTCAGTCAACCTACTCCGAGGACCAAAGATGCATCAACTGACAAATTTTGACGATTCTAAGCCAAATAATTCCTGAAAATATTAAATACAGCCATAAAATTTCAAAAGTAGGTCACCGTGACCTACTTTTCAGTTGTTGTACTCCGAGGACCCAAGACGCATCAACTGACAAAGTAAAATGATTCTAAGCCAATTAGTACCTGAAATATTTGATTAAAGCCATAAATTTTCAAAACTAGGTCACTGTGACCTACTTTTCAGTTGTTGTACTCCGAGGACCCATGACGCATAAACTGACAAAGTTTTATGATTCTAAGCCAATTAGTATCCGAAATATCTAATTAAAGCCATAAATTTTCAAAAGTAGGTCACGGTGACCTACTTTTTAGTCGACCTACTCCGAAGACCCAAGATGCATCAACTGACAAAGTTTGATGATTCTAAGCCAATTAGTACCTGAAATATTTAATTATAGTCATATAAATTGAAAAGTAGGTCACGGTGACCTACTTTTCAGTTGACCTTTTTTGAGGACCCAAGATGCATCAACTTACAAAGTTTTATGATCATAGGACTTAAAATGTCCAAATTATGCCTCTAAAACACTTTGAAATCGAATGCCTGCAAAGTTCAAAAAGTAGGTCACTGTGAACTACTTTTTAATAAATATGTTTTATGGCCCCAAGTTGCATCATCTTACAAGATTTAATGATTCTAAGCCTCCCCGTATTCAAATTAATGACCTTAAGTGTTTTAAAAAAGATTAGCCATAAAATTCAAAAAGTAGGTCAAGGTGACCTACTTTTTAGTTGACGTACTTTGAGGACCCAAGATGCATCAACTGACAAAGTTTGATGATCATAGGCCTTAAATTGTTCAAAATATGCCTCTAAATCATTTTGAAAAAGAATGGTCGCAAAATTTAAAAAGTAGGTCACCGTGACCTACTTTTGAGTCAACATGATATGAGGTCCTTAGATGCACCAACTGACAAGATTTGATGATCCTAGTCCTTATAGTAAGCAAAATATCAACATTTTAATAAAATGTAATTTTTGGTCAATTTTGAAGTGACCTTGAGACCACGCCCTTTGCCCCAGGGTAAATCCCCGTGCAAATTTTAATCTACAACATATCCTCATCCTTTTGTGTAAGTTTGGTGATAATCTGCCCAGTGGTTCTTGAGAAGAAGATTTTTTAGCAACCAGTACTTTTTTTTCTATTTTCCTAATTATCTCCCCTTGTTAAAGGGTCATCACCCCAGTTTTAGTATAAAAGGGAGCCCTTGGGCCAAGGATACCCTGTGACAAATTTGACAATAATTGGCCAAGGGGTTCTTGAGTTATGGCCCATATTCTAAAAAGTTTACGCACACCGCACACCGCACAAATGGCCATAGCATTAGCTCTTTGAGCCTTTGGCTCAGAAGAGCTAAAAAATCAATGTTTGACCGCCAAGTGAGATATTGGACCTGTCAGTGAGATATATGAGAGTTACAAAAGTTTCAGGTTAATTGTACTGTTGCTTGAAGTAAGATGCACACTGACCCCCAATTTTCTTTGTGATTTTGAGTCATTTTATATGAGTACCTAACTAAAATTTTCTTCTCAAAAAATCCTCGATTATAACCAGAACCAGTCCAAAGACTATCTACCTATGTAGCTATTAATAGTCTGCTCAACTCACTTGTTTACAAGGCTTGTTCTTTGAAAATAATGCTGCACCTATCTATCTTTATGCACCGGACGTCTCGGAACATTAATTTCTTATTGTAAAAACCCTCACATCTTGCAAATAATTCCTAAAAAATGTGATTTTTAAACACTTTTCAAGCCATGTAAACAAGCAAGTTGAGCAGACGCCACTACGGAGCCTCCATACCTTTACTTTTTTTTTAACTATCAATAAGGTACACACATATTTAATAGGGCTGAGTATTGGGCAAAATATTTCGATACGATACGATATTTTATAAAGCGATATGCAATATATTGGATTCTTTATTAAGTCTATCAAAAAGTCTTGTATATCATTTTATCCATAGATTTGATAAAAACTGGTTGTTGTTTTACCAAATTGGAAGTTCATGTCTCACTGTCTTTACAAAGTACACTTCAAATTCAAACTTTTAATGACTGTAAAACTGACATGTTAAAATATAATTGTCTTTGTATTTTGTAAAGTTATTGAAGATGTGCAATCTCATTTCATTATTGATAATTTTTAATTCAAAACAGTTAAAAATGACCTTTGGTGACTGAAATTTCCAACTTTTTCACAGAATTATAAGAAAAACTGCCTGCCCAATATGTATTGGAAGTTATTTTTTCGATACGATACATTCCTGAATATTGATACGTATTGATTAATTGATATATTGACACAGCCCTAATATTTAATTATAAACCAATTGCAAGACCCAAGTACCTGTGATTTTGACCTCTTATTGTTGTCTGGAGTTGTAAAATATGACAAAAGCAATCAATTTTTTTTCAGGGTATTTGGTGCAGCTGCAGACAAAACCATGCAAGGTATCATACAGTATGCTAATTTTCTAACAGTGAATAGTAGAAAAATAGCGTATTGTATGAAACAAATGCCTGTATGTCACTGTTTGTGAATAGCAGAAAACTAGTGTACTGTGTATCTATTCTCTATTGAGAAGTTGATGGCTCATTTTAATACTCCCCCTCAACTTCTCTACGAAAGGCTTAATAAAAGCAGTTCAGAAATTGACTAAATGAAGAACCAAACCGGACCCCACTTCGATCGATTTTTTTAGGATTGATGCATTATCGTAGACATATTTTCGATGCACAGATGTTGTTTTGCAATGGAAATGCGATTAAAAATACTGATTCTGCTGACTTAAAAAACATTTATCATGGTAGAACACTTACTTGCGGTATCTGTTTCACCGGATTCGTTTATTCATTCAAAACTGCTTTTAAACCCGGTTGACCTCTAAAAATGTATAAAACTTTTTTCCAGATAAATTGGATTAAATGTTCCAGTGTTAAATAGTTATCCGGAGGAATAGTTTTAGACTCTTTTAGAGGTTAACCCGGGTTCAAACGAATAAACGAATCCGGCGACACAGATATCGCAAGTAAGTGTTCTATCATTTAAAAACGTGTTTTAAGTCAGCGGAATTGGTATTTTATTCGCATTTCTATGGCAAAATAAGATCTGTGCATCCAGACTACGTCTATGATATCGCATCAGACCTAAAACATCGATCGAAGTGGGGTCCGGTTTGGTTCTTCATTTAGTCAATTTCTGAACTGCTTTTATTAGGCCTTTCGTAGAGAAGTTTAGGGGGAGTATTGAAACGAGGAATCAACTTCTCAATAGAGAATTACTGTGTATCATGCATCATGAAACAAATATGCATATTCCATGACAGAAATATTTGTGATGTATGACTACCATTTACCTGACAACCTTTCACTTTATATAGTAACAACTGTTTTTCATACCTTCAAAAATCGAAGCTGCTGTAATTCTAAAAACAAATGGATTTTTGTACAAATTGAAATTAGCTCATTAAGAAATTGGCGGAAACTACACAAATTATTCTAAGCAATAGAGTTGGGAACGTACAGACAATATATTTCCGGAAGTGTTCTTCTAGTGTGTTTCAACTTTCATACCGTATGGTGCAAAGAGTTATGCACATATTGTTGCTTACTTCATAATTAATGAAAATCAAAGTAATTCTTTAGATAATATATAAAGAGAAAAAAGAATATAAATGTAAAACTTTCAAATAAATGATATGTGAATAGAATTAGGAACGAGTTACTGAATGCTGACACAAACTTCCTGTCTTAAAAATAGATCACCACGAAACCATCACCACAAGCTGCACTTACCATAGGCCTGATAGGGCATAACTAATCAAGATGTCACCACCGGAAAGGTATACTAAATGTATCTTGTATGCTGTTTTGAAGATACATTGTTGTTTATCTTATTTGTTGAATAAGTTAATCTGGATCTGGACTTTTTTTGTGTTTTTTTTTAAAGATACCATTATTTTATGACATGTGCTAATATACATGCTCCTTGATAGAAGGTTCTCTGTCCTCAAAAACAAACAAACAAAAAAAGATATTGTCCTTTGGACGCAGTTTGTAGTAAGGGCCAGTCTCAAGACACAACATGTTCATTGCTTACAAATGCAAGTAATAATTAAAAAGAAAAAAAAACCCAGACACAACAGTGCAGTCTCGGTATTATGTTCATGGTTTCATATGATAGAATGCTTATTGTGTTGGAAACTTAAAGCACAAAACCATTTCTAACAAACTTAAAATAGGAAAGTTTATTATTAAATTGGTCAATAAATTCTGGGGCTCGGTATTACGATATTAATAAAAATTCTGGCCAGAAAGTTTTAACTCCATGATTATTTGGTATTAGTCGAGAAGAAACTCTTTAAAAGCTACTAATTGAAATACTAACCCTAATCTCTTGGGTGGGTGGAAGAGTAACTGTAATCAGTCAAATAGTGTGTGAGGACTAACCCTAATTTCTCAGTTGAGTGCCAGACTAACCCTAAACAGTCATATAGTGTGCAAGGACTAATCCTAATCTTTTGGGTGGGTGCAAGACTAATCAGTCAAGTGGAATGATAGTCTAACCCTAACCAGTCAGATGATGGGACGGAATCTATATTCAGGTGGAAGCATGTTTCCGGGCGGAATTTCAATTTCGAGGTGGAGCTAATTTACATTTTGGAATCAAATTTCCGTCTAGTCTCCGCTTATATTGCAGTTAAGTAAGTTTTACGCAAGGAATTTGACCGAGAATTCCGTCTTGATTACGTCTGTTTTCCGGGAGGAACATTTCGTACAGGTAGTGTAAGTCTTACAGCATAAAGCAATACATGTATCACAATATGATACACATAATTATGTTACAATATTCAAACCCTTTGCCAAGTTGAATTCACACATATATAGTAATTTCAACAAATATTTAATAAAAACAACATAATACTTATTATTTAAGAGTTTTAAGTGTAAAATCAAAAATTTGTAGATTCATTTAATTTGACTTAATAATAATAATTTATTAACATAAATTCTAAAATGTTTGATACTGGACAATGTATCTATACACATATTGTAGAACCTCATAGATAGTTACCTAGTTCTGTTTTTTTTTCCAGTTCATTTTTTAAAAAGTATTTTTTCCATAGGAATGAGTATAGTAAGTTTTTTATTTTCATGAAAAGTAATTAATGAAGGTAATTTCTTTTTTATCATAAACAGATAAAAATACATTAATGTTTCCATACAAGCTAGTCCTCATACAAAATAGATGTCTGCATCTTACTAATTAGACCATCCCATGTTGTAATATGATTTTAATTGAATATATATACAGGGTTGTCCCTAAGAATTGAAATAGCAGGGGGCGTTAAAAAAGTAGAAGGGGGTCTGGGGTTCCTCCCCTAACAGGGGATTGAGGGGGAATACCAGAATAACTTGGGGATTATGTCATTATAGGCAGGGAAATTCTCCGGCCCCCAGGTCTTAGGGACAACCCTGATATATATTATATTACTTATATTTTTAGATGGGAGGGCTACACAGCTCTTGGAAATGTTATTCCTGGAACAAGATTAATAACATTTAAAGTGCCTTTGAAAAAGGTAAATGTATTTGTGAAATTCTACTTTGTTACTTACGGTAAGCATCAATGACTCTTTATTGCATTTCACAGTGCAGTAAATTACACACTCTGAGGAGCATATAAATTTAGAATTTACTGTGCAAATAGACATTAATGAGTCTTTTTCTCTCTTTTTTTCCGTTTGCTTTCATAAGTATTTTATTACCGTGAAATCATGTTTGTGCCCATTGACAAATGAGATATGAGAATTTATGAAGTCTGAAAACAGTTGTGGAATTTACACCATTTGAAATTGCAACATGAGTTATTTTCTTTTGATTCAGGAATTGTGTGAAAAGCTTCCAGAGAAGGAGAAGTGAGTAATATTTCATTTTGTAGCAAAAGATGATTGATGGAGATTTTTTCATATAATAATGAAAAAGTCTTTCTGTTATTTCAATTTCAAAATAATACAGTGTATACACCTGTACTAATAAAAAAAATGCATTATAAAATGTTAATGATACATCAAGGCTTAAAGATAACTGAAGAGAATGAATTATCAAAAGCATTAAATGTTGCAAATTGTGCAATGAATTTCATTCAGCTAAAAAAAATGTATGGCAAAACTATTTCATTTTATTCATAATTTAACACCTACTATCCATTTTTTTTTATTTCTTTTTTTTTTTAATGAAAATATATAACATTTTAACATGTACCTAGTAAATTCCAGAGAAATTGCTTTGTATCCTTAATTAATTACTGGAGTGAAACTTTATGTGATAGGATATGACTTATTCATAAGCAATGATTCACTGTTAAATGTTTGATCTATAAGTATTGTACAGATATTGTAATGGGAATCTCTGCTTTATTTTATACACTTATCTTGCACCAATACAGAGAGAGACAGAGGATAGAAATAACTACTGGTATATTAAATGTGCTTTCATTTATCAGATTTACCCCAAGAAGTTTGGTTTCCATGGTAAATGACTTGGGATGTCAGTTAAGAATGGTCATAGACCTTACATTCACTACAAAATACTACGGTGCACAGGTAAGTATAAGTAAGTGGCTGGAGTGAATAATTGACTTGGTTTGTGGGTGACACATAGGCATTTTGATTAGTCCCTAGACAGTACTAATGAGTGGATTATTATAAGTGAGCATGCTTTGTTTGGCAGCATGCAAGAACAATGAAAAGTCATAGGTGACCATATAATTTTAAAAAAGTAAAGCATCTTGTTGAGTTTTTCTCAAATGATGTTGATAGAATATGGATGCATGATTAAAATTCAACAGATTCATGAAGCAGTTGCTTAGCTATACTCACTTTGTACAAGGGCAATCTTTAATCAATTTCTAATGGAGTGCATAATTGAGTGAAAATGTTTAAATTTATTAAGACAACTAGACAAGGAATTGTTTTATTTGCAGGAAATGGAACACCAGGGTGTCAGATATGAAAAGATTTTTACAGAAGGCCATAATGTTCCCAGTGATGACGTAGTATACAGGTAACATTGGGGGGGGGGGGGGGGGAAGAATACATAATGTATGATTCTAATGCAGTTGTTTTGTAAAATGCATTTTGATTGGCTAATGGACTGATGTTCAAAGCAATTAAATGGTAAAACTCAGTTTGCAATAATTAAATTTGCATTAATGGTCGCATATAACAAATGAGAAGATCTTCATTCAAGGTTGAATAATGTTAAATCTAGTTTGTTATTGATTAAATTTTATTATTATCTGAAAAGGTTCCAAGGCTGAATATTAAAAGAAATATTCCAATTAATATAATTTTCAGATTTTTTGATACACTAGAGAGCTTTTATGAGGCAAATAAAGACAACAGTAAGTATTTAACAAGGGGATCATTTTCTGTGTATTGCACAATAGTGTTTGGTTTTTCAGAAGCACTAATATTCACCTCAACAAAGAAACTGAATCAAACTTTTCTTAAATGCTTAAAGAAAGAAGAATCCTACATTTACAAGTCTTATGTACTAATAATTACTTGTAAAATATGTATATTAGTGTAAGGGTTTCTTGTATAATATAAAATTTTAAGATTTTTAAATTCAAATGAGCAATTTGGTGACTGTTACAGATCATTTGGTAGGAGTACACTGTACTCATGGAGTCAACAGGACAGGTTACGTGGTCTGCAGATATATGATTGAGAGACTGGGTTTTGAACCAGACAAAGCTATGGCAGGTATAGATTCACATGTAATAGGAAAACCACTCAATTACATGTATGACATCACAGCCTATGACTCTGAAAATGAAAAGATGGAGGCACAGGGATAATCAAAGAAAATGTGATAAACAGAAAATTGAGTATTTTCATGAAAGCAAGGGGGACACTAAATCTCATTCGTCTTTCAGTCACAAAAACTTGTTACCTTGGTCATAACTTTTGAAACCAGAAAATGAAGTGATTGTGACATTTTTTTTTGTGAAACCAAAAAAAAAAAATATTTGTGTAGGTTATTATTATTGAGACACAATTAACCAATCTCATAACTAATAACATACAGCAATTTTTAAATGAAAAAAAATCGTGTTATAATTACCAACTGGCACATGACCAAATGTTCTTTGATTATTGACCTTCTTATGAGGCACATGATCTTAACAATCAGAGTTCATTGTAAAGATTGATGGGGGTGGAGGGGGCAATCTGTGGTATCCCTTATTACATACAGTTACTTACAGTGTAATTTTTAGCTCTATTGGTTAGAGACCAGAAGAACTTATGTGATAAGTAAGGTGTCTATCATCTGTCTAGCTGTCTGTCTGTCCATATTAATTTTTTTCAAAATGCTACTCCTCCTGCAGTTTTGGTCCAATTTCAATAATACATGTACTTGGTACACATGTACATTATATTAAGATATAATTCAGTATATTGGTTTTTGATTTTGACAAACGGTGTTGCCATGATTTCTACAGATAGAAATTTCTGTGAAGTTCTTTCTAAATGCTACTCCTGCTACATTTTTGGTCCAATTTCAATAATACTCGGTACACAAGTGCAGTATACTAAGATACATGTACATATATTAATTCTTTTTATCGGTTTTGCTTTCGATAGACAGTGTTGCCATGATTACTAAAATTAGAAATTTCTGTGAAATTCTTTCAAAACACTACAAGATTTGTGGCCCAATTTCTATAAGACTTGGTACACAAGTACACCATACTGAGATACCTAATTCAAGTCTGTATATTGGTTTTTAGTTACACAAGTAGACTATACTAAGATACATCAAGTACACACAAGGAAAGCTACTGTCTCATCAGAGACTTCTGGTTCAATAAAATATTTGTTCAGTAAAATAAAAGCTTGGAAATATCATGAATTTGTAAATGAAATAGTAGTACTGTAGTCTTAGTTTTATGTCCTTTGTAAATAAAAGAAAAGAGCAGTAATTGACAGAAATGTTGTACATGTATTAAACTTTTCTTTATGGATATATATGTATATATTATAGTTTACCATGAAGCAAGAGGCCACCCAGTAGAAAGAGAAAACTACATAGAAGACTTAAGAAGCAGACAATTGTAAGTAGATAATGTAATGAACAAAAATATAATTATTGTCACTTTTTGTATGGTGTCAAAAAAGTTTATAAATATTTCTAAGATTAAAATTACTTCAGATTTACATGTATGATATGAACATGATGTGAATATACATGGCTTAAACTACCTTGCATGCAGGTCCGGTAAAAGAACTGTGTCCCAATTGAAAATTAACTTTTTTCCCTCAAAATTAAAGTAAAACCTCCAAAATGGATTTTCAGTGCTTTTTATGAACAATATTGAATTCTGAGATTTCTATATAATATGAGCATACTGGATAAGGCTACAGTTGTTCTTATTTTACAGTATATAATATCAATATTTCCAGCTTTTATTACTTATTTTTCTATTTTTAAAATTCCCAATTGAAAGGGTAAAGGAACCTGTACCAAAAAGGGTCAATTAAGCCCTGATATAATATCAAAAATTAATCTGTCAGAGTGGCCCAAAATTCAGTTGTGATGATTTTTACACAATGACTGATGACATTTAAAATATGATATTGATAAATTTGTAATCTTTTACAAACTATGTAGATCTAAATAAGTTTGCCATAACACATGATTATTTTGTATTTTGCCAAGACACAAAATGAGTTTCAGAGATAGTTTCAAAGATAAATTTACAGCATTCAGCATAAGTCTAGAGATTTTATATACATAAGTAGAGATCTGCGATTTTTTAAAAACTTCATTTTTTTTTAACCTATAGAAACAATGATTACAAGTATGAAGGTAGAGAAAAACTTCCCATGAAAAAAGTTTCACAGGGTTGGAGACGTGAAAGACACCATAATGGCAGACGGAGTAACCAGGAAAAGGACTTTCATCACAATAGTCACCATAGAAATAATGAGTATCAAGATGTGCATAGATATCATGATGACTCACAGAAAATGTATGGTGGTCAAACTTGGTCTCAACAGCATCAGGAATTGGATTGGCGAAGAGACAAAAGTCACATGGGTTGTTACCATGGAGATCAACAGAACTGGAATGACAGGAGATATCAGGACAGTAGGAGAGATTACAGATATCAAAACAGAGAGGGTGTACGACAGAATGATCAGTACAATGACTGGAGGAACAATGGCCAGAGATATCACCATCATCAAAACAGTGGACATCAGCAACCTCCTCAAAGTAGATATTTCAGGCAGGGCTATAGAGATGGTTACAATGATGAAAGGTTTGATTATCACTCCAGACAGAACAGTCATCGTGGACACTATCAGGGTGGTGGATCATATAGAAATCAGAGAGGTGGACAGTATAAATCAAGGAATGATAGATCTTCTTATCAATGGAAGGCAGAAAATCGACCACAAATCAGAAAAAGACACTGTTCTGGTGAGATGATTAGAAGTGAATCTCAAAGTTGCAAACGTCAGAATTCTAAAACAGATGAAAAATTACACAAGCAATGTGAAAAAATGTTGATATCAGATTCATGTAGCTCAACATTAGAGAATAACGAAATATCGAAGTCAGCATGTGCAGAGGAAACCCTAGATAAAACTTACCCTGAGTCTCCATCCAGGGGTAGCTCAGCACGAAGTTCAAAGAAAGTGAAACCAAGAGTTAATAAAACTGATGAACTGCAGAAAACTGCTGAGACAGGGCTGACAATATCAGGTGATTACCAACAATGAGAGCATTATAAATCATATAAGTGAAAAGTTGAACCACCAAAGTAACACTAAGATACTGTGAAAGACCATACAGTGTTCTGTCAAACGGCGGAGAATGGGCAGATCGAAGCAAAAAGTGCTCAAAAAGTGGATGGTAAACCTTTAATAATAACTTCTCTGGGTTCATCAAACAATGAGGAGTGTTGCTACATCTTATGACTGTACTGAACCAAATTGAAAACTCTACTAGTATATGACCTCAAGGATTGATAGATAAAGCATAGTGTGATTTTACATTACAGACACCGTATTGTTTTACTCTTTGATATCAAAATACAAAATGCTAACATTTCATATTTACCAATTAGCTAAGTGCCATTTGAATACTCTTGTAAACAATTCCAGTTTTACTGTGCTGAAAAGGAAGAGAGTCATGCATATAATCCTTATAATGGCTTACCCGGTACATATGGAATGTTTTTTAAAATTTCTTCTTTTAAAGTAGATAAGTAATTTAACACCGGCACTTGACGGTAAATACTTTTCTTATATTAAAAAAATGTAAACCTCAATCTGATAGGTTGGGGGTTAGTCTATCTTTTTAAGAAACATGTAATGTCAAGTGTCTGTGTAATTTAAATGTAGTTTTAAACCTGTTTGTCTTATTTTACACAGAATATCGTACATGTAGTTAAGAATACAAATATGAAGTAACTTTCCAAGTTATAAATGCTCAAAATTTAAAAGTTGTGAATGAAAATCACAAATAAATGTCTGTGATTTCTCTTTTGTTTGGTTTATGAGTACAAAGTTCTGTTGCTTCTAGATCTAGTAGTTCAAAGTCAGTATCCTCTTTAAAGATAGGTGTACTTAGCTTTGGCTTAAAGATTTATTTATGGAACTTTGAAGCAATGTAGACACTAGAAGAGAAAACATTTTAGCTCTCCTCAACAAAATGGGGGACTGGGGGGCTTATGGTCTCATTTCCAAGTAAATTTAAGTCCTATGTTGACCAAACTTGCATGGATGAAGCATCTAAGGATGCACACTACTGGACTTGCTTCGGATGCTGGATTTGACCTACATTTTCTGGATGAGTGACCAGGTTAAAGTTTTTGGAGCAGGTCCATGACCAAGAAACTATAAGGCCTATATGAACCAAACTTGCATGGATGGTGCATCAAGGGACGAACACTCTCAAACTGGCTTCAGATGCTGGATTTAACTTGCATTTTCTGGATGAGTGACTAGTTTAAATTTTTTAGATAAGTCCATTCCCAAGTAACTGCAAGCCCTATCGGACCAAAATTGCATAAATGTTGCATCTAGGGATGCACGGCTGAAAGAGCTAATGCTATGGCCATTTGTGTGGTATGTGTAAACTTTTTAGAATATGGGCCATATCTCAAGAACCCCTTGGAAAATTTTTGTCGAATTTTTTATCCTTGGCCAAAGGGCTCTCATTTATACTGAAATTAGGGATGTGACACTAAAAAGGGGAGATAATTAGAAAATAAAAACAAAAGTACCGATTGCTAAAAAATCTTTTTCTCAAGAACTACTTGGCAGATTATCCACAAACTTACACATAAAGATGAGGATATGTTGTAGATTAAAACTGTTCAAGGCATCACTCTGGGGCAAAGGGTGTGGTCTCAAGGTAACTTATAAGTTGACCAAAAATTATGTTTTGTTAAAACTTTGATATTTTACTTACTACAAGGACTAGGATCATCAAATCTTGTCAGTTGATGCGTCTTAGGGCCTCATATTATGTTGACTCAAAAGTAGGTCACAGTGACCTACTTTTTGAATTTTGCAGGCATTTGTTTTCAAATTGAATTGGAGGCATATTTTGGACACTTTAAGGCCTATGATCATCCACTTTGTCAGTTAATGCATCTTGAGTTCGTCAACTGAAAAGTAGGCCACCATGACCTATTTTTTAAAAATTTTATGGCTAATCTTTTTCAAAAAAATTTTAGGTCATTATTTTAGATACTGAGAGGATTATAATAATCAAGCCTTGTAAGTTGATGCATGTTGGGGCATTAAAACATATTTATCAAAAAGTAGGTGACAGTGTCCTACTTTTTGAATTTTGCAGGCATTTGTTTTCAAATTGTTTTAGAAGCATATTTTGGACACATAAGGCCTATGTTCATCAAACTTAGTCAGTTGATGCATCTTGGGTCCTCGGGGAACATCAACTGAAAAGTAGGTCATCTTGACTAGTATTTTTGAAATTTTTGGGCTATATTTCAATATTTCAGGTACTATTTGGCTTAGAATCATCAAATCTTGTAAGATGATGTACCTTGGGTCCTTAGTTCAAAGGGCTGGCTAACATCCTGGATTCCATATCTAGATCATGACCTACTTTTGAAATTTTGTGGCTATATTTAAATATTTCAGGTACTAATTGGCTTAGAATCATCAAACTTTGTCAGTTGATGCAGGGTCCTCGGAGTATGTCAACTGAAAAGTAGGTCACCATGACCTACTTTTGAAAATTTATGGATATATTTAAATATTTTCAGGTATTCATTGGTTTAGGGAATCATCAAACTTTGTCAGTTGATGTATCTTGAGTCCTCAGAGTGTGCCAACTGAAAAGTAGGTCACTTTGACCTTCTTTTAAATTTTGTGGCTACATTTAAATATTTCAGATTCTGATTGGCTTAGAATCACCAAACTTTGTAAGTTGATGCATCTTGGGTTCTCAGAGTACGTCAACTGAAAAGTAGGTCACCATGACCTACTTTTGAAATTTTATGGAAATATTTAAATATTTTCAGGTACTTATTGGCTTAGAATCATCAAACATTGTCAGTTGATGTATCTTGAGTCTTCAGAGTGTGTCAACTGAAAGGTAAGTCACTTTGACCTTCTTTTGAATTCTTGTGGCTATATTTTAAAATATTTCAGGTACTAATTGGCTTAGAATCATCAAACTTTGCTAGTTGATGCATCTTGGGTCTTCGGAGTATGTCAACTGAAAAGTAGGTCACCGTGACCTATTTTTGAAATTTTATGGATATATTTAACTATTTCAGGTACTTATTGGCTTAGATTTGAGATATTAAGGGGATGAAGGACACATGGTCACATGACTGTTTTACTACGTCATAGTCTCCGTTTATATAAGTGCATTTAACATGTTAAGTATCAGTTTTTGTAAAAAATTTTGACAATTTTTTAATTTTATTTACCATCTTATATAAAAAAAAAATTAAAAGTTTTAACATTCTCGTAAACATTAACAAATTATGAAAAAGATTGATCCACTCCTCTGTTTCCCTATACTGCGCGTCCAGCAAGTCGGTGACGTCATACACGATCTGTTAGTACAGCAAGATCATATTCGGTGAACACAGGGGCGGTATTATTATGTAAAAACAGGTCATAATCAGTATATGATGAAATATTTTGAGAAACGGGGAACACAAAAATTATTTTTGCATGGTTGATGACGGAAATCTTATATAGGTATATCTTATTTCGCTTATTTAGCTTACGTGTGACGTCATAGTTGGTTTTTCCCGTACTCGAGAAATGTAACATGACACGTTTTTGTCCTGCTTATGTCCTCTTTAACGATGTCCTGTGAAATAATGAGGTCAGCTTCATCATTCGAAATTTTTACAGTTAATCAATAATTTGAAGGATTTGCATTTCAACGTAAATTAAAAAATATTGAATGATAGAATTTTTTGTAAATTACATTTTTTACTGTTTAAGTTGTCTTAAAAAGTGCGTAATTTTCCCTATCCAGATGCAGTGTGATAGACAAAACTTGCTTTTTCGAATTTTAAATCCTAGTTATACTCTGAAATATTTTAAAACATACATGTCCACTTTGATATTTTTTATATATGCTTAAAAAATCCCATTATGGACAGATTTATGAGCCCGGAAACATGGAGAACTAAAACTCCACTTAGATACTGCAGGGCATAGTATTTGTCAATGAATATCTCCAAAATAAGGCAAGAAACCTAATGATATAACTGCTTTAACATATGTGGGACATACTTAATTAGAAATATACAAAATATGAAAAAAATTGAATGACAAGTATTTTTTCAGCTCAAGGTCCTTCTCCTCCTTAATTGGATTTGAATCATCAAACTTTGTCAATTGGTGTATTTTGAGTCGGAATGTCAACTGAAAAGTAGGTCACTGTGACCTTCTTTTAGAATTTCAAGGCAGTATCTAAATATTTCAAATAGAAAGAGACTTAAAATCATCAAAATTTGTGAGTTGAGGCATTTTTGGGTCTCAGAGTATGTTTACCAGAAAATAAGTCACTGTGACCTGCTTTTGGAATCTCATGGCTATATCTGAATATTTAAGATAATAAGGGGGTTTGAATCATCAAACTTTGATTCATCTTGGGTTCTTAGAGTGTTTGAACCAAAATGTAGGTCATGATGACCTACTTTTGGAATTTCAAGGCTTTATCTAAATACATATTACAGGATACTAAGATGCTTCAAATAGAAGTGATAGGTTGTATAATTTATCAGAAGAGTGATTCAAGGCCCTTGGGCCTCTTGTCAAGTTTATTGCTAAATGTCATACATACTGTAAATCTGGAAATTTTTTCATCACTTTATTTTTGGGATTTTTGATATACATTAATAACAGGGAGTTCTGTATTTTATCTTGGAATACTTATATGTCTCAGAATTTCACAAAATATTGGTTATTGATGTAGAACACATCTACAGATCGTAGATGCAGATTTGCGATTAAAATTTGCCATAGAACCATTTATAAATAATATATACATAAATGTGTACAATAAGAAATGGGCTGAATGAAATCTACACAGTGAAAATACAATTTCCACCAAATACCCCTGGTACATGTATGTACAGACTATAATTATAATACATTTACAGTATCTTGAATACAACTTTCCATCACAATGTTGATGCTCTGATTGACAGACTGATCACTGCTTCATAGGACTCTTCTTCTAGGGATCATTTTCTTGACATATTTATATAAAAAAAACTTTTTTAAATGAATTTCATGAAATCAGTTTGATGTAAGAATTCTTCATTATGCTGTTAATCTTATTACATTTTCCATGCCTTTAGCAAATTCTTTAAACATAAATTTATAAGTATACACAGAACTATGTAAAATGTCCATTTATTTCTATGAAAGTGTACAACCAGTGACATAAATAGAAATACATTGCATGTCAAAACCTTGATAAAATCCAATACAGTCAAACAGTGAAACCTCATTACATATATTAGATGCTTAATGGAACCAAAAAAAAAACTTTGAGATATCCATGGGTTTGAGATATTGAGGTTAAAATACATAAAGAAAAAGTGATTGCTGCTTTAAATTTACTTCATGATATCCTCAGTGTTCAAGATATCAATGTTTGACATTCAAAATTCAACTCTATGTGGTTATTGCATGTGTTATCTTTGTGACACTCACTATGAATTCAAGTATTTTATATTGTTGTAGATTGTATTTAGTGTCCATCTGAATCCGTTTTAGCTTAGTTTTCTTCTATCTGGTGTCAGGTTTTATTATTTCAAAATAAGTGCAGAATGTCTGCTGCTATTGCTCAACACATGTACATTATATGTCACAGTCTGTATTGTATACTGTATACAGGGTTATTTTCACCCCCTGTTATTTTCGCCCTTTCACATGTGCAAACAACTTGGCCCAATTCACCCACCTATGAGTAGGGCGAAAAGGGTGAAAATAAAACGGGCGCAAAATTTTCCATATATACAGAAATTACATGTACAGGGCTTGAAATAATTGATGGCCCGCTGGTCTTGGGCCAGTGAATTTTCAATCTGGGCTAGTACATTGCAGAGGGCATTTGTCCTTTGGGTCAGCATTTTTTTATACATAATAAAATACATTCACAGTAGGGCTAGTTAACTTCACAGAGTTGTGTGTCCCAACTTCTACTGTTTCTTATTTTGTTAAATTGTACTTCTAAGTATCACAATATAAAAAATATTACTATTATTATTACGGTTTTGGGCCAGTCTCTTTAAAATCTACTGGCCCAGTGGGACAGTGAAAGTACTAAGCTGACCAGTAAAAATTTAAGGCGATAGCCCAATTTAGTGACCAGTAAACAAAAATAATTATTTCTAGCCCTGATGTAACTAGTAATCTTTTTGTCACAAATGATTTAATCAATAATAATTTGAATTCTATCCAGAATCAATTTCTGCAATAATTCTTTCTGTGGTCTCCCAGAGTTTCTTGCTAAGTTTTTTATCATAAGCAGAATTCGGGACCCACATCGAGTGGTCATACAAACTACAGTCCATGTAGTAACCCCCAGTTTGTACAGAATCATCCAGCGCACAAAACAGGACGGACTGGGCACCCTCCAAGGGAGTCTGAAAATAATAAATATGTGAGAAAAATGATTTACATGTTGAAAAATTAAAATATATATATATATATATATATATATATATATATATATATATATATATATATATATATATACATTGTATATATGTACGGAAATGTAGCAGTTACTCTTCAAATATATCTGATGTCAACAGAAAATGATTTATCACTCAGAATTTCTGATACATGTGTTAGTGGTACACATGCACTGAAACAGGAGCTGCACTCTTGGACTTTAAATTTTGTAATAACTTTTGAGAAAGTCTGCAATTAGAAACTCATACCTTTAAGAATGGTCTCATTACAAATGTTATGATGAACTGTATAATCCAGGGTAAATTTCTGAACAATTCACTTGTGACTGTACCAGGGTGAACATAGCTTACTAGTATATCTGTTATAGAGAAATATAAGAATAACAGGAGTATCATCATTTACATGCTAAGCACAAACACATCCTGAGATTTATACATAGCTGATATTTACTATTCTTGGTTTGATCTTGATACTGTATTTATAGTAAAACACATTACAGTGAACATGCATGCTTATAATGAATCCACAGCAAAGTGAGTTCCATTCCCTGTCAAGTTCTAAAATGTATTATGAAAGTAAGAGATATAGCAAATTATGGTTAACTTGAATAAAATTCTTCATCCCTGGCACTTTGTTTTACTGTACATGTTAGTATATTATACTTGATATATACACGCTTTAATGACGCTAGGTCATTCACATAATCAAATCATTAATGTAATGGTGTTGCTTCCAATTTTGACTTTTTGTTATACAATAATTTTGGTTGAAGAACCTAGTTCATCTACCCTTGGTTTGTGCTAAAAAAGGAGATTTTATATTGGTGAACTAATTATAATTGTATAATGACTTATAATTGTAATTTTCAGAAATATGATTTGTTGCAAAATGGTGCTCCAACACTAAAATTTTATATAAGTTATTGTTTGAGAGTTATAATTTAAACCCTAAATAGAATCAATGATAGTTCACCATTCAATTGGCACAAAAGTTTATCCAGCTGACTCAGAAATTTTGTCTGAAATTTCTTCAAGTGCAATTTTATAAATTTAAACATTACATCAAGCATACCTTTATGTGCTGTTCTTCTGGCAAGTTCCTTTGTAAACAACAGCAGGGCAAGTTTAGAATTATTGTACTCTTCCTTAGTGAACCCTCTATGGACCCACACTGTGTCCCCATCTACTGATCCCCCCAAACTGGCAATGGAGCCCACATTCACTATTCGTCCTTCTGATGATTTCTCCAGTATGTCTACAAGATAGTTTTGAATTGACTGATATTTTTAAAAAGTAAAATATCTCTGAACATAACCATGAAATAAAAATATAAATTAAGAGATTTAAAAACTTGGAATGTACATGTAGTTCGAAAATTTATATTTGAGATTTTTAGTACATGAAAATAGGTGAAATATGTAATTACTTCTTACCAATAAGAAGTTTTGTTAAAAGAAATGGTCCATAGTAATTTGTTGCAAATGTTTCTTCCAGACCCTCTGCTGTAAAAACTTCATTCCAATCTATAATTCAAATGAAATGTTGGGAAAATCTCTTCCATACAATATTTTGTATCCAATAAAAAAAAAAATCAACAAAATATTTGAACAGTGTCTGACACTGAAAGGGATGTGGCAGACTGTGACTTAAACACGGAACCTCTTACTGTGTAGATGCTCTGCCTCCTAAGTATTTTTAAAAGGGGTGAAGTACCCACTTTTCATAAAATAATTTTCATTCTGATATCCTTTAAATTTGCCCTCACTGCACATATTGACAATCACTTACTTACTACACCAGCATTGTTAATGAGAATGTCCACTCCTTTCTCTTCCCTTCTAATGACGTCCACAAATGTCCTGACAGATGACATCAAACTCACATCAAGATGTCGAAACACAACACTCTTATTTCCCGTCAGTTGGATAATTCTGCTTTTGGCAGCCTCTCCCTTTTCCTTATTTCGACAAGCGAGGATTATCCTCCCATTCCTCCTGGCCAAGTCTAATGCTGTCTGAAACCCTATTCCTGTATTTGCTCCGGTTATGATGATTGTTTTACCAGTAAGAGATTTACTGCTGTGATATTTTGACTTGCCACTGGAGAAACCTGTTCTTGATAATGCTCCACCCATTAATTCAATCTACAGTGTTAAAAAAACATTGTTTAACTCGTATAATTAAAACACATGTATGATGTTTATCAGGTTGGGCACAATTCCCCAATAGAGGAAATATCTCACTTAATGGGAATCATTCTTCTTTACAGTAATAATCCACTGGTACCTGGTACTTGTGGACAGGAAAATCCCTAGCACCATCCATTCAAAAGTTATGGCCAAGGTTAAAAATTTGGTAAAATTCTGCAAAAGTGGGTCAAACTCCAAGATCTATCATGGTCAAATATGTTTGAACCCAAAGAAAGGTCGTCACAATGAATATATAATACATGTATATGAAATGTAATTGAACTCAATTTAGTCAGGTCCAGCACAATCTTTTGATTTAGCTATATACCGTATAAATAAAAATTTTAGCGAGGATTTAATTTTGGCATTTTTAGCGAGGGTATTGAGATCGTTAAAATTTAATGTCACTAACAATTCATTCTGAATTGCTAAAATTACTTCTCACTAAAAATTAATACATGTACCAATTTTTAAGGCAAAACTGCTAAATTTGCGTCTCGCTAAAAATTCCACTTATATGGTAGCTTGAAATAGCTATATAGCTTTAGTAAGCTATTCAAAATAGCTTGATAAAGCTACATTTATATGCAGTTTTTCACAAAAATGTTTTATGTAAGAAATAGACAAAAATTCGCAAGTATTTGACTATCCATATATGTACTATGAGCTATCAATAAAGCAATCCAAATCAAAGATAGTTCTAACAATGCAGCTTTTGAATGCTTTTAAGCAAAAGATGAATTTCCATTGCTTGAGTAACTGTACACTGTGTGCGGTGAGGCATGAATCTCATTGTGCTGAATTATAACCAATCAATTATCTTGTTGACCGTAACTGACCTAGCTCCTTTATAATTTTATTCAAGAAGTAACTGTGAAGTCACGAATCCATTGCTCTATATAGCCCCAAAACTTTTAGAACTTTGAGTACAGAGTCTTTCAAGGAGATGAAATTTGGTGAGTGATTTTTCCTTGCATTGTTTTCAGAAGAGTTCAAAGTTGAATATTATCACTGCACCAAGGTGCGACTTTTTTGTACGTGCTGAAAAAATAACAATTTTAAGAAAAAATGTGATAAAATAGCTTAATCAAGCCATTATGAAAAGCTTAATAGAGCTATATAATAGCTAAATTAAGCTATATAGCTAAATCAAGAGATTGTGCCGGACCTGTACGTTAGTCTGTTAGTATGTTTAGAAAAATACACTTTCTTTGAATGCAGCTCTTCCCTTATGAATCTCCTGCATTAACCTGCTATTAAAATAAGGAGAAATCTAAACTTGTTATGTATAAATCAGATTTATAAACACAATAACAGTCTTGAAATTGGGGATTTGACCTACCTCATTTATTTAGTCTGTTTACGAAAAGCTCCTACTTTCACATTCAGATTTGCATAAAAGGTATCCGTATCGAGAACCCGACTGTTAAAAGTCTAGCGAGCTTGTTAAAAATTAAGGATCGAGGAGTAGCACAGCATTTTTTATATAATGGATCTTTTGAAATATGATTTCAGTATTGAAATACCGATATGAGCTCTTAAAATATTTTTATTAGTTTTTTTTTTTTTTTTTTTTTTTTTTTTTTTTTTTTTTTTTTTTTTTTTAAGTTTTGTTTTGTTTTTTACAGAATGCACGAGGTTAATATACAGAAGCCAACTAGGATCAAATTAGGAAGATGAAAAAAGTATTTTTTAATAAAGAAAAAAAAGAGGGAAGTAAAAGAAAGAAAGAAAAAAAGAAGGAAAAAATATAATTATAAAAAGGGGGCTCAGTACATTTCTTTTGAAAACTATGAAATTATTTAAGGAAAGTTGAATGCACCGGTTTTTGTTGTGTAGTAGTTGGGCATTCAGCCACTACTAATGAAAATGTTTTGTACTTCGCGTTGTGTGTTTTTTTTTTTTTAAAGTTGTATGTTTTAATAATATTTAAACCTTTTTATTAACCCTTTTTATTTCTAGGTAAGTTTGAGTCCGCATAGAGTGAGGCAAGTAATTAAATCTATACTTATAAATTAATAAATTTTGCAAATAAACTCCGAAACGGATACACCAGAGTTCTTACTAACTCCTCTATGAATACACTAGATACAAGATGATGTCCGTAAACTATATTCAGATTTCACTCGCATAGTAAATATCGTACATAAATTAAAAGTCTACTTTCAGTTTCTATAAACAGCCATGAAATAGCAAAAACGTGAGTACGGTGGCGGTTCCGGTTGGCGGATCTAAGTTACTGGCAATTTTTAATGAAACTGACAACAAGCAATCGTTTATTTTTTCATAAAACGTCATCACTGAATTATTCAATCAAAATTTGATTTAAATGATATAAAAGAAATAAGTTGTGATAACCGATTTAAAAGGGAAATATGCAAATTATTTTTGTCATTCACCAATCTTAATATTGACGGAAACTTCTAGAACATCATATACCATCGAGCCCGATGTTAAAAAAGAAAAACGAGGCGATTATGGCTTCGTGAACATAAAAAAAACTTTTGTGTGAATGGTCGTTGAAATAATGGTAAATCATTGATAACACTATAAGTTGCGCATATATTTATATATCGAAAGACTATTAGTAGGTTTTCCTGGTAAATGCGGGATTTTGAACAGTGTATCTTCCTGCTTTAAGCCTGTAAGCTGTCAGTAGAAACTACAATATATATTATTGGAATTTTCCTGTCGGTAGTGTTATAAATTCAATTTCCCGCGCTTGCGCTGGATTTCATCTAGTAATAAATAGATAAATAAAGTTTTAAATCTTTAATAAAGTTTAACAATTGTATGAAAATACCAAACAAAATAATGATAATCCCGGGGAATGAATGTGGCTTTCGAGAAAATATAACTAAATAGGAAAAGTAAAGAAATGATAATCAAAATTTAGTAAGGGAAAAAGAGGGTGAGGCAACTCCTGAATATTACCTTGTTTCAAGGTTTGGCTCAGCAGAAGCCCAGAGTACGGTTGTGCTCGGGTTTAAATACCGTTCTTAACAAAAGAATGAAAGTAAAAGTTAGCGGTATAGTGATTTGATAATAAATTTAGAAGTAACCAATGAAAAGTTTCGAAATAAAATACGTTTGGAAATAAAAAATAACTCTTTTCCGGTTTCATGAATAAACAAATCGAATACGAAGATAAAGAATTACGTAAAGAAGTAAGTAGATCTGAAGTTAAATAAATAATGTAATAGAGATAATTGATATATGACCGATACTACCACAGTTGCAATTCCTGTTGTCCATACTCTACTGGACGACCTTCTTTATCATTTTTTCTGTCACTGATATTCTACTTTTTTTATTTGAAACTTGACTCTACATGAATATTTAAAATACATAGCAATAGCATGCGTGAATAATAAAGATTAGAACAAAAAATAGTAGTCTGAACTATGTTACAACCACTGACTTATATTTTCTTTTGCCAATATTTTTGATAGTTACTACTGTAATAATACTTGATTTAAAAACATTTTCACCCAGTTCTTTTAAACTGTTAAATTTGGGATATTTCTATCTCTTACTTACTTAACAATTTCGATAATGCTACAGTAATTATCATGTATCAGATAAAGATTTGTTATTAGTAGAAAATTTTCCCCCTAAAAATATTTTGTAGAATATAACTCTTGTATATGGATGCACTCCTTTTTTTACAACTACAGATAGGAATATGATATTCTGACTTAAAGCAACGCTTCATTGTGTTTTATAATGTGGATTTAATATGTATGACACTGATATTGTTTTCATATATACCTCATAATTTTAATTCTATATGTGATAATAAATTATTGCTCTTTCTATTCACTGTGTCATAAATGTTCTTCATATCATGATTAGACATAATATTCATTTCTGAAAAAGTGACCGACGCTTCATATTTTATACTGTTTTCCTTTTGAATCTAATGCTATTGTTGCTAATGAATATTATTGTTTGGAATTCATGGCCGTAGGAACCGGGGGGGGGGGGGGCGTGCCCAGCCCCCACCCAATAATTTTGCCGATATATAGATTACTATATAGTAAACATAGATACTATATGCTTGTGCCCCCTCAATAAAAATGTTTGATGCCTTTTTTTTTTGCTTGTCAGGAAAATTTTGGTAGTGCCCCCTCAACTGTCAACTGAAAATGTATGACTGTGCCCCCCAATCTGAATTTGCTTCCTACGGGCCTGGAATTAAAAAAAGAAAAAAAAAGAAAAAGTGAAATTAAGAGCAGAGGGTTACTACACCTTAAGCTTCATTTGTATAGTTTTTGTTTTCGTCCATTTCATATGTTTAAAAATTGACTCAAACGAAACACTCTAAGATTTTCATAACACTGTTATTCTATTTTCTGTGAAAGAAAAAAAAACTAATGAAGTTATTTAACACTTTTTACTTCGCGTTATTACACCGTTCTTCGAGTTATAAATTAACTCCTTTTCACTTTGTGTTATAACGCCTTTTCATTTTTTTCTCGTAGTTTGAGCCTAATGCTTTCGTAATTAACAATTAAATTATTAGTCCCCTATCGGTGAAACCGGAGGGGACTATAGGTTTCCTCTGAGTCTACCCGTCCGTCTGTCTGTCTAGCTGTCCCTCTGTCAGTCTGTCCCACTTGGTTTTCCGCACTTTTTTCCTAAACGCTTGCAGATATTGAGCTGATTTTTTGGTATGTGATTGTATCTTGATGAGTTACAGATCAAATTTGCATTTCGTTCCGCTTCATTGATTTTTGACGTAATTACGACCTTTTCAATGTTTAAGGGTTTTCCGCATTTTTTTTCTAAACGCTAGCAGAAATTGAGCTGATATTTGGTATGTGACTTTACCTTGATAAGTTATATATCAAGTTTGCATTTCGTTTAATTCGCTTCAATGATTTTTGACGGAATTATGGCATTTTCAAGTTTTAACGGGAACCAGATTACACTTGCCGGTAGGGGACTGGCATTGCTAATGCAATACTCTCAAAATGCTTGTTTAAAGGACATTAATTAAGAAATAAATTTCAGCATGAAATGGACAAGACTTGGCACATTCTATAGGGAATAAAACTCAAACTCGGTGCTATAAATAGTCATAAAATATTGAGTTCATGGCAATCTCAGGGGTCTAGATGTAGAAATTTGTCTTCATTAGAATTGTCAATTATTTTATTCAAAATATTTATTATAAATACATCACAGAGATTTGTAACACTGTTTACACATACAAATTAATTTAAACAAAATTGCAAGGTTAAATAATGCATGTTTTTGAAGTTTTCAAGCGGCCAAGTTAATTGGGCTCGTGAAAATGTTTTTGATGAATCAATACAGTAAAGCATGAAAATGTACAAGTGACTATAAACTAATATAAAACCAATGTTTATCAAGGGAAAAACGGTGTTTTATATGATCAACATTAAATTGGTTGATACTTGGTAATCAGGAAATCGAAAATAGCTAACATATTACATGTACATATTTCAAAAAATGTTAAATGAATACCTTAAATCATTTTGAAAAATACATTAATTTTCTTAAACATCATTTAAGTCACAAGAGCTGCACAGGTTTATTTCTATTTTATCTAATGGTATTAATTCATGACTGGACATGTCAATACATACCATGTGAAAATATACATGTAATTGATGAATTTAATTCTGAGTCAAAATTCTTCACTTTGTTGCTATATTGCAAATTTTTTCATAAGCCGCTTTCGATCTTCATCTTTGACGCAACAGGGACCACGACAGCAACAGCAACATAACCCGCAACCCGTCAGTACGAATATTATTGCTATGGCAATCAATATAGGGGCCCATCTGAAATAGGAATAAGTGAGAATTAACTTGTATATACCACAGGATGAACTTCAAATATTTGATTATCTAAATTTCAGTTATAAATCAGAAGACCAAACGAACCAGCAGTCTCTGACGAGACTGTAGCTCTACTGGTTTGTAATAATAATAATGACAGAGAAAAGCTGTACCTTGACTTGAAACTTAATTACTATGGCAACACCAATAAAAAAGAATTATGATCCTTGATATAGTTTACTTGTGTACTTACTTTTATCAAATTCAAACCAAAAACATAGGACAACTCAAAATCCAATAAACAGAACAATGTATCTTAGTGTAGTAGGATACTTGAGTAATAAGTCATATATCAAAAACCGATACATAGAGGAGGTTAAGTTTCTTAGTATAGTCAGTGTACATGTGCATTAATTTTAGGTCTTAATGAAATTGGATCTAAACTGTTTCAGAATTTTATTCTTCGTGATTTTTTTAAAAATCAAATCAGATTAGATCGCACACATTTGATTTGTATTCATTGTAATAATAAAAAACAAAAATGTAATGTGAGTTTTAATTTTGATAGGGATTACTCCCCCCCCCCCCCCTTTTTTTTTTTTTTGCAAAACTCTATAGTTGCCACTTAAGTTAAGAATTGAATGATGATGCTGAACTAAGTGTTAAAACGTGTGTAATGGGTTAACGGGATTGTTTCGTTAGGTAAAGACGCATACTTCTGGTGTGACGTGTAGCGCACGCTTATAAATGATATTCAACAAAGGATAGTAAGTAAAATATAATAAAAAAGACTTCGCCCAAATACTAGTTAATAACAACAATGGAATGAAGAGAAACATATGTGTATCATATATTAAATCGAAGTTACAATCCTCGTCTGCATTCCAACCTTGAAATTCCACATCTGACAGATAATTCTTGCGCAACTCATCTGATGTATAAGGAATTTCTCATCAGTGTTACATGTGGCATATGTACATGTAGATACACGTGTAGCTACGTGGGGATTCTTAAGGTGTAGCCTACGTACATATCTTTTTGATGGAAATACAGATTATGACATATCACACAGTGAAATCTGAATAATTATAATCCGTTGCCAAACTGGAAAACAGAGCTCCTTGTCAGTGACGGTAAATTTCTGCAAATAAAGTTTAGATATGTTATGTAGGTAAAACGTACACATTTTCTGGAGCGGAGAACCATTGTCTACAGAAATCAGATCGATTTCCTTCTCCAGCTCTTTTGGCACCGTCATTACAGCAATATGGCTTGGTGTCAAAACAACAGTATTTACTGCACCATACTGCCTCCTGGCTCTCCTCATCTGTGTAATAGGCCCGACAGCATTCCCCACCCTCCACTGACGAAACTAAACAAAAAAGAGGGAACAGAGTAAAATCATTTGATTAATTTTGGATCTTGTTTACACAAGTAGGGCGCGAAGTTCAATATGTTTTCTTTAAGTTTTAAACTTTCAAAGAATTTGATTTTTAGTTAAAAATAGACTGGTTCTGCTATCATATATATATCGTATATATCAGAGAAGCAAGACCAGTCTAAGTAATAAGTGGCAAATATGACAAATTTGATATTTGACTAATGCCGTACGTATCTCCAAGCTGCGAAAGCTATATTGCATTAAGGTATTTAGAATAGGCAATGGTGCATATCAGGCAACTTCTCTGATCGTTTGTTTACATTCTTTAACACAGGAAATACATCCATCTTATACAGTGTTATATGTATAAGAGATAATATATATTAGAAATATACTTACCAAGAAACTGTAAGACAAAAACAAATCCCAACATAAACACTGAGGAAGAATAATAACGAGACATTTTCGACTGTACTAAACACTGAACAACATAGATCAAAGAAACATCCCGGGATAGCCTAGGGAATAAAGGTGCGGATCCTAACTGTTATACTGTAAACTGCTAAGATTAATGAAAGAAAACAGAAACAAATTCTACGTCAGTATTAATTATGTCTCCCTCTTTCTTCGAGATGTAGTTTTGGCAGGTGCTCTATCTATTCAAGCATGACATCATTCATACAGTTTACTTTCGTACCCGCCCACACAATAACAATACGCACGTGGAAATTAAAATTTACACTAAATATATAGCTTACAGCTACCAAACAGTTTATCACCGAATTTGGAGAAGCAAGCAAAGAGGGTTCGAGTAAGAGATTTTCATATCTCTACCTACTTATTTATTTACATGCATACACTGCTTGTGAATACTACAGAATACAGATCAAACATATTTCCGTTTTTTTTCTTAATCAATTTATTTTCAATCCGTCAAGATTCTTAAAGACTAATAAGAGGGACATCATTAATATTGAATGAAAAATAAATGTAATTTAAGCTTGATGTATTTCGATAAAGATTTGTTATTTTAAATCTATTTTCTTTTATTAAAAAATGTTTTATCTGATGTCAGAAAATAGATTTTCTGATATAAGAAATGGGATTTTCTATTAAAAATAGACTATCACTTTGTGACATCAAAATTTAAAGAAATTTTTGATATCAACAAATGCAGTCATTAAGACCACAGGGACCTGTTTCTGTAACACATTTATTTATTCCATAGTAAAACCAAATACACATGTATTGAGATAACGAAATCAAGCCCAAAAGTCCATGGAAACAATACAAATCAGGAGCAGAGCAAACACAGGCCTCTAAAAACATCAGAGGTGGGATCAGGTGCCATGGAGGAGTAAGCATCCCCTTTCGACCGGTCACAACTGCCGTGTGCTCCTTGTCATGATGGAGCAAACGGAAAAAAATCCATAGACAATTCAGTGTATAAATAATGGTCTAATAATGAGTATGAAAAACGTCAGTCAGCATTTGACTTAAGGTTAGATTGTATTTGCTGACAAGGTCATGATATCAACCATAGACCTTCGAAATGATGACTTTAAACGAGATTGTTGATATTCTTGTTTAATCAACTTGTTTGTTAATGGTTTTCCTCGTTTTAGAAATTGTTCGTACATAGAGCATGCTCTTGCGTATGGAATCAACTGGAAGACATAGACTCTGTGTGCAGGTGATAAGGGTATACTCCTACAGAAGTAAGGGAAGCTGACGATAGAGAAGTTGAAGTCATTATGTTTATCATAATAATTTATTAAAGTTTTGTTGTTAGCTTACCATTAACGTCTTTTTCTAGCAATATATTCAAATATGAAACAGATGTGTGGCATCTTTTATTTCAAGTTCACTGGGATACACTGAGTCCGACATTTAAATGAAAGTAACTACTGTTAATTGATAAAACGTCGATATATCTAAATGTCGAGTTAGAGGCCACATCAAGTGTTTTCTTCTTTTCATGTAGCAGTTTTTGAATAAATTCTGCTTCATATGAATACAAAAATAGGTCTGATAATAACGGGGCTAATTGGAACCTATGGGAATTCCAACAGATTGTTGGAGGACCTGATCTCCAAAAATAAGAACTATGAGTATAAGCTGGATTACCCTAGTAGAATTAAATCCAAGTTCATCTGAAAGGCAGTTGAATAATGAGCAAAGACGATGTTGTTACCTGCTTTGTCAGCTGGGACCAGTACATGCTGATCGGGTAATCTATCTAATTCCCAAGTCACTTCTGAATTACTGAAGACAGAAGGATAAATGTTTTTCACGTTGCCGTTTAACTCGAGACTTAACATCCGTCTTATACTTTTAAATTTTAATCCATTCTGACGAAATGTCAAAAACTTCATTTTTATGTTTGGTCCATTACCTGGCGTAATCTTCGACAGAATTCCTAATAAATGTATTTATGAAATTTTGAAAATTATTTTGAAATACCGGTATGGTGGAATACAAGCCTGGATCTTTTTGTGATTAAGAATATTACTAATTTTTAGGGCGTCAATTCCTTTGGAGGCAAATTTTAGTGTAACGAACAGATAGATTTCTTGAGAATTATTATCTTCCATAAAACGTGGCGGCTTAAAAAGCCTATGATTGGCAACATCCATGATCACAGAGTCCATGCAGCCTGTATTTTGGTGTTGAAGGATCCAAGTGTAGACTTTCTTTAGCCTTTTCATATAGACCGTTTAAAAATTCCAAAAAAACAGAGCAAAATTTGATGCAGACCTGTTTATTGACAAAAGGAAGAAGTGATTCAAGAAAGACATCATGCATATTAAGTTTATTGTAAGATCCATGTCTATGACTACACTTATACGTCTCTGCGTTTTGTTAAAAAGCACGCTGTTACACCATGGACTTGGAGAAAACACTTGATGTGGCCTTCAACTCGACATTTCGATAAATCGACGAAGTTTTATCGTTAACAATAGTAATTTCTATTCATATGTGGACTCGATATATCCCAGTGAACTGAATTAAAAGATACCACAGAGTCTGACATATCTGTTTCATATTTGGATATTTTACTAGAAGAAGACGTTAATGGTTACGAAACAACGAAACTTTATGATAAACCTGATGATTTTAACTTTTTTTTTCATCGTCAACTTCCCTCATCTATGTAGCAATATACCCTTATCACCTGCATATACAGTTTATGTCTCCCAGTTGATTCGATACGCAAGAACGTGCTCTAAGTACATGAACGAACAGTTTCTAAAACGAGACAAGCTATTGACAAAGAAGTTGATGAAATAAGGATATCAACAGTCTCGTTTAAAGTCAACATTTTGCAAGTTCTATGGTCGATACAATGACCGTGTCAGCCAATACAATCTATCATTAAGAGTAAGCTGACGTTTTTCATACTAACTGTAAGGCCATTATTTACACACTGTATTGCATGTCTACGGAATTTTCTGTTTGCCCGATCATGACAAGGAGCACACGGCGGGTGTGACCGTTCGACAGGGAAAGCTTCCTCCTACATATCACCTGATCCCACCTCTGATGTTTTTAGAGGTCCGTGTTTGTTCTGCTCCCAATTTGTATTGTTTCAATGGACTTTCGTTCTTGATTACTCTTCGTCATCTCCATATTTCTTTGTAAGAAGTTGCTTACTTCCGTTGTTTGATTTGAAATCTAGCCCAGATATTCTTTTGTTTTGGTGAACCCATGGTCAATTTTTAAAAGTTGTTATTAAAATAATAGTAATAGGCAATATATCACAGACAGCGCTTTTAGGAAAGTCAGGGGTATGATGTTTTTAAAAAAAAAAAAAAAAAAACATTTGTACAGGACACTGAAGATAGTGCTTCTGAATACTAGTATTCTGCAACACTGAACAGCCTTTATTGAAAGTACAACTGGTAATGAGTGACGCTTCTCAAAGAGAGCGTTTCTGAAGAATCCAGCGGCATTTGTCCAATACAGTGCTTCTGCTTAGTCAATGGCATTGAGCGACATTCGTCTAAGACGCTGCTCCAATAAAGTCAGCGGCATTTCTTCTGGTGAAGTCATGAGCACTGAGTGGCATTTGTCCAAAAAGTGCTCCTTTGAAAGCCAGCGGCATTTGTACATGGTAGTTCCAAATGGAAAGTTAGCAGGATTTGTGCAGGAAAGTGCTTCAAGTAGCATCAGCGGGGTTATCGTTCACAGTTATAATGCGAGAGTCAGCGGCACTTATGCAGGAAAGTGCCTCTGATAAAATCATTTCTCTCCGAAAGTGATTCTTGTGAAGTCATCTGGAGGCATTGAGCGGTATTTGTCCAAGACAGTGCTGTTGGTAACCTCAGAGCGACATTCATTAAAGCAAATGTTCCTTGTAAAGTCAGGAATTTAGCCGTACCTTTTTTTTCTGCAATTCTATTGGAAAAGTCAATGCCATTACTTTTATTTGGGAAAGTGTTTCTGGTTTACTCAGCGACATTGAGCAGTATCTGTCGAAGACAGTGCTTCTGATAAGGCAAGCATCATTAAGCCACATTTCTGTAAGAAAGTGCGACTGGTGAAGTCAGCGGCATTTGTCAAGAAAGTGCTCCAGATACAACTAAAAGCTCTGTCTTGGACAAATGTCGCTCATTACCGTTGACAACTGTCTATGGTGTTTCGATACATAACTGGCATCTTTGCTAACCAAGAGGTTTTGGTTCACTCTACTCCCAATAAAGAGAGGAAGCCCTTGGCTAGTGAAGATGGACCGAAAACCCTTGATAGGTTGGTTTCAACGTTGTCTTTGTTGAATCGATGAGATTTTCATGTTGAAAAAATATGAATATCCCGGATTTTTATTCAATATGAATGAAGTACTAAATATCATCACGACCTTGATATTTTCTTTAAAGGCAGTATTTTTTCTACTTACTCTTTTGCAATTATGTAATTTGTACTCTCATTATAGTATATGTGACATTGTAAACATCTCGAACTATGGTTTCAACAGTTGTTCTTATGCATGCTCACTAACTATCTTTCCACAGTACAATGTTTAATTCGACAGACACTTTGTATAACCGTTTGTTATATTCGTAGCATTATGAATAAGTAAATGCGTCACTTTAAAAAAATGGATTTTCATCCAAAAAAGCGGCTTTACTTATTTCTTCATTTTCAAGTTAGAACGAGACAAAAGGACAAACAGAATTAAATCTAGTGCATGTTTCCATATTCAAAAATTAATTTATATTAACCTACCAGTAATACCTATGCTCTTTTAATGACGAAAGTAAAAAGCTTACTACAAAAATATCTCATAAACTTCATTAATCATAAAACATATTATAACTGTTTATTTGTTACTTTCACAAAAGATCAAAAATCTAGAATATTAATAGTTCATCATAAGTAAATCACTATTTTAAATGCACCGTGTTGACAAATAACCATGAAAGTACCGAATAAGAACTTATTTGACGTATGACCGAATTACAGCTGATAATTTATCTATCCCCTCCTCTATTTTGTCCACTGTACATATGCTCATGGAGAGACGAATAAAATTCTTGAATCCCCCAGTTGCTGATGCTCTGTCAATATAACAAATGATAAATTAAAATCCACGTCCCAGTATTTCACCTTTATTGTTAAACTCTACTCGGTTGATAAAGAACACTTTGATAAAAGGATACTTACATTGAACCAACCTGTACAAGAATATGATCGTCTTTGGCTTTTTCACAAAGACCTTCCGCATCCACATTTTCGGGTAGTTTTACCCAAATGAAGAAACCACCCTGACATTAGAAACAAGAACCTCATAATCTACATTGCTCACTGGCACGACCTTATCTCGATTAAGGTACTAAATAATTAAGTTGTAAAAAAGGATCACTTTGTGATTTCATCCTAATATCGAGAATTATGGTTGAATTTAAATGTACTTTCATATAGGATTCTAATCCTTGTCGATTTTACAAACGGTTGTCTTGTAGTCCTTGAAAGAAAGTATTGTGTACCTGTTATCCTTCTATCTTGGAAAAAATATTGCCAATTTATTAGCCATTCTTTTCTAGAGGCTGAGCGTTTAATAACCTCAATTCTGTAGTTAAAGGAAATCCTACCATATAATTTTGTCTTCTCTCAACTAGTTATTTGGAATTTTGATCGGAAAGGTCCCAACTAAGCCTTAGATTCTTGAAAAAGGAAAAATAAACTGTATTGTATTCTTTGGATGCAACTTACAGTTGGTTCAGTAAAGGACACCGGAAGTTGGTTCTCCTTCAGACGTCGACAGGCTGCTCCGATTCTTTCCTAAATTATTTCAAAAAGATAAATATATCATTTCTTACTTTCGTCTACACATTAGGACAATAAGAATAATAAATTCACAAATAATGCATAAGATTCATAAAAACGTTGTGATATACTTAATCTAAAGACTAAAAAATATAGACTACTTAATATCATAATTTGAATTCTCACCCCGTATAATTTTCTCAGTCTCTTAATGTTTGATTGTACAAGTCCAAGTTCCAATGCTTTCCCAACTACACAAGACATGTAATGATTATAACAGAACCCGCTTGTTGTGGTATAACTGTAAAGGATAAATTCTACATAAACAGTGATTCAACATCAAATCAACGGAGATTAAAAAAAAACACCTTAAACTCTTAAGAACTCTATGCCAACGGTTGTTCAATTAAAATCACTCATGAATGTGTGACTACGAGTACTAACCAGTCTATCAACATTCTGACAATTCGAGGCGACGTCTCTATCCACCCTACACGTAAACCAGGAGAAAAAATCTTGGAGAAAGTACAGTTTGATAAGGTGTGTCCTTGGTAGTCCGGATCATCCCTGGATATTGGACAGTAAACTATAAATAATTTCTTTAGCTATGGGGTTTTTTTTAAAAAAAAAAAGGAAGAAAAAAGAAAACGTATTTCGATTCATGCACTTATGTTTTATTTGGTGTGACCGATCAACAGGGGATGCTTACTCCTCCTAGGTACCTGATCCTACCTTTGATGTTTTGGGTCCGTGTTTTTGCCCTTGGGATTGATGAGATTGATCACTGTTCGTTATCTTCACCCTGTACTTTATTAAGGAATTGAATTATCAGTACATAACGATGAGACTGAAAACTCAATTGCTCCTTAGCTAAAGTATATCGACTGTCGTACTTTTTCTGTAGAAAGATACCAGAATACTATAGCGAACTGCAATTCTCATAAACATTCACAAAAATTGTGGGAATATTCAATCTTCAATATGAAAAAAATATTTGGAGTAGTGTAACATTTACATGTACATTTAAAAGTCCAATATAACTTTGCATCACAAAATGTTATATTTATCTAGATTTCTGTTACTATGAGGAATGTATCACATAAATGAAATCCGGAGTTTTCTAATCCAACTGTCACCCTATGGATTTATTCTACTCTTATAGAGTAGAAATGGAGCAAGGATACTAGAGTCACCGATTCCGTCACAGTCCGAAGGTACGAATCGTTTTAAGTTTGCCATTTGCTGTAGATAAAAGGCTAAGATAATAGGACATACTTTTTGTCGTAAGAGAAGAGTCTGGGTGGAGGAATACCGTCGTTGGTGTATGTTAACAGGTTATAGACATCTTCACCGAACAACAACATGTCATACTGTCTTGCCAAAGAAACAAGACGCCGACACTTTTCTAAAATCAAAATATTTTTAAATATATGGATTTTTTTGACAAATGTACACGAATAAGAAAGAAAAGAGAGCATAAATATGTTCGAACAGAAATACTTGTATATGTATCCAAAATGAACATTTCTTTATTTTCAAAGGAAAAACTCTGATAGAGTTTTCAAACCTGGTGGAAGACAGGATCCCGTGGGATTATGGTGGACCGTCATCGTGTACAACATCCGGCGGAAGGGAGTCTTTGTCTGCGTGGGAGCAGGTGTCTCCTGTAACAGTTTCTCCAGAGCCATCACATCTATACCATCGTCTTCTGTCGGAACTAAGAATAAGGTTGTTAGATTTTATTGAATTGTTATGCATTTACTGACTGAGATCGAGGACAACATGCGTTTTGTCGGTCCCAAGAACCAAACTGCATAAGGCCGTTAGGCCACAGGCAAACAGTTTGGTTCCAAGGTTCGGCAAAGTTTGGTTCTAGGGTTCGACAAAACGCATGTTGCCATAGAACGCAGTCAAAATGTTTTATTATACCTTTCTCTTTTTAGCTAACCTGAGCCGAAGGCTCAAGTGAACTTTTCTGATCGAATGTTGTTCGTTGCCTGTCTTCGTCGTCGTAAACTTTTAACATTTTCTTCTTCAGAGCCACAGGGCCAATTTCAACCAAACCTGGCAAAGAGTATCCTTGGGTGAAGGGATTCAAGTTTGTTTAAATGAAGGGCCACACCCTCTTCCAAGGGTAGATAATTAAGAAGTAGTGAAAATTGGGTGGGGTCATTTAAAAATTTTCTCAAGAATGAAAAAAAATCACTATTTCTATTGATTCATCATAATTCCAGACCTATATTTTGTTCGAATAATATATCCTGAAGGTTTATACATGGAGAACATATAAATAGGTTTACGACTTGATGATACATATTGTATATTTGTACATTGATCATGTATACTAAGTATTTGGCCATATAGAAATCAAATTTTGTTACCAGGGATCACTTGATAGCCAAAATCATCTTTAAACATCCCGATAGCAAGGAAAAATGTTGGATCTTCGACAAAAATGGGCACATCTTTACTCAACAGTACAGTAGTTACCAGGTGTATTCCGTGAGTAGCACCAGTCGTAATAAACAAATCATTACTGGAAAAAAGGTAGAAGAAAAGGTGATTAATTTGTTGTTGTAGAGAATAATTTTACAGATCTTTAGATGGAAGCAATTAATTTGTATAATTTGAAAAAGAGTATTATTATAATAGAGTTTTTACACATGAATAAGACAGAAAATACAATCTCCTGTGCTTTATCTATTTTCTGAAAGCTTTTAGATATTTTAACTTTTGCTAAATAACCTTAAATAAACAAAACAACAACTTCTATTTTCAGATAGCTTGGGATCTAAAAATATAATAATTAACTGTTTATATTCTCAAATTTAATGAATTTTACTTAGATCGGAGAATAATTTATACGGCATATATCGATTTCTCCATCTAACCCTTTTTATGCCCCCGTATCGGAGATTCGGGGGTATATAGTTTTTGCCCTGTCCGTCCGTCTGTCTGTCTGTTTATCTGTTTGTCAGCAAAAACTTTAACATTGCCCATAACTTTTGATTGGTTTGAGCTAGGGCTTTCATATTTCACAAGTGTATTCCTTGTGAGAAGACCTTTCTTTGGGTACCATCATAATTGACCTTCGAGTTTGGCCCAGTTTTGCAAAATTTTTCCGAACTTTAACATTGGCCATAACTTTTGAATGGTTGGAGCTAGGACTTTCATACTTCATATCTGTAATCTTCGTGGCAAGACCTTTCTTTGTATACCAACAACTTTGACCCTCTGACTTTGACCTTGGAGTTTGACCTACTTTTGAAAAAAATTAACATTGGTCATAACTTTTGAATGATGGGTGCTACGGCTTTCATATTTTACATGTTTATTTCTTGTGAGAAAACCTTTCCTTGGGCACCTTTAATTTGACCATTTGACCTTGATGTTGACTTGCTTTTGAAAAACATTAACCTTTTCCATATCTATTAAATGGCTGCTGCTAGGGTTTTCATATTTCACAGGTATATTCCTCGAGACAAGACCTTACTTGGCCACATATATACCTGTAATAATGGGTTATTTGCTATATATATTTTAAACTGTAAATAAATTGAATATAAAATAATTTAATAAATAAACACTTTGCCATAAATAAATAAATATGAATTTAAACTTAAACTCCGTTTGATAATTACATTTACTAACCTTACTGCACATATTGCATGGTATACTTATTTTAGATTTAGAGTTATCTTTTCATAGTTAGAACTCTCTAGTTTATTCATTACTATATGAGAACCAGTTTAGAGGTCAGAAATAGTCGATTGGCTATTCTTGTTTTGCAGAGATTTTATTGGTAGGTCATTGAGGTCAAATTCCTTAGTGAGTTACTCTTTGTTCTTTTAAATTCACTTTGAATCCAGCCACAAGCCAGAGTGCTGGCATCTTGTCTGATTAGATATAGATATATACAGTACAAATATTTTTTGACTGGACTATAAGACCTGATCACAGTAAGTTCTTTAATTTCTTTTACTAACACTTTATCTTTGTTGAATGAATGAGTATGAATGAAGTTATAGTATTTGATGATTAAATGGAAAATGTGTAAATAATAATAGCAAATGATTTGAATGAATATAAATCTATAGAGATCTGTTTTAAAAGTTACACTGATATATGAAATATCTTTTATGATGAGATCTGACCTGAAAGAATATGTAAATATTGTATATTGTGAAATTAATAAATACAACTATATGTTGTATGGTTCAGGTCCAGATATGGTTTCTACAATGTAGCTGTGACACCTATGTATGCAGCCTAGGTCCACAACTTGGTATATATTAATATAATTACTTATTTTGAGAGCTGTAAATATTTTTGGTAAATTACATAAATTTACTTGAGTTTTATGAATATGGAGAAATAAGAATTATTTCCCTTTAATTGTAAAATATGAAGAGATATTAGGCAAGTTAATAGAAATATCAGTGTGATATAGTTTTATGGTAATTGAATAATTTGTGATAAAATATATAATTAGGTTAATGTTATGAAATATTTATTATGTTTACATGTTTTGTAGAGCTGAATTAGTTATTATCTTGAAATACAATAACATCATCCATGTCAGAAATTAAAAGAACCCTACAAGTTGACCAGCGTTTTCCTTTTCTTATTCACGGGAAAGCCCGGTTACATACCGACAAGTATTTTCCATAGTTGAAGCCAGTAGTTTAAGATATTTTCTACCTTTCTACATTGTCTTTATACTGAGCAGTCAAAAAATCCGCCAGATGCCCTCTGACCTCTGGAGCCCCGGATGGAGGTCCGTAGTCAAACAGCGCATGCTCGTCCACCTCCCCTGTCTATAAACACGATTTACGCCAAATTACTTAAAAAATTTTGATATGAAAATTAAAAAAGCGTATTGAATTCGACTTCTGTTCATCTTTTATGTAGCCACTAGCTCTCATAGCTGAGTGTTGAGATATTTTGAGACTACGATTCTAACTCAACTGCATGTACTACTAATATTCCGACTTCTGTTTATTAAAAAGGTATAAAGGAAGCATCAAAAAGGACAAAATATATCTTGGGAATTAAGAAAGAATCATTTATCCGTCTTTAGCCATGTAAAACTAGAGAAATGATGACTTAATTATTTTTATCCAAGTTTTCGGATCCACGCATTGTGGCTGGTTATCTCTAATATGGTAGATCTACTGAGTATATGGAGCTTTGAGAACAGATTTTAGGAATTGGCAGTTTCCGTTGTCCGATCGTCCGTCAGAAAAAAAAAACGCTACTCCTTTTTCACTTATTTTAATAAAATATAATCGTAAATAAAGTCCGGAAAACTGTCTTTTTATTTCTTTTTAAATGTTTTTAATTGCAATGAAAAATTGGGAAATGCTAAAAGTAAATCTCAAGTAGTCAATTTCCCTAGACTGTACTTAGTCCAAACCAGAAAAGGTTAAACTGACAGTCGTTGTTGATTTATCTTATCTGGACATATATAATTCTAGCTTATGCAGGATCAGGTACATGTACTTGATTTTAAAATTCAACGATTCTTCAACCATACCGTTCAGGAATAAATAATTAGTGACTTTTGACACCTATGTTTGTTTTACCGAGGTGTACCCCTATGCAGAACCGTACGTCCTGTTTTTTTTTCCTTCCAAAATCAGTGTTTAATACAAAAATTTCCTTTGAGCATGCTGTACTTACAAGAAGTTCCTGTGTAGATCGTAGCAGAATGTCTTTACATCCGGCCACTGCCTCCGGGCCAGGTCCACCAAACACAAAATCAATGTCGGTCATGTTTGGTGTTATCTCTAAATGATAACTGGACTAGCTTGTGTCAGATGGAACATTTACATACTACATGTACCTGAATGTACATGTATAGCACATGGAGACCTCTGAATGATCAGAATTGACTTTGATTTGTTTATTGATCGATTGTATGTACATCAGTAGTTTTATACCCCCTCCCCCTTAATCCATTCCAAATACTAGTATTGCGAGTTGGATCAGCATGCAGGTGTTCAATTGTGGAAGATATACTCACAAAACAGGAAATGTATCCATCAAAAATCTGAAAAAGCTCTCGTTTTCTCGGAACTCGGACGACTTAGATGAATTAAGTAAATGTGACATATCTTTGACTTTTTCATAGCCAGCTTATAAACTGTTGACTTACATACCAGTAAGCTATTCGCAGTAGTAAAGAGAATGATTGATTAGTACTCTCTCTAAAATGCGAAAACACACAAATATGTCCTTGAACAATAAACTTCTTGAAAGATGTTATACTCTAAATGTGCAATAAGGAAACAGAAAAGTGCAGACTTTAATATATTTAATGTTTATAATAATTAAATATATATAAAAGACGTGAAAATAACCATCAAGAGAAATCCAACTTGTACATATAGTAGATAGAATACTTCAGTAATGAAGAAAACAATTCTCTTTCTTAATATCTTTATTTGGATTCACTTAATTGACAAACCATTACAAAATATATCATAAAAAACTTTTTTTTTTCATGTGACACATGACCGAATTATCTCGGACAATCTATCTATTCCCTTCTCGATTTTTTCTACTGAACATACACTCACAGAGAGGCGAATAAAGTTCTTACATCCCCCAGTTGGCGACGCCCTATCAAAATGGAAATGAAATCAAGTGGTGAATACAATCATGTTGGATTTCACATTTGTTTTTTTTTTCACTTCGAACGCTCTCGAGGCCATTCTTAGAGTAACCTTAAAACAGAAATTCATCTGATAATCTGAATTTTAACAGCAATGTTTATTTTCAAAGACAATGAATATATCAACTTCCACATAGAATAATTGGTATCATTGATAAATGTTGTAGTATGTAAAGCTAAACAATAATGTAGATAAAATTAAGGTGCAATAGTAACCGCTTTTCTAAAAAGAAAAAAAAAACCAGTTTTTGATTTTTTTTTCCACTTCCCTAAATGTAAAATAGTTAGCTCATAAAAAACGACAAAAAGATTTCTTAAACTAAGCTAGACAAAAAGGAAAATGTGCTTATCACTTTCTCAGAATATTGTGTTTACACTAAAAGAATAAAGTGTGTATACAGACTTAACTTTAGCTTACTTTTAGACAACCTGTACAAGTATGCAAGCTACTTACTTGGAGCCAACTTGTACAAGTAAGTTGACTGCTTTAGCTTTTGTACACAGTTCTTCTGCATCAAGACTCTCAGGTAGTTTTATCCATATAAAGAAACCACCCTAAGAATATCAAAATGTCAATGACTCGCAACGTTCATATGAGTCATCCAGATACAATGTAATAATTATTGTATGGAATAGTACCTGCATACTTAACAAAAATCAAGAATACATAAATAAATGCTATAAGACGGTGTTCTCTATATAATCATTTGTGAAGATTTGGTTAGTCTCAGATTTGTTACAGGAACACCAATTTACTATTTATAATTATGAAAAAAGGAGAAAAATAAAAACCTGTATGCATCACACAAATTCTCTCAACACTTTAGTCTTTTTCTGGTTCGGCTTATACTTGTATGCAAATATATACAGTAGAACTTCACCCTAGTATAAAACTATTTGCCATTGGAAAGGAATATGATGCATGTACTTTTTTCTATATACTTGAACCTGTTATAACCAAGAAAGCTCTTGAAGGGCTCATAATGAAGCAAATTAGTCGTTTTGAACAAATCCCAAGATACTAATATATATTTATTAAAGATAAAGTGGAACAAGAGAGTCCCTAGGAAATCATCAATGACCAAAACAAAAAATCTTTCAAGACTTCGAGTTTGGATAAGTCTTTCGATTTCTTTTCTGATTCTACTGTCGAAAGAAATTCTTACCCTTGGTTCAACAAAGGACACTGGAAGTTGGTTCTCTTTCAATCTACGAGACATTGTTTTGATTCTCTCCTGAAAATGATGTACTTCGAATAGCACTTACATCGAAATATCAGTAAAACAATGTTTCTTGCATGATTAATTTCATCATTAAGTGTGCCATTTTTTTTTCATTGACGTACATAATTAACTTGCAGACAACTATTTCAACTACTGAATTCTCACCCCGTACAATTTTCGCAGTCTCGTGAGATTGGATTGTACGAGTCCAAGTTCCAATGCTTTCCCAACTACACAAGACATGTAATGATTATAACAGAACCCGCTTGTTGTGGTATAACTGCAAAAAAAAAAATACAATCTATACTTATGCAATCGACTACGATGTAAAATCAAGTACACAATAAGGTAATCTAACATCAAACATTATCAAAAATAACTTACTTCCCAATAGCTGTTAATTCAATTTCAAAATCAAAAATCTTATTAAAGGGACAGTACCAGTCTATCAACAACTTGACAATCCTAGGCGCTGTCTCTATCCATCCCACGCGTAGACCAGGAGAGAAGATCTTGGAAAAAGTGCTATTTGACAGAGTATGTCCTTTGTAGTCATGGTCATCCCTATATACCAAACAACAATAAAAAAAGAAGATCTATATCCCTTCTTGCAAAACAAAAAGATTGAGGAGAAAAAGAGATTGGGAATAAAAAAGCTCCCCAAATAATGAAGATTGGCATAACAAAGGTAGAAATCTTTTGCATCAAATGATATACCCTTGTAACAGTATGGCTAGTTATTACAATGGCTAATCCTTGGTTTAATTTTTTTTTACTGATCTCTGGAGATGAAACCGTATTTTGAAACAGAAAGCTAAATACAAAATATTTCAAAGGTCAATCGAATGTTTCTGTTACTATTAAACATTCTTGAATTTGAACTACATTATGATTCTTAATCTTCTATGTTAGGGATTGAATGAAATCATGATTCTTAATCCTATATTAGCATATTGTCTGTCCACAAAGGGTATAAATCAAATTGAAGAAGTATTAAATCCCAGTCGCCATTTTTGGTTATATGTTTCTTGTTGTAAATACAAACCGGACAAAAAGCTACGGTTACTAAATTTTCTTCTAGTTATCTTATAACACATCCATTTGTTATGAAAATCATATAACTTACAGATAGCATTAAGAAAATCTAAATCATACTTGCTGTCATAAGAAAAAAGTCTGAGAGGAGGGACTCCATCATTTGTGTAAGTCAGAAGGTTATACACATCCTCAGCAAACAACAACATGTCATACTGCCGGGCCAAAGAAACAAGACGCCGACACTTCTCTAAAATCCGAAAAAAGCAAAGAATGCCGAGTTGCTTACGGTAACTGTCAGTAAGTGGAAAGAGAGTATGAAATAGGCTTTAGTACTAAAACGATCAAAACCTTATTATCAGTTTATGGAGTGACGTTAGATAGAAGGCATTTACTGAACCTGGTGGCAAACAAGAACCCTTGGGATTGTGATGGACCGTCATCGTGTACAACATCCGGCGGAAGGGACTCTTTGTCTGCGTGGGAGCAGGTGTCTCCTGTAACAGTTTCTCCAGAGCCATCACATCTATACCATCGTCTTCTGTCGGAACTGTAAGATCATTTCACGCACATCTTATTGTTATAAACTTCACCATGGTGCATATAAAGATCAATCCTAGTTTGATTCTGTGGCAGTAGTAGGCCTATACATGTATATACTTAGAATTATTTATTCAAGAAGTGCCTGTTTCATTCACTTTTACCATTTGTTTCCTTGAATTAACTTTTTCGGACAAACAGAAAAAAATAATTAGATTTAATTACCAGGGATTATTCGATAACCGAAGTCCTTCTTAAACATTCCAATGGCAAGGAAATATGTTGGATCTTCGACAAAAATTGGTACATCTTCACCCATTAGTACTGTTGTCACCAAATGTATTCCATGAGACGCACCAGCGGTAATAAACAAGTTGTCACTGTAAAAAGTTCATTGATGATATATTTTAATTATAATGGGTATTGAACAAGCAGTTAACATCGATGCTGTAGAGAATAAGGAAAAGACTTGAGATTTTATATTCAAACAGATATAATTTAAAAAAGAAAGTAGATTTCAAGGGATTACATTAGGCCACCCAATTTTTTTTTTAAAAATACGAATTTTTCCGTATTTTTTAAATTTTGAAATGCAAAATCCCTTAAAACACACAAATCTCTTAGATTCAATGTTGTTGACAAGATTCGTTGATTTGGTGGTTTGTTTTAATTTTTGGGGTACATGATTGTATCTGATACATAATACAGCAAGAAAATTTGTACGTTAAATAATTTCATTTAATGTTATTTCTTTTAAGATGTGAATAAATACCACCGGTATTTATATAATTTATGATGAAATATACCTTTCAACCTTGTCATTATACTGAATTGTCAAAAAATCCGCCAATTGGCGCCTGACCTCCGGAGCTCCTGATGACGGCCCGTAGTCGAACAGCGAATGCTCATTCACTTCACCTGTCTTTAAAAAATTTTTAAAAGTACAAAATGATGATTGATTATATTTTCCCAGAAATATATAACTTTGGAACACTTTAAAAAAAAAAAGGACAGAAAAAGAGAAAATTGTACTCTCCTCTGATAAATAGACCGCGTGATTTCACAATTTTCACTATGGAAACATTTTTAAAGACTTTGGCATTGGATAGCCATATATGACTGGATTGTTACATACTATATTGTATAAAAATGGTAGAGCTAGCTAGGGAATGGGTTGCAACCTTCTTTTGATTCGAAAAAAGGAAAGAAAGAAAGAAATTGCTTGTCTGTCATACCCTCTTCCTCAAAAAAAAAAATAATTCATTTGAAGAACACACACACACATACACACACACACGGATCAACACGAAAATCAGAAATTTAATGTATTTATGTATTTTACCTTTACACATATGTAACAAGAAGGGAGAAAATGCATTGCTAGACCGGGAATCGAACCCGAGACCCCTGCATCACTAGTCAGGCGCTATACCGACTCAGCTATCCAGATCGACTGATATCCACACCCCAGAACATTACATTCTTCCATCTTTAAATTGTCTTCGCCCTCGAAGACACAACCCAGCTTCTTATTTTTTTTGTCAGGACTTTAACCTGTAAGCTCAGGGGATGGTCAACGGCACCAAATTTTGTAACAGGGAAGGAGAAAATGTATGCCTTGACCGGGAATCGAAAACGGGATCCTGCATCACTAGTCAGACGCTCTACCGACTGAACTATCCAGGCCGATATCCACAACCCAAACGATGTTAACAGATCGTAAAAAATTATAATAACAGTAAAATACCATGTGTTGTCTTAAATATATTACATGATTGCATACGAGATTCCCATTATTTTTGACACTGAAGCATAATTATCTCTTAATTTGAGTAATTATTTCAATCTCATTTTTTATTTCATTGCTAAAGGACAAGCTCTATTTTTTATTGGCAATTACACACGTCTACTCTACTGCACCATTTGAGTAGTTTGGAAAAAAATATTCAAATTGCACCCTAGCTTATGCCTATCCGTAGATATTTTTTGTGGAGAAATTCGATCTGTCTGTTCCTAAGTATCCTGTAATAATTGACTGAACTTACCAGGAGTTCCTGTGTGGCTCGTAACATAATGTCTTTACATCCAGCTACGGCCTCTGGTCCAGGTCCACCAAACAGGAAATCACAAATCTCGGTCATGTTTGGCTCATTTATATCTTTCCATTAACACGATCTACTTGGACTAGGAAAAACAATTTTAATAGACCCTTAGTGTATTAAAATATTTAAATCAATCACACTCCTTGGATACTTTTGGTGGATGTTCAAGCATTCTGTTTACGGCTTGCCGGATTATTTGTATATACCAAGAAAACATTATGGAGCGCCATGGGTAACCAATTTGATACTAATCAGGTCATAACAATATCACTGATCTACTACCTAAATATAAATGGTTTGCATTATCATTTTCCCCTCCAATTTGAAACTGTTAAACGTCGAGTACACCTAACCTATACTGTAAAGAACTGAACATTAATTAAGGATTTTCTAATTATGAATTAATGCTGGTAACTTTTTGTACACTTCTTTGATTTTAAGTCCAAGACAGAAATCCCAGAAATATTTATTTGTTGTGTTTCCGTATCATGATTCAATTGTAAAAGATCTCTTATTTAACCACAATATATTTGACCATTTACTCTTAAGTCACCCAACTAAGTCAGTTACTGACATTGTACATAGCTAGTGGGATATAAAAAGACAACGGGATTTTTTTTCTTCTTATAAATATACAAATAATGAAAAAAAGAACCAACAGATTATCAGTTTTTAGAGGGATACGAAGCCCATATACATGTACATGTATTATACATTATTGTTGTTTTTGGGGTCAATATGATGATTTAGCCACCTGAGGAGTACAATATTCACCGAGCCCAAATATGATTTAGACACCTGAGGAGTACAATATTCACCAAGCCCAAAGGGTTCGGTGAAGTTTGTACTCCTTAGCTGGCTAAATCATCGTACTGACCTCAAAAATAGCAATAATTGTTTTATCATATGATTTAATGATTAAATGATACAAACTCATAAGCAGTTCATGCCACCTTATTTGACGTTTACATTTGCTGAAGTTCTAACCAAAAGCAATGAGAGAAGCAGGGATAAATAAACATTACCAGTCGTATTAATTTGGATTTTTAAAAATCTACTTTAGTTGCTATGCAAAAAAGAAATAATGTCAGGCCCTTTTATAGGATCAATTTTGAAAAAAGGAAGGAGGCATTATCAGGGAGAACTGACAGCTGAAAAAAATAATTTAAAAAAAATTGACCCCACGAAAAGAGAACTCTATTAACTTCGAATTTTGTTTTGGGTTGGGGTGGGGGATTAAGGTCCATAAGTGGGGGACCAGCCTTTCAATTAATATTTTTAGTCTAAGTTAAAAGTAAAAATTTGTATTTAGAAAAAAGTGTGTGGGGGAGGGGGGGGGGGAGGTCCCCTGCAACCCTCCAACCACTCCCATCCCAAATTGTATATTTTCTTATGTATTGTTCACCTGAGTGGAAGTCAGTAGCAAGTGAAATAGTTTTGCCAAACTATTTGTATCAATTTGGAATTTTTCGATCTACTTTTAGACCAATGTCGAGAAAATAAATCCTTATATTCACCTGAAAGGTCACCTGCAGGTGAATATAACTTAGTATTTTTTCTACATTGTTGGATCTCAGCCATTCAGAGAGATAAGAATTATTCAATCATATAATAAATTGCATTGTTTCGCAATCCACTACTACATGAATTTTGTAGAAAATATAAAATCGATTTTTTTCCCTTGTTAATGTTATTGTATTAACTTGTAGAGGAAGGTATTTTGTCGATTTACGCATTGGCAATGCAATCCTTACTTACATAGCTTCTTGTAGGAACATCTTGTGTTTATTTTCCTGTTACAACTATGGTATTTACTTACAAAGGCCCTTCGCCTCAAAAGAAGCATGGGTCATCGACGACACTCCTCCATCTTACTCGGCTCTGGGCAGTCTATCTTGCTTCTGTACAGATGGTTCCTATTCTACCCAGTTCTTCTTCAGTATATCGTCGTCAGCTGTTCCTTCGCCGACCTCTGTTCATCTTGCCCTGTGGGTTTCAGTTCAGTTACTGTCGATTTATGCGGGATGGAGGTTTCTGAATGGTGTGTCCGATCCAGCCCCTCACCCGAAGCAAAATCTGCTTAATTATGGGTTCTTGACCCTCTCTTTCCACAGTTTTTCATTTCTGATCTCTTTTTGCCACCTGATGTTAATGGTGCGATGCAGACTGGTGATTATGAATCTGAATCTTCTGCTGTGTCACTTTTTGACATCCTCCACGTCTCAGAACCGAAAAACAAGACAGATGGGGCCTCAAAATTTCGTTTGGTGCTTAAAATTCCTCTGTAAAAACCCATTTAATTTCCAAAAACGACCAACGGCCGACGGTTTTAGGAGCAAAAATAGGATTCTACGGGCGACTGTCGGCAGTTCATCGGGCGTTGTCTTGCCCGATTTTGACCTCTTTTTTTCATCGGCCGACCAATTTTGTGTCCGTCTGACCAAGTTATGATTTTTCTGCGCCGGTGGCCGATTCCTTCATTTGAAGCAGTTGTTGAATTGTCCGTCGACCAACCTTCGATCATCGTCCGACCATCGGCAGACAGTTTGTTAAGTAGGTCGTCGGTCGGTCGGCATTTAGGAATTTAGTTTTCATAAATGTCGGCCAACGATGAAAATCAAACTGCGGCTCAGCGAACGATGATCGGGCGACGGTTAGTCGACTTATAAATTTTTAACATTTAAAGGCATCGATATTCCTAGGAATTATACCTAGGTCACATTTAAGCCGATGGTCGGGCGACCAAACTTTTCTCGTATCGTCGGCTGAAAAACATGATCGGCCGATACTGGTATCGGGCGACGCGGAGCAAATCACATTAATTCCTAGGAACACCGATAATTTTCAAAAATTAAATAATTCTAAGTCGGCCAACAGTCGCACGATCATCGTTCGCTAAGCTGCAGTTTGATTTTCACCGTCGGCCGACATATACAAAAACCCACTTCTTAAATATCGACCGACCGACGACCGACTTAACTAACTGTTTGCCCATGGTCGGACGATGATCGAAGGTTAGTGGACGGACTATTTAACGACTGCTTCAATTGAGGGAATCGGCCATCGACGCAGAAAAAAATATACCATGGCCCGACAGACACAAAATTGGTCGGCCAACGAAAAAAGAAGTCAAAATTGGCCAAGACAACAGCCGATGAACAGCCGACTGTCGCCCGAAGAATCCTATTTTTGCCTCAAAAACCGTCGGCTGTTGGTCGTTTTTGGAAATGTGACTGAGGTTTTAATGTGACTACTCTGCGTCGGCCGATACTAGTGCCGTTTTTTCAGCCGACGATACGAGAAAAATTTGGTCGCCCGACCATTGGCTTTAATGTGACCTAGGCATCAGTCGCCAAATTGGCATTTTAAATTGAGTAAGCGATCGTCAAATTCCGGACTATAAGCATTTTCAACAATGGCAATTTTTATTCCCTGAAGTGGCAACAACAACAAAAGAAATTTATAAGCGAAGAAGAATTTTTCCTAACAAGTGTCAAGCCAAATCTTCTTGGTTTGCTGCCACTGTGAGTCAATATCCATTTCTCTCTTTAGCAGCACTTGTAGTGGCTGAACCGAAATTCATTTGACGGGCTAAACTCTAAGGATTTCTGTATATCCCTGTTTCTAAACAGGCCCACATTGTACAGTGTATGAGAATTTTTGGTGATGGAGTACTTTTGCTGACATCACTACAAGCTAATGATCGGATGCCACATCAGCAACTCTCATCACATGTACATTACGACATGATCTCCTGACTGATGCACAGATGGTCAGTTTGGTTCTTTGTGACATGGGGGGGGGGGTTCGGGTTATTTGTAAATTAGTAAGTCCTGATTGGACCCGTGAACGTGTGTCTTCGAGGTCGAAGATTGTTTAAAGAGGGAGGAATGTAGAAGTTCGGGCTATATGGACGTGGATATCGGCTGGGTAGCTCAGTGGTGGATCAAGTGACTAGTGATACAGGGATCCCGCGTTCGATTCTCGGCCTGGGTAACTCAGTGGTAGACCAACTGACTAGTAATAGAGGGTCTCGTGTTCGATTCCCGACCCAACCATATATTTTCTTCATCTATTCCTCCATGTAGAAAAGATACTCATGTGGCCTTGTGTACCCTTTTATTGGGGACGACACTGTCTCTTATTTGAAGTTGCTTCAAAGCACACAGATCTGCAAAGCGCTCACCAGTTTCATTCATCTCTCCTAGTCCGTGTACTCCCATTTGGATTTGACTTTAAAATAAGTCTTTTTGTCTTTGTCTGCTTCATTGGTAGGAACATAACACTGAATATTTAATTCTATCTTTTTGACTTGGCTGTGATGATACATTTCCTGACATACAAAAACGAAGTAGGAAATATTCACTGTATAATAGCTAAATAAAGATGATTTTTAAAAATATCATTTGTAAAGTTTTTCAGTTAACATAATTGAATATTGCATGTTGGTTTACGTCCCGTTGTAGAATTTTTTTAACTCGCACAGAGTCGCCCGCGTGGCGCAGTGGTTAGAGCGTCTGCTCTAGAGTCGCGAAGTAAGGAGTTGATCCTTACGTCGCGGGTTCTAATCCCACTGTGGGACGTGGAGACCAATCATTCGGATGAGGCCGTATAAACCGAGGTCCCGTGTCGCAGTAGGTGCTGGCACGATAAAGATCCCTCACTGCTCAATGGCCAAGAGTGCCGAGCATAGGACAAAATTTGCAGCTCTCCACCGGGAAGTGGTGGCGTCTCCATATGAGTGAAAAATTCTCGAGAGGGACGTTAAACAACATACAAACAAACAAAACTCGCACAGAGACGTTTCTATATATTTGTGAAGGGCTTCAAATTTAGACCTTTACTCGGTACTCAGGGCCATTGAGCAGTGAGAGATCCTTATCGTGCCAACGTCTGCCGTGACGGATCCTCGGATTTTAAGTTCTCATTCGAAAGACCAGCAACTTTCACTTCAAAGTGCCGAGCGCTTTGCGATAGAACAGTTGCTACCTATTTTTTTCCGACTTTGGTCAGTTGCGGTATTTGAACTAACGACGACCACGGAGCGAGTGCTCTTCCAACTGAGCCATCGTGACGGTCATAAGTGAATAAAATACATTTATGATAAGTTTAATGATTATTATTTTCTTTTTGAAAATGGTTTTGTCCCTTTGCTTAAATAAACAATTTAATGAACAATCAACTGGTGTACAATCTACGAGTGACTCGAAACTTATATAAACATCCAATTACATGAAACCAATTATAATTTAACACCCGGGTAAGGAGTGGCACATCGCTAATAGGCACTGAAACGCATGGATAACAGAATTAAAGCTTTGTGTCAATATTACTTGTAGACTTCAATTAATCAATAGTAAAATAAATATGGAAAAAATAAGGGGACTTGTAAATACTTACATTTTTCTTACAAATGAAAATACGCAAAAATATGAAAAGAGAACGTTTCTTTTTTTTTTAATGATTCGCCAAAATATTCTCGACGCCACATTTACCGATATACGGTTTTTGACCTTAAGATCTTATGACCCTGAATCATAGTATCCTATAGTTCGTGGTCAGTAATGATAGCCAATCCACGACCCGATGGATCACAGCTTCAAGCAAAGATCATCTTGTTCTCGATAGTGCCTAGCCATCATGAACCATCATGATCTGCTCCCTTTCGCTTTTTGCTGTTGTCCTTGCTCTCCCATGTACTCCCAGCTGCTGGAATAGCTTAAGTTCTACTTTGTAATGAGGTCTACATGTGCCTCATCGCACTTCCTCTCTAGAGTACTATCAGCTGCCTAGAAGATAATACTTCGCCGCCTGGGTGCAAGATATCTTGTACAATATTTAGGTAAACTAGCTTCATGTCGAGAATTTAACTCCCAGTCTTGCCTTCTGTTTACCATTTTTCTTGGTCTCCCTTGTTTTAGCTGCTGACAGACTTTCATCTTTCAAGAACTGTATCTCTTTCTTCCTCTTTTCTTTTGGGCATTTCCTTTTCGTCCTCTCCACTTCCAGCATACCCGCCAAAATCAGAAAACATCTTGTCATGTCTCTATCTATACCTCCCCTGAGTCAGCGCTACTTTGCCTCCTGATACAATGTGTGCCTTTGTCAATATCTTACTTCATTACGTGCAGTTTGGATCCTGACTTAGTCCCTATTATTGACCATTTACAGGATATAAGAGTGTGCCGTCACATCGTCACGATCGCACCTCACAATTTGCTGTTTGGGTCCAGAGTTAGTCCCCATTGATGATTGTGATGATTGTGTTGTTTAACATCACATTCAAGAATTTTTCACTCATACAGAAACGTCACAATGTACCGGTGAAGCGCTTCAAATTTAGAACTTTATTCGGAATGTCATTGAACAGTGAGGGATCTCTTTATCGTGCGGGGCCTCGGTTTTTAAGGTCTCATCAACTTTCACTTCAACGTATCGGGCCCTTGGCAAAGGAACAGTTCCTGCCTCTTTTTTAGATCGATTTTGGTCTGTCACAGCCGTGGCTTGAACCCACGACCTTCCGATCAAGGAGCGAGCGCTCTACCGAATGCGCTACCATGACAGTCCCCCATTGTTGAAGATTTACAAGAGATAAGAGCGTGTCGTACACTAACCGCAGCAAATAGTTACTCTGATTCCTCCACTATTCCGACGACTGTCTCTCTGGCGACTCCTTATTCAGCCAGACCTGATTTTCTAAGCTCTGTTGCTTCCACTCTCTTCATGTCTTCAGCCTCACTTCTAAACTATGCTTCGTCTTTCCGAAGTTGACATCTTTGGCTAGTGCTTGCATGCCCATAACTTGCTTCCCAGTAGACTGGTACACAATCATTCTACCGATAAAATGTAAGTACAGCTTTCTCTTACTTGGTCTTTTGATGCTGAAGTCGACCATTTCTTTCCTGTACGAGTCTGGATGTCCACTCTTGCGATTTCTTTTCTGAGTTTTCCAGTGGCACTTCCTCCACGACAAATGGCATGGCGGCACTTCACACCTTCAATTCCCGTACTACAGACGGCAGCAACAGCTGCAACCTGGTTGTCCTACTGTTAAGTTCAAATGTTGTGAAAGATTGTTACATTCCAGGAAAATAGTATTTTATGATCGCAGAAAGGTCAAATAATTGAATATGCGAAGTAATTTGAAACCTTTTCTTTGTCACAGTGTTTAATGTGTATATTCAAGGTAGAATACGACTATTTAGTACCATGATTTATTTGAATAAAAACGTTTTTAAAAGTGATTTATATTTAAAACACACTTCAGTACAAAAAGTCATATTAAATGCACCGCAGAACCAAAGAAGCATATTGATCCCCATTTTCTTTTTTTTTTTTTTACTTTTTCATTATATTATGTCTGTAGATACTAAAAATATACTGGACAAAAGATTTTTCACTTTTGATACCAGTATACGACCTCTTTAAGCCACATCTTAACTCAGTCTAGCTGTTTATAAGCCCCTGCTTTAACACCAAACATCTTGACTTCTTCGGTTTAAAGTTCATGATGCAACTGTTCGTTATCTTCATATTTCAAGGAAATACTGTCATCCGTTATAACCCATGTAGCATGTATGTGGATCAATGTTGTCACAGTGAGACCATACATGAGTCCTGTAAATTTTTGTTTTCATATTCCGGATTAATTATTATCCTCTCTCTCTCTCCTACCTGCTATGGTTGTTATCCACACTCCAATGACAAACAAAATAAGAGAGATAATTCAGGTAAATACATGTATTCCTTTCTCGCCTTTCTGCCTGGATATAGTTTACTTATCCAAGGTTAACCTGATCCGTATTCCTCAGAAAACTGACAATCTGTCGGATCTTCTGTGGTAGAGCTCCAATGTAGCCTCGCAAAATTATGAGGGACAGATTTGTAGACATGAGCTAGATCTAATCAAATGTCATCAAGGATCTACATTCCCTCTATGACCTCCAGCATGATCTAGTTTATCAAACTTATATGTTATACACACCCAAATTGTTTGTTTAAGTCCCTTTTCACTAATATTGAGACGCCACCATTTGCCTGTGGAGGGCTGCAAATTTAGACCTGTACTCGGCACTTACAGCCTTTGAGCAGTGAGGAATCTTTTTCGCGAACCTACTTTGACAAGGAACCTCGGTTTAAACGTCCTCATCCGAAAGACCGGTCTCCACGTCACACAGTGGATTCGAACCCGCAATGCAAGGATCAACTCCTTACTCCGCGACTTTAGAGCGAACGCTCTACCACTACTCCAGATAACTTGGGTATGAGTGCTTTTGAATGGAGTATCTTAATATCATTGTCCACCATTTATGTTGTTTTGTATGGGAATAATCTGTTCCCATATCGGAAGTGCATCATCCTTTGCAAAAATATTTCTGTTGTCCGTATGTTACTGTAAGATAAAATATGGTTTCTGCAATTATGTCAAGATCATAACATAGTCGCGTGTATGACCTATGTCCATGTATGTGTTGCATTAATATCTATTGTAAACAAAACGTCCCGTGTTTCAGGATATTTGTTCAATTCTTACAATCTTTAGATACGCCACTTCTTTTTTAAATCATGTAACACTTGAATATCATAAACACTCAAAATTTATTGTTTATAAGGCAATTTGAAACAAAACAATGTTGCAGAAAATCTTAAAAATGATAACAAATCATATACTTTTTTTCCCTGAGAAATTAAACTGGTATACATCTTCAGTAACCATGTGTTTTAGACACTTTCTCCTCGCGAGTTCTGTTTATGAGGAGAATGCGAGTCAAAGGCAACTGGCAGCAAAGATGACTGATATACACTATTTTATCTATTATCAACATTCAGCCAGTATTTTCTCCGTTGTTTCCCACAGTTTCTTGGCGAGTCCCACGTCGTAGGCAGACTTAGGAACCCACAGACTGTGATCGCACAGACGACAATCCATGTAGTATCCTCCCGTCCGTATCGAGTCATCAAGCGCACAGAACAGGACGGGCTGAGCACCCTCTGAAGGGGACTGTAATGTTAAATGAAAAGTTTACTGGTTATTTTTTCTGTTTTGTTTTATGCACCAACTATTGAAATTTTTATTCAATTTCTTTTTTAGTTGTACATATAGAATAAAACAATGAGAAAATTTTATGCTATTGGATAATCTTTACTGCTTATATTTTTCTTAGAAGATAAGAAAACAACACTTTCTTTGAATCAAATAACCTACCCTTGTTAACACCCTGAATACCGTAGATATAAGGATTTTGACTGGCAGGGGCATATGACGAAATACGTTCGTTCTGACCGTCCCGGGGTGAACACAACAAATCGTCACGTCTATATAATGGAAAAACAGTGAGTGGATGTACAGACCATAATAATTTGAATCTTTATAATAAATCAAATGCGCTAGAAGGACTGCACGACATCCCCCCGCCCCTCGCTCAGGGTTGTTCGATTTCGACATGTATTTTTTAAATGTAAAATTTCTAAGAGATAATGACATATTTGCAAAGTATTCTCGTTGACAGTGACTGTCAGGTAAGACTAGATGGCAATCGGGGAAGACCAGTGACACTGGATTGATTGATTGATTGTAAGGATTGATTGATTGTAAGTTAACGGCCTTTGTAAGACAACTGTACAGTCCTAATTTATCATCGCGTTATTTCGCGAGAAACAAAACTCACGAAATAAAATTACTCGTTTTTATTTTATATTGGTGACAAGCATGTGTAAACTCTGGATCAAACGTCCGATTGCGTATTTATGTTCTCGCAATTTGACGTCTACGAGTCATTGAAATTAAGCACATTAGTTTATTCCGATGCCTTGGCAATGAAGGGCTTCAAATTAAGACCATTTCTCCACTCAGGGCCATTGAACTGTGAGGGTGTTCCAACGCCTGCCGTGACACAAGTCCTCGGTTTTTAATGACCCGCGGATTTCTCTTCAAAGTGCTGAGCGCTTGGTGAACAGTTGCTTCCTATTTTTATCGACTCAGGTTTGTCACGTCCGGGACTTGAACACTCGACATTCATATCAGGAGTGCTCTGCTGACTTAGGTACTGCGATAGTGACACTGGAAAGACAGATGGCAGCCAGGAACAGACTGGTTGCAGATATCAATGCGCAGCTTCCCTTGGTACAATCTCTGTGAGGGGACACCGAAGGCGTTACTATAGGAAAAGAGAAACAATACCCCAAAAGCCTCCCGAAAAAAGGGGGATAAGAGGCTTAAACAAGCAGATCTTTTGTAAACGACAAGGATCAGCCCAGTGACTCCGAAAAGGATGTAACAATTGATATAAGATGGAGGAAACAGGATGGAAAGTGGAACAAGATATCCATGTAGCAAAGTTTGAGGGAACACCAGAGGACTAAGGATTAGGAACAAAATCAAAAGTTGTAATGAGCAGACATAGCGCGCAACTCCTGATGCAGGAGGATCCACGCCAGGAGACAGCCAACAGAGTTAGGAGCCTTACCAGTATGAGTCATTACAAGACACCTTTGGCAAATTGATAGAGGGATTCAGTTTATAAGCAAGGCAAGTACCGATCCAGAAAAGGTAAAACAACCTGCCAAAGAAACTTGGAATAATTTGACGGAAAGGAACAAACAAGCACAGAACAGTGCTGATGAAGATGGCAGGAAGGAAGGGTAGAGGGGAAGATGAAGCCATAAACCAACATGGTGTACAGCATAAGGAGGGAGCGGTTTTCGGCTTGAGGAAGCTGAAGCTTCACAGTAATATAAAATAAAAGGCAGATCACATTGCAAAATTTTACCACACAGAAAAAGAGGAACAAGAAACGCTGTCACTAGCTGATTTAGTTTAATAGGCAGTTAAGGAGGGCAAATAAGTAGTTGAAGGCAAGGATACAATCATAGAAGACGATGGAGCTCACAAAGCTATGGGAGGCTAAAACTTTGAGCAAGAGGAGAAGCAAAGGAAGAGGACAGGACACTTTTGTCAAGGACCTATATGCTTTCAACTTAACAAGAGGGCCTCTGGGAGTGAAAAAGTCAGGGAAACTCCAATATCCCAAGGGAGAAGTTGAAGCATACTTGTGTACAACGCATGTTGATCCACAAAGAAAGGAAGTGCAAAGGATGTTATTGAACACATTTGCATCGGGAGATAAGTTTTGGGCACGACACATTTCCAGCAAAAAAAATCGGAAATGCGTAAAACGGTCCAAGCAAAAGTGAGACGTGCAGAGGAAGACCAAGGAGACCGAAGGTAACTGAGCGTGAAAAATAGGAGAGCCTGGAGTAAGTGGGAAATATCATAGAGATGAATGACATGATCCGTATTGTGGAGGAAAGATCATTTCAAAGTTTTTTTCTTGCTTACGTCAGTGTTGATACGTTTCCTTCTCCTGTAAATCTTCAATGGTAGAGGCTAACTCAGGATTAAAGCTTGTTTTGAAAGAGAAAGACAATGGCACCTATAAGCATGTCAGGAAGCGCCGACTCCGGGGAGAGATAAAGATGGAAACATTCCTATGTGTTGCGTGACATTGAACTTGGAAGAAGTGGAGAGGAGGATGAAAAGGTCCAAAAAGGTGAGGCGGAAAAAAATACAATGTATGAGAGTTGAGGACTTCACAGAAAATACAAGGAGTCCAAAATCCTTGCTGGACAATTGACAAACATAGAAGCTGAGAATGGAATAAGAACCTAGAAATTGTGGAAACAACCTTGCTACTGGACACCGTATTACCCTCTGGCCAGTCAAAGACACTAATCATCATTGAGCTGAACGCACTATGGGAAGAGCAGAGAGTAAAGGCTCATGAAAGGAAGAGTTTCAAATATGCGGACCTTATGGTAAACGTCAGGATCGAGGATGGAATGTTTTGCTGTTTCCTGTTGTTGGATGAAGAGAATTCCAACACAATCAGTGTGGAAGCTGTCAAAACGACGACTGGGTGCGAATGGAAGAGCGAGAAAAACAGTGAAGTGGGAGAGAGAACATCATAATCGCTAGGACACCGTCGAGATAATCTGTGCTGTAAGATGGGATCTGTCAAGCAGTGGATTTTCCACCACTACTGACCCATCGACCGAGCTGATGGATGTTATGGGCCTGGATAGAAACATCTGAGGGGGATTAGAGACCATCTGATGACGAATAGAACCGTCAGACAAGCGGATACCAGAAGATATAGGCTTGAAATTAAATTAACAGAATACCATCTTCTGTAAATGAATACTAAAATGTTTTTTTCAGTTTTTTAAATTAGATAAAACAATTTACGAAAAATAAGTTTAACACCCCTGGGGATATAAAGCGGGGGGGGGGGGGGGTCTCGAAGCACATGGATATTAAACGAGTAAACCAAACTTCTCCCACAACGTTGATGTTCTTGTTACAACGATATGTTATAATGACGATTTCTTATGATCAGGCTTAAGTAAAAGAAAATTTACTTAATTTCTTAAAGTAATGCATTACATTACCATTACTTTAGCAAAGTAATGCATTACCATTACCATTACTTGGGGGGGGGGGGGGATAAAAATACAAAACATTGCAATTATTCTCATAAACATGCATCCCACCCATTCAAAACTAAATATGATGAATGATAATTCAAATTTAATTTAAAGTACATATAAGTACTTGTATTTATTAGACTGTAAATAATTTACATATCTTTTTATTTACATAGTAAGTTTGAACTTTTCAATTGCCAATAAGATAAAAACATGTACAATATGCACTTTTTGTGTAACAAGGGATGTCATATAAAACAATTTCACTCTTGGGACAATTTACTCCCTCCCCAAAATTAAAACTTAACTTAAGAGTACCTTAAAGATAACAAAAATTAAATGCATTGACAAAATTGTAAAAAAAGGGTTTGACAGTACAAAATGTATGTACATTTAGCTCTTCTAAAAGTAGAATGCCTGTCTTCTATTCCTTTTGGTGGATGGATTTGTCATGGTCAGCTCAAGCTATACCATTACATGTAATGCAAATTTTTTGGCATTACACATTACTAGCATTACTTCGACTTCAAGTAATGCATTGCAATACATTAACATTACATTTAGCAAGCCTGCTTCTGATATAACATTGTTTTGTGATGTTTTAACAAATCTTTATTTGTGATAACTTTTTTTTCATCACCCGAACTACGTGGTAGAACTTTGCTTAAGTACCTGTCTCTCTCCTGGCCAGTTCCTTGGTGAACAGGAGAGTAGCAGTTTTGGAATTATGGTACTGGAGTTGACTGTACCCTTTCTCCGCCCTCAAATTATCACAGTCAACCTTTCCTATCACACTAGCCGCTGATCCTACATTGACAATCCGTCCTTTAGATTTCCTCAGTAAATCTACAGAGGAAATAATACATTTTGTTTGATTAAAAAACTGATAAGCACAAAGTGTAAAGTAGTAAAATTAATAATGCTTATTTCACAAATTTAAGAAAATGGATTTGAAAAAAAAAATTATAATGCTTACAATATCAAATTTACCTAGAAGTAGGGTTGATAGAAGAAAAGGTCCGAAGTGGTTTGTGGCGAAGGTCAGTTCCAGTCCCTCCTCCGTCATTATTTTATTCTGCACTATTCAGTAAAAAAAAATACCTTAATCAATTTATGCTGTGACAATGTACAACTTTTCACAAGCCTTATTCTTATTCTTACTCGAATAGATCAGAAATTCATAGGTAGGTCATATAGAATTTTCCACCTCTGGACTCACAATAATTCTGTTAACTAGCGTTTATTGGCGTACGAGAAATATCTGCGAGTTTCGTGATCTCAAATAGTGATTTTTGAAATACATACCCACAATGCCAGCGTTGTTGATTAAAATATCCACTTTATTTTCTTCCCGTCTGATGACGTCGACAAACGATTTTACAGATGACATCAAACTAACGTCAACTTGTCTAAATACGACACTGGTATTTCCCGTCAGCTGAACAATTTTATTTTTAGCTTCCTCTCCCTTCTGGGCATTTCGACATGCAAGAATAATCCGTCCATTTCTCTTGGCAAGATCTAAAGCTGTTTCAAATCCAATTCCTGAATTATAGTTTTAAAAAAAGACGTTTTTCAGGTATATCAATAAAAAGCTATTAAACTTTGATCTTCAAATTATAAAGAGGACATAAAGAATTTGACGATATACAGATTGAGTGGTAGTCATCAAGTTATATCGTCATATTGTGTCATTGATCAGTATGGGTTCACTCAAAGCTGAAGAGTTCTTTAATATCGTCATCAAATTACAATGGACAGTCGAACGATGGTACGATATTTTACTGCAATTTTCAAATTAACCTGCCAGTGGGTGGGTGTAAATACGAACGGTGACAATATTTTAGAACAAAAGTAGCATTGTATGTGATATTATTGAAATTTTCACCTGTGTTTGCTCCAGTTATCACTATCGTTTTTCCTTCCAGGGTTTTCTTGCTGTTGCACTTCCCTTTCTTCAGTTTAAGATACAGGTATAAACACACGTAAACTCCGCATCCAAACAGCAAATACATTTCTGTATTTCTTGAGAGGAACATTATCCTATTGATTTATCTGTTAAGACAGCCGTAATGACAAATTACTGATTTAACAGGATTACCCGTTAATCATGCAAAATAGGTCATTGCTAAAAAATCTTCAAAAGTATCAATGGACAATAACGGAAACTTGATTTTCGTAAGAATCGCACGATAATCTTATTCTGACGCAGGTAAGCTAACAACTCTTGTTAAATACCAATCTTCTGTTCCCTCTAGAAGCAATGGATCTAATAAAGCAGAAACAAGACAAACAAATGATATACCTCTGTTGAGTATCAATGAGCACAACAGTGAAAAAAGAGCATCGTAACCTTGATCATATGTAGACACAATACCTGGAGAAATTATCTCCTTTTGTATTTTGGGAAGTACATGTACTCATGAAGAATAAAATAAATAAAACAGATATCTTTAAGAAAAATACTGCACAGAAAAAAAGCATTCAAAACTCCAGTTATCACAATCAGTTTTCTTCTCATATATGATAATAATAAAACCACTGATTTGCACTAATAGTAACGGGAAAAAAAAGATGCAAGAGAAGAGTGACACAAATGAAGAGAAGTGATATTTGATAACATTAAGTCAGTTGAAATCGTGCTAAACCTGTAAGAGGAATAACATTTTAAAAGAATTTTAAAGAAATTATTATAAGTAACCATGGCAATACCTTTCGTGGAAACACAAACCGATTAGTTGTACACAGAATTATAACGTCTGTGTAGTCTGCTTGTGAACCAAATCTGATTGAATTCGGACCAAAATATTTCGAAGGAGTAGCATTTTGAATCAATTTCATAGAATTTTCTAATTTTGGTAACCATAGCAACACCTTTCGTCGAAATAAAATAAAAAGCCGAAATACAGAATTATGTATCTTACATTAGTCTACTTGTGTACCAATTGTTAAATTGGACTAAAACTAAGAATAGGGTTTTGAAAGAATTTCTAAAAATTTTCTACCTTTAGTAACCAAGGCAACCTTGTAGAGCTAAAAAAGCAATTAAGTGAAATCTTATAAGACAAAAACATATTAAAAAGAAGAGGCGGTGGAATGGATATACACATTTATAAAGAATAAATATTAATGGCGTTATGGACGTTGAAGAAGCCAGAAGATTTAGAAGCTCGAACATGAACCAAAAGGAAAAGTAAGGGCATCCACATTTCATTAAAAGGATGGGATATTATATATATATATATATATATATATATATATATATATATATATATATATATATATATATATATATATATATATATATATATATATATATATATATATAACTATGCATACGCACAGAATTACATGTAATACTCATATCAAACTGCCAGAGAGTTTCATCCCACAGTCGTCAATCCCGGTGTCTTCTACCTATTCCCACTTTTTAAAAATCTCAATTCCACCTATTCCCACTTGCAAATAACAATAGATGTTTAGATACTAGTTAATTTGTTTTTTTTATTGTAATTAGAATAATTACATCCCATCTTAGATTTACATGTATTTTGTGCATTTTAAGACAGAAAATAGATAGATTTATTAAAAAAATGATTTATTTCAATTTACATGTATTATATTTTAGAAAATAAAAAAGTGATTAAAAAAATCTTTGATATCTTAATTTTTTTGAAACATAAAATAAATAGATTTATGAAAAAAATGTATTTAAATAGCTGAATTTTAGAAAATACAATAAACAGATTATTGATTTAATTCACTTAAAAATCACCGTTTTTTTCCTTTCAAATATTAGTAAAAAGTCTGATTTACATGTGAGTAAATTTTAAAAAGCAAATTTACCTGTCCTCTATTCCAACAGGTGTTCAATAATCACTGTTTATACGGTAATTATATGTTTATACAGTTAATTATTTGTTTGAACAAAAATTCCACTTATTCCCACATAAAATCTTACCTTTTCCTACCTGATTTTCAAAAAGTGGGAATAGGTAGAATAAACCGTCAATCCCATCACTAGATGAATATTTAAAAAAAAAAAAAAAAAAAAAAAAAAAAAAAAAAAGTGCACAGAACCCAAATAGGTGAAAATGTTACTGAGAATGACGTTTACTCAGCTGAGAAAAATCTCCACTGATGGTACTTAAAAACCACGTATTGTACATTGTAGACCTAAATGATTGTGATAGTATACTAGTAATTGTTCACTTTCAAACATATACTAGTAGGTCAACGACCTTAAATTATTTTCATGCTAGTGGCCTCTAAGTATTTAAAAAAAATCGATTTTTTTTAAAATTGCACCATGACCAAGATTTTCTTCCATAGCAAATTTAACAAGTATTAAAACTCTTTCGATCATGAAACATAATCATTATGAAAATAAGGATAGAATTGTACAATAAAATAGACAATTAGTTTGAGCTACATGTATACACTTCTTAAAATATTCCAACCAAAACAAATGCCTGAATGTTACGTTCGCCTGAGTGGCAGTCGGGTGTGGTGAAATAACTTTTCAGAACTAACTGTATCAGTATGGAAGTTCTATTTATTTTTAGTCCAATGTAGAAAAAAAAAATTCTTATGTTTATCTGGAAGGTCACGTGCAAAGTATTTTTTCCCCCTACAATGTTGGATTTCAGCCAATCAGAGAGCTAAGAACTATTCAATCATCTAATAAACAGATATATATCAAGGCAACAAAATGCAGACTTCCTTCTTCATGTGTCAAAATTATGACACTTTCAAGATGTTGTGATATTGATTAAAAGTAGAAAGCATGTACTGTACCTTTGTAATAATTTCCGGGTTATCGTGTGACAACCACGTACATGCATTTACTATACAAGCTGAGTGCAGGGACTTATATATATATGTATATAGGTCCCTGCTGAGTGCTATCTTAATATAATCTATGACAGGTTCTATGTAAATAAACAGCTTTTATCCACATGTATACATCATGCATTTTAAGTATTTTACGGGATTTATCTAACTTACATGTATATGGAATAACAAGAGGCTTATTCAACGCTCAATCAAGTCATATTTCTCATCCACCATGCATTTCTACACCAATTTGGAATTACTCAACATATGGGGTTCTTGTTTATTATATTGCCTACTTGCAGTAAAACATTGTAAATATTTTCCTATCAATTTTCAAGGAACATATGTACATAGGAGTACTCTAAAAATCTTCCTATCAATAACAACAGAGCAACAAGTATTATTATCGATAAGCAAGCATCCCCATATTTTGTACATTCATTGGGCGCAATGGATAATTGAACAGAAATATAGAGAGTACATGTATTTTAATTTTGCAAATTGTATCAAATATAGGTCTTTGTTGGTTCCAGAGTTTGCTGAATGAAAAGTTCACCAGTAGGTCTGTTTCCAGTCTATCATATATATAGTTGACATTAAAAAGATGCTTGAGTTTCTGATTCACAATATCTATGTGGTTTTTGGAGACCAGGTCTTCCAACAATCTTTTGGAATTCCCATGGATACCAATTGCGCCCCGTTATTAGCAGACCTTTTTTGTATTCATATGAAGCAGAATTTGTCCAAAATCTTATACGTGAAAAGAAGAAAACACTTGCTGTGGCCTTCAACTCGACATTTAGATATATCGACGACGTATTGTCAATTAACAGTGGTTATTTCCATTCTTATGTCGATACGATATATCCCGGTGAGCTTGAGATAAAAGATACCACAGAGTCTGACACATCTGTTTCATATTTGAATATTTTACTTGAAAAAGACGTTAGTGGTAATTTAACAACCAAGCTTTATGACAAACGTGATGACTTTAACTTTTCAATCGTCAACTTCCCTTACTTATGCAGCAATATACCTTCATCACCTGCATACGGGGTTTATATCTCTCTGTTGATTCGATACGCAAGAGCATGCTCTACGTATGTACAATTTCTAAAACGAGGTAAATTATTGACAAACAAGTTGATGAAACAAGAATATCTGCAGTCTCGTTTAAAGTCATCATTTCGTAAGTTCTATGGTCGATACAATGACCTTGTCAGCAAATACAATTTATCATTGAGTCAAATGCTGACTGACGTTTTTCATACTAATAGTGAGGCCAGAATTGTCGACGGATTTTTCCGTTATTTCCCGATCATGATCAGGAGCACACGGCGGGTGTGACCGGTCGGCAGGGGATGCTCACTCCTCCATGGCACCTGATCCCACCTCTGATGTTTTGGAGGTCCGTGTTTGCTCTGCTCCTATTTTTTATTGTTTAATGGACTTTTGAGTTTGAATACTGTTTGTTATCTCCATATATTTCATATATGTACTATATAAATAGTAAGCTGATGGTGATGGTGCATTCCCTACATTCTTAGCTTCAGGAACTCTGGATAGAAGCAGAATATAGTTCTATTCAAACTGTGCTCACAAATATCCTGTATCATTGAAAATTTTATGACATTGTGCCTTTGGTTTAATAATGACAGCATCTGGAACTTTTCCAGCTTAACAGAAGTGATATAAAACTGACCTTGTACATTTGTGGAATAATACCTGAAGCTCAAGTCAGGTCATATCCTGCTGGGTAAATGTACTAGTACATAAAATAATGAAACTTTTCAAAGTTTCAAATTAAAATATATAATAATTACATAAAGTATTAAACATATAGTTAGGTTTCACAGTTTTCTTGATGACTTATCGGTTTTATTTTGAATATAGCATTTTTTCCAACTGGGGAAGGGGATAGGCCAGAAATGGGGACACAAGTTCCTCTATTACCAGAAAATACTGGTGTCCAATTTAGAAACCTTCTCATAAGTATAAAATTTACATAAACTGAAGTTATATTTTCTATACAGTCATCCCTGTGTATGTATATAACAAATGAGGAAACATTATTTCAAATGAGAAATGTTTTATATCTGTCCACAATTCATATACATGTATACAAACAAAATGAGAAAAAAAAACCCATTAACAACTTATCATACACATGTACATGTGTACATCAGTGTTCCAGCAACAGAAACAAAACATCATCAAATACCATTCAGTGGAGACAGTACATGAAAAATAACACAGTGTTAAATTGGTCAGGAAAAATATAGTATATTTACATAAAAGTTTGTAAAAATTTGTTCATTGGTACTTTGTCTTCTCCAAAATAAATAGTTATCATGCAATACTTTATTTAGTGAGATCATGTGCATTTATGTATGAGTTTCTTCTAATTCTACATTTGCATTTCTATCCAGTCAAAGAATAGTAGAATACTTTTGTTTTGAAGTTTTCATTAATGTCTGCAATTTTTTAAACATAAATTTTTAAATTCTTCCAGTACAGACTTGTGAATACTAAATACTGAATACCTTTAATTCTGCATAGATTGTAATCTTCCAACATTTCAGAAATGTTGACCACATAAATTACCGGTAAGTCCCACATATTAACAATCACAAACAAAAACTTCGTATGCTATGGTTACAAGGGGACTCATTGTGTTTTTAATGGCTAAATGAAATCATACATGAAAATATTACATTCTTGTTCTTTAGATGATCAATTCTGAATATTTTAAAAGAGCTTTATGAAGCTTAAAACACTAGTATTCAATTTATAATAAATTCCTGCAAGAATTGTTTAATAGGAGGGAAAGTGGATACTGGCAAGGAATTTGGACCTTAAAATAATGTTGCGTTAAAAAAAAAACAATTTCATGAAAGTAACAAAACTTGCATAAATATCAATCTCATTCTTATCCTTAAGAAACGTCACAAGAAGTGTAAAACATTAAAACATGAAAAGAGTATTGGGCATTATTTAAGGATGGATGATAAAAATACATAATGTAATACAAAGAAACATAAAATAAAAGATGTAATTCAAGTATACATGAATTAGAAAAAGATTAATGAGTAAGTAACAAAGGTTAAAAAAGAGAATGCATATTAAGCACCTAAGTATCACAGTTTATTAGCACAAGTACAGTATTTGTGAAACTAAAGATATTGAAACAAGGTTCTTGAATATTAAAAATAGCATTTACAATGTACTGTTAGGAAAATTGTACTTCTTTTTGCTATTGTGTTTAAATAGTGCAATTTTCACCACACATATTTTTGGAGTTTTGTTATCTGTAAGATTGACAAAAGTATGACGACACATTATTACAAATTAGGGTTGTACAGATCCCGCTGTACAACAAACAACACAAAATTAGAAAGCTACACAAAAATAACACAAAACTATCAGTCTTAAACACCTGTGTATACCTTAATAAATCAATACATTTATTAAGAAGATAAAATTATAATACAATCAATTTATATATCAATCTGCGTAATGCTGTTTTAACATTTTTGGTCAATTTTTAAAACAGTTAGATATAACCTTTGATGATTGAAATTTCCAACTTTTACACTGATTTCAATAACAAACTGCTTGGATGATAACAGAGGAAGTTAATGTTTTGATACAATACAGGCTTATAAATACCGACTTGATTGATAAATCAGTACAGTCAAACCTCGTTATCTCGAACTCAATGGGACCAAGAAAAAACTGAGAGATATCCGAGGGTTCAAGATATTCAGGGTAAAATACTTAAGAAAATGTGGTAAGGACTTTCCAGTCACTTCAACATATCCATGGTATTCGAGATATCCGTGTTCGAGATACCCAAGTTCAACTGTATATTGATTAAGCCCTATACTAGTATATGAAATAAATACTTCAAAACCATGACAAAAATCATCCAATGAAAGATTTTAAATCCAATGAAGTGTCAAAATAAAATATTAAAAATCTAAAAAAAAAACCAGTCACTTACTTCAGGTAAGAAAGACAAAACGTAATGTCTATTGTCTGTACAACAGATACACAAAAACATTGACCATGTGGCACTTCTAAAATGAAGACTTAAATACTGATTCTATAACATTTTGAGCACCATGTCAGATTCATCAATCTGTATCATATAATGGAAAATCTTAATAAATAAAAACAAACGTTTAGAAGAAATTAAGACTTTTCTGAAATAACATGTCTTCTATTAGATTGTGTTTGTGTGAAAGATGAATACTGAATGAAGGAATATAAAATTCATGAGAAAAATAAGTCAATGCTGAAGGTTGCATAGAATGACATTTGATGATCAGTCTTACTTCACATATGTGCCAAGAATCCAGAGATTTTAGTCCCTAGAAATGATGGTGGAATGAAACACCTTTCCATCTTTCAGGACCCTGTCAACCAGTCATGTTCTCATAGAACTAAGGGTGATTGTATATATAAATTACCTAGCACAATGGTCTCGTAATACATGGGATAACTGTACACTATAATAATCCAGCACAATGTTACCTTAGCTGCTAAGTTCTTTATTACATGTTTTTAAGGCCATATGTTTTTCAGCACAGTAGAACTGTTTCACTCGTGGCCTGAGTCTTTATGCAGTTTAGCTACATTTCATCACAGACTCATCCTTTTGAGACTCTCCAGTATCAAGTCAATGTGAATCATGTTACGGATACCAATTTCCATTAAGTCTGTTTTGGACATGTTTTTGATAAACTGAAGTTGATCGAAGCCGTTCTTGATGAAGTTATCCTGGTATTGGGGAAGGTTAATCCCTTTCAGCCACTCTCCAATAGGATTCTTCTGCTGGATTCAAGAAAAATAATCAAGTAAGTGAGATTGAAGCTGATACCGTAAATCTGAAAATTTTAACCATCAATAAATTTTTGGCATACTTGTGCAAGCATTGCATTTGCAAAAATATTTTTTTGTACAAATAAATGAACAAAAAATAAAAATTAATTAAATCATAACAAATGTTAATATATGCTTGTATGTTAAAGTCAAGATTCCTTTTAAATTACTTTAAGCAATTAGTTTTCAAAAGAAAAATATTATTTTAAACTATAAAAGAACTGCACTAGCTGGAATATATATATATATATATATATATATATATATATATATATATATATATATATATATATATATATATATATATATATATAATTTGGATATGAAGGTTTGTTTACATGATTTAATCCGACACTCCATGTACGTACCCTAGCTAACCTTAATTTATCTATAATATAATGAATACAGTTGGGTACCTTTGGCTTATTGGATAAGAAAGTATAATTTGAGAATTTTAAAAGACTTCAACATATGTACTTATATATACTCTGTTAGTGTGGTGGGGATTTATTTTGATGTAAAGATTTGAGGAAACCAGTTATACTTACTTCTGGTATATTGATGTATCTGGGCTGTTTTTTGGGGTAAGAGAGGTGGGTGTTAACATGTAGTACATGTAATACTTTTAGTATAATGAGATGTATCTCAGTTTTTTTTTTTTGGATAAGTCGGGTGGATTTAAATTTTGAGAAGACTTACTCACACTTACTTTCGTTATATTGATGTAGCTGGGCTGTTTTATGGGTAAGTAATTTTCTGGTTTATTTCTAGGAGATGTAGCCATTCTTACTTTTGGAACATTGACGTAGATGGACTGTTTTTAGGTAAGTAGGGTGGGTGTTAATTTTGAGAAGAATTAGTCCTACTTACTTTTGGTATGTTGACGTAGCTGGGCTGTTTTTTGGGTACAGGAGGTGGGGGTTTATTGGGAGGCTCTGTAACAGTGCACCCCACTGGAGCTGATTTGTGGGAGGCCTGCATTGCCCCTTGTCCTGTGGGTAGTTGAATCCTGATTCGACTCTACAGAAGGATAAGTCTCGAGTATTACAATAACATTAACGTACATGTACTTCTTTGTAAAGTCTACCAATTACAAGGGTTAATCTAAAAGTAATGTCACTGCTGCTATAAAATCTTTGATAACCAAATGTTATCAACAAAATTTGAAATACTAATACCCCTATCCATTTAGATTTTTGCCTTAAAATTTCATTCCATTATATAAAATAATAAAATACTTTTTATAATATTGAGATAAACAGAAAGTTAGCTTTTGTCTACCGCCGCATGGCAAGAATGTTACCTACATCTTTATGACGTTACTTTTCGGCACTCCCTTTTCAGTTCACTCACTTATGTTTTTAACCTCTCATGTGCTTCTTTTTAATAATCTTTACTGCCATTTTGCTATAAACTGTCTTGTTCTGAGCTGTAGTATTAAAATTATTTAAACTTTGTCCAAACGTTATTTCTAAATTCATTCCTCCTTGCGTAAAGCTTATGCACCATCAGATTCAAATTTAGGTTCTAGAGAAACGTCATAACAAAGTTGGTACATTCTTGCAGTGAAGCAATAGACGATACATAGCGTTGTGTTTATTTTAATATTTTTAATAAAGTATTGCATATATCTAAATGAAATTTTAGGGCAAAAGTCAAAATAGATTGATGTATTAGTATTTAAAGTTTTGTTGAAAACTTTTGATTAATAAAGGTTTTATAACAGTTGTACATTATTTTTGGATCAACCCTTGTATTATTAAGCATTTCCTTAACTTAAGGTTGATACAATGTAATACTATGTACATATATATCTAATACTTAATGCTCTAATATATTATTTTCTAGAACATTAATAATATAGTAATATAATTGATGGATTTATTTTCTTAAAAGTAGCAAGAGTTGTCATTAATATGATGTAGAAATCATGTAAGATATGCTCTGATTATAGCTAGAACAGTGAAAAAGCTGAGAGCTTTCAAGAAAAAACTGCATTTTGGTCAATATACTGATTTCTAGATTATCAAAAAAGTCAATATTCAGCTTCATCAAATGCAAAACAATCATTACTTTAATTCACTTCTTCACTGTAATTACAACAAATATAAAACAGGTATGACACACAGCTTATTATAAGAAAAGGAAACCATTTGTCCATCCTGAGTTTACATTTTTCAAAAATAAAGAAACAGGTTGTAAATAATGCAGATGTACTTTTAATTATTTCACAGGGTCAAAATTCCACGGAATAACAATTTCTGTTCTATTTGCTGGAAAACCTGGTAGAAAATTATGCAGATTTCTTGGATTACCATTCTTTGTCTTTAATAAGTTTTAAGCACCCTGTGACAAATTTCTGCAGAAAATTTATTATGCGTACATAGCATAATTATTTCCACACAAAAAAGTACATCTACAGTATTATAGTTGGCCAGGTATTTAAAGACAGCAACTGTGTTCTTGAATTATCTCCCTCTCAAGTTTTTATCGAATGCATTTGCAAAGTAGCTATGCGTTAATACATGTACATGCATTACCTTAAGAAAGAGAAAAATGTAATAAAGGAAGTTTCCACCATAAACCTTATTTTAAAATATGGCAAAGTGAAAGTAAAACTCATCATTTTTATACTAAAGCTTCACAGCAATGTCTCATCTGCCAGAGAAAGCTAACACAGTCATGATATTTCTCTAGTGTAAGCAGAATCAGTCAGCAGCTTGATTTTTTAGAATGTTTTTTTTTTACCAAAGTTTTATAGAGCAAGACATTCACTCAAACTGTATCTAAAGTCTCATAGAAATCTTTTTTCTTCAAACTTCCAGAAATTAAAGAATCTTTTGGCTCCAACTATACCGAACATGATTTTTTTTCATGTAGAAAATTATAATCCAGTTTTCTTGTAAAATATTAATTATTTCCCGGCCCTTACATTTTCAAATTGTAAATTTCTTATTTAAACATTGACCTCAAAGTTTTATCCAAACATACTGGTAAACCAGTGACCTAGTCCTTGAATAAAGTTTATATTTTGCTCTAGCAGTTAGACTTAAATAAGTAAGAGTGGTGAGACAGAAATGTTACATACTGGGGCACGGCAAAGCGGAGCATCCCCTCACAAAACACCACATCGATTCTGATATACATTATTACCTTCTGTTATACACTCACTCACCTACACACACACAAGCCTGTTACTATGTCCCCTCCAACTTCATTGCGAGGGGATAAAAAAAGTGAATGGTAAGACCAACAATTCCACTATCTTAAAGGTCATTAAAAGATTTGTAAAAATAATAAAATTAAAGACAACTTAAGACTTATAATGTTTTGTAAAGCATTATGAAACCCATTATGAAACCCACTGGCACGGCAAGCTTTGGTCTTATTGCATACCGAATCACAGAGATTGTGTTCCAATTGTTTTTGAAACAATGCACTAGACTGGACATCACCATACTTGTATACTGACTGTGTAAAAATATTTACAAAACTTTATCTTTCATTTTATATAGAATTTAATACAGTGAAACCTGTCTAATCTGACGTACATTGGGAGACAAATTTTGTGTCGGAATAGACAGGGTGTCAGATTACACAGGTAAAAAATATGGAAAATAGTCAAATGGGAATGAAAATAAAGGTTTGATTTCTTAGCGAAATGGATTGCACAGGTGTCAGATTAGACAATTTTCACTGTAATAACAAATTGATTATTTTAAACAAGACACAATATTTTAGGTTCTAAATTACAAACTTTCAGAATTTGTAGTCAAAAGAGGGACTAAATTTGGCTTTAGATAAAATCTACATATATTTTGGTGCAAAATATCATGTACACAAAAGTAACAAATCTTTTCCTCTTACCGGGAGATCATCAACGGCTGGGCGCTGGGAAATCGGAATGGGTGGTTTGTCTAGTAAAGCAGCAGGCATGCTCTGTACGTGGGTAAGGGTAGCATGGCTGTTGCTGATCTGGGGGCCTGTTAAGGGGGTTAAGGTGTCTGCTGAGGGGGGAGAATCTGAATGCATCAATTCAGGATCAATGTATTCTGTATCCAAGGCAACCAATTCTGAAAAAAGAAAAGAACTTCTTGAGCATGAAATGTTAAAATAAGGTGCTGTTTTAAAATGTTTACTATATGTAAAATGTACTTGTATATAACAAAATAGGATCCATAAAATTAATATGTAGATTTAATGAATACCATAAGACTTCTTGATAGAACTTCTGGGAGTAAATGACCCTGTCAAAGCATGCACCTGGCCACTGGAAGAAAAGAATAATATAAGTAAACACAATAAAAAGGGTGCATTAATTGGACCTTTTATTTTTCTGTATTAGGGAATTTCCTACATACTACATTTTGACAAAGATGAAAAATTATAGATTAATTCTTTCGATGAAGCTATTTATTTATCAAAATTATTTAAGAAACTTAAACAATCTATGAGTAATCATTGATCAGATGTTAACTAAAACAAATTGCATAAAAAGGTATGACAACCATGACGTTAATTCTTCACAATATTCTTAATCGTATCTATTTTTCTTGGGAAGACAATTTTTTCCACCATGTGCTTCATCCTTACAAACCAACATCTTCAACTTTCCAGTTTTACGTATCTGACAATTATTCTTCAAGATTTTCTTGACAACCTCAACTTTCTAGTGTGACATATGTAATGATTGTTCTAAATGATGACCTTGACCCTACCTTAATTTTCCCGTGACTTCGCCTTGGTGAAGCAGCTGACACTCGAATGCCTGGGGTTTATTAATGTCAATCTTATTTTTCATTTCTACGACACACTCACCTACAGTATCAAAACAAGCTTACGTGAATGGAATACGCAATAAAGTGAATATCCACTGATCATACTTAACATTTTATGAGGAAAAAAATAATTTATGTTTAAAGAAAAAGTTTAAAAAGTATACATGTAAAACTGACCATAAGATTCATTGTCACTATCCCTGGACCTAACAGCGATCAGAATGTGTTGATCACCCAAGTACTCTTCATCCCCAAACAAAGGCCTCAACTACAACATCATTATTATCAGTTTTTGAGTAGAAAAATTCACAAAATACACTAAAAATTAGAAAAAAATTGTTGCAAAGTCTGGTTAAGAGCATTGGATCCTAATAAATTTCATGGAACAAGTTTGGCTCATTAATGTCCCTTTTTTTCACACCATTCACAAAATACACTTGAATTTATACATCCTCCAATTGTCTGATACAAAAGTTACATGTGAGGAGATGTATAAGATGCTAATTGATAGATTTCTATACCTCAGGAATCTGTTTTTTCTCCCACACTGGACACGTGTAGAAGCCCGTCTTATGCTGCTGGAAACTGGTATTGGCAGAACTGGATGCTACATCTACAGGTAGAATTGAATTACATTAAAAATAAAGTTATCTGTGGGTAGAATCAATTAACAGATTAGTTACAAAACTGGGTAACTTTCATATACACGTCAATTTTGGAATCTCATGGATATTTCAAATTCAGTTGGAAGTCCCAACTGCTTTTTCTTTATGTATTTTAACTCAGAATTTCATCTTGAATTTTTTCCTATCCATCCAGTTCAAAATAACTAAATTTAATAGACAATGGTCAGCACATTGAAAATAGGAGGAGTTTATATTGTAGTAATTAAAGCATTTACATAAACACAGCTCTATTTTTAAACATGGATGATTTTGTCTTACCTGCTAAGCAGGTGGAGTGGAATTCTAGGTAAAAGTACTGCTTACAACATGTTTTAACCTGAAAAATAAAACAGAATTGATGTCTACATTCACATGTACAACTTAAATTTACTTTAATTATTTAATGTAGATAACTTTTTATTCACTTTAATTTTGGCATAATTCCGAGAGACTGACTACTCACAAAAATTTAATTCTCATGTACATTTTTATTATTAAAGAGTATACATGTAATACGATGAACTAAAAATGCACACTGCCAGATTGGGTGCGTATCATTACTGCTACATTTTCAAAATTGTTACTACCGCTACATACTCGTTGCCGCTACAAAAAAAGTTAAATTACCACTACATTTAAAAGTAAAATTGCCTCTTTCGTTAGCCAGCAGCTTATGCATGTACAGATTTTTATTTAAAATCTATTTTATTTAATGAAACATTTTAGAAAGTTTTAAAACCAAGCATTGTTCATGGATAAAACACACAATATTTACAAAATTGGTAGAGTTTTGAAGGTTATTTACTTGACATATTGCTGTCTGAAAATCTCACCATTTTCATATTTCCCTCAGATCCAGATTGTGCATCATAACATTGTTAGTGAATTATATTGAATAGAACTCATATTCTGTACCATTGCTGGCATTTTCAATATGTAGATATAATGAGCTGTAATCGGCAATAGTCTTTTTGATAAAATGTAGCTGTAATGATCACCCAAAATTTGAAGAAATGTAGTGGTAATGAGTTAAAATTTTTTCACAATGTAGCGGTAATGTTGACCTCGCGTCAGAATATCCTTCCATACATGATATGTATTTTATCTATCTAAAAGTCTAATTTAAATCACGAGTATAGTGAATTTGTTGTACTCTGAGGATATAACATGATTCAATGTATGTTTGATATTTGTTTTCAAACAAATGCTTTGTTACTGACTTACTTGAGCAACAATTTGGTGAAACACAATTTTAATCAGAGATTCAGTTGTTAGGGAATTCCGGTTCATGACAAAGTCTGAAGTGACTCCCACATTAAATGATGAGAAAACTGGTCGATGGTCACTCCCAAGCACCTTGTCAGCACAACCTAAACAAGATGAAGATTCGCAATCAAAAATTCTCTGTCATTTAATCTTAAATAGTATTTCTTTTATGAAATCATAAATCCCCTAGAGTTTGGAATTTCTCACTCCCTTTTAATCCAAGTTAGAAATGACTGATAAAAAAACACCAGATTTATTTCAGACATCTATCTGCACAAATGACCTTTACCTCCACAAACATTTATTTTTTAATTGTTTTTAAAATTTTTAAATCAATTCTCAATTAAAATTTCAGCCCAGGCTTATGTTTTACACTGTACTGATAAAGAAGTTAGGAAAAATACATGTCTACCAAAAACTGCTGAGTACAGAGATTTATTTTTTTTTAAACGAACTGTGATGGCAGAAGTTGTTATCTACAATACCTCAAAGCATTTGAGTAAATATGGTTTATACACCTACCATAAGCTAGATTTTCTATGTATGTGCCTGGATAGGACCTCCACAGTACCCTGTCACACCATGAAGGAGCATTGATCCTCTCCTATAAACAAATACAAAACTAATTCACTGTTTATGAAAAAAAATAGTTATTTTTACTTCAACATATTCTTCTTGACTTATTTAAATGTATATATTTAAAACCAACAAAAGTTACTACAGTAAATGCCTCATATAATGTTAAAGTGTTCTGATATGTTGTCACACCTCCACCCCCTCTCCCCTTATTTGTGACAGTCCAATCTTTTTTTTTTTTTTTTTTTTTTTTTACATCAACATGACTAGAACTGGCACAAAATTTGATTTTGATCCCAAGCTTCATAAAAAAAATGATGAAAACCATGATATTTTTCTTTTACAGTTCAAAGATTATTGCCAAGGTCAAAGTTGTACACAGAAAGCATTAGACAGACAGACTTATAACAATATGAAATGTGATCTTTGACCCCTGGACATACTGTAAAAGAGCTTATTGGTAATTTTGGCAATATTCATATTTCAGCACCTTTCATACTACTTCTTATCTGCTAATTTTAGCACATGCTAATATATGATTAAAATAAATACACATAGAAGCTAGGCTCCTAAATAATTCATGATTACATTATAATCATTTTGTGAAGATAGTACTAAATTTTGAGTGCCCCTAATTTATGTACATTTACACTTTATACATACGTACATCTTTCATTTTCATTTACATACCCCTGTTTTCTTGACTTTCTTCCAGTCATACTTGTATTCTATCTGGAACCTTGGCAACCTGTATGTTGGCATGAATGAGATATCTTCCTCACCTATCAAAATAACCATTGAGCCATAAAGATTCGAATGAAATGTTTTAATTGAATCAATGTTCAATTTCAAATACTTCAGCAGGTCTGTTTTTCCAGATTTCACTACTTTAATTACAGCATCTGTTCATGCAGGGAAATTTTCAGGCCTGTTTCATGTTTGCCCTTTTTACCCCAGTTGTCAGTGGGCAAATTCAAAACAGAGAGAATCCCTGTTTCCAGACACTCCCATTTTCCAGAATATGTGATATAACTTTCCAGTAAATTCAGCACAGTATACAGTAATATTTCCAGTAAACTTGGCACAGGTCATGTTCATAGTGTGATATTACGTAATTCTATTTCTATATGTATTTATTCATTTTTATTTATTTTTTCATATCGTTTTGAGAAATATAATCTTAAAATTTGATTAGCCAAAAGTTCGTTTGCGCATCTGGATTGAGTTGCCTGAGTAAAGTTTTATTCTATGATTTCACTGGTTCTTTAATTTGATTGGTTATTTCTTATTTTTTCATCCAATAATACATTTTCATTATAAGTTTAAATTTTCCGCGCTTTAGCTAGGTATGTCAGAGCAGTAATACGTTTTCAAGAAGTAAATCCAATGTCCATCATATGCATCTTATGGTACGTAACTTTTATATTTGATTATGTGTTTCATTACCATTAAAGATTTGATTTATGTAATTATTTTGATTGCAAACATTTTACTTTATTGTATTTTTGCAGCCAAAGTTGTAACTTAAATAATAATGAGTCTGTAAGATTTCAATTTGAATTGTTTACAGTATACATTTTTTCATAAAGTTCATTTTTTCTTAAACGTTTACTGTAGGTAAAGTATTTCATATGTTATTTTCATATTTGTTAAACAATTTCTGCAATTTTGACTTATTATATACTTTGTTATTGTAGGTCAATGCCTTATTTCTTATTAAAATAAATGATGAAAACATAATCTGCCTTGCTGCTCGGTTACAATAGTATGTGTAATATCGGTACATGAACAGGTGTGAAAATAACCTTATGTAAAGTAATACTCATGGTAAATGTAAGCAGGTGCAAAAATAACCCTGTATGCAAAAATTATCTGGGTATATGTAATACAGGTGTGTAAATAACCCTATATACAGTAATACTTGTGGTGATTGTAAACTACTCACAGAAACCACAGAAGCCTTTCTTTTCTCTCTGTACTTTCTTCAGCTGGTCCTTTGTTATTAAGTATTCTATATCTCTGGACTCCACTTTTTCCAGAATTGTCTGAAAGGGAGATAATTAAGAACATTTATTATAAAATGCAATCACCAGGAATGTTATTGATAGATTAATTACCATCATAGTGTGAGTACACTTACAGCAATATTGTCCTCGATTCGATAGTTGAGATCACCGAGCCAAAACAAATGGTTAAACTGATTGAGGACGTCAAACAGCCCCAGGTGTTTCTGCCCCAGTGACAGGCCCTTAATGATGTCACGATAGTTCTGGTTTCTCCTACAACACAAAAATACATGACTGACCGGATGACCAAGCACTTTTCAGAAACTGGAAATGATGTATATCAAGCAGTAATTGGTGACCAAAACATGTTCCCACTCATTGACAGATTCTGTATTCAGAGTACTGTTAGGTATCTTTTTTTTGCATATTAGATAAAATTTAAATGTTTCCTAATGGTATTGTTAAGGATTGAGACATTTTTCTGATATGTACCGTATATACTTGCCTATAAGTCAGTCCGCTTATGAGTCGGTTGTATTTTTAAAGGTTATTTTAGGGGGAGGGGGTGTTTACAAAATCAGATGACAATTTCAGTTCAACAGAATTGTGATTTTACTTGTGTTTAAATAATATTATGGAAAATGAAACCAATATTAATTTTTTTATTCTCATCAAATTTTATATCAATACACTAATGTATATACCTGTCTTTAGATTATAATTTCGGATATGACATTAATATTTAACCTTTTCTTCTCAACAAATCAAACAGTCCCGTCCCCAAGTCCTCATTCAGGAAAATACCAATGTTTAGTTTTGGATAAAAATCTAACTTCCAAAAATCTTATTTATAGGCGAGTACCTACATGTACAGTAATAAAGACTTACTTGTCCCTCATTGTACACAGATAACAAAATGACAACTTTCCTAAATTCTACAGGATTTTTTCAATTTAACCCTCCGCCCCATCCTAAATTTAATCCATTAATTAAAACTGGGAATTTAAAGCTAAAATTCCTCTAAATCATCATATTTTCAATTCTTTAATTCCAGTTTTGATAATTTTGATTTAAAAAAAATACCTCTCATTTCTCTCATCCCCTGATGTCAGATGACAGTTAATAAAACAAAATGAGGTTCCCTTGAAATAAAATGAGATTCCGACTGCTCCCTTGTTACCTGTAAAAAAACATTCTATCTGTGTACATCTTAGTTTTCAGAACAATTAAGATTACAAATTCTGAATGCCATCCTTTAGATAAAGAACTAGAAAACAAGAGAAGTGCTCTACTAAAACTCAAAATAATATAAACAGGGAGAAATTTTATTAGGTAATTCTTTAACATGCTTTGTATTTAACTTGCACATTTAGACTTGATTACCTAATGTATTGGCTATGCCAGTCCTAACCGTGGAATGTTGAATTCTGTTGATATACTGACGTAGTTGTTTCTTCACTAGCACCACTAACCGTATCCCCCATAACGTGCAAACCTCCACCTACCGTTGGCAGGCCAAAAACTTATCATATCTTTCATTTTGCATCAAATAATTATTTTTAAAATAGATAATCTTGTAGAATAAACATAGGTAATCAAAGATAACAGAGCTCACCTCAACGAATGTTGTCTTTAAGTAAGGCAAAGTCCCACACTAAACTAACAATCTAGTAGTGTGCATCCCTAGATGCAACATTTATGCAATTTTGGTCTGATAGGGCTTGCAGTTACTTGGGAATGGACTTATCTAAAAACTTTAAACTAGTCACTCATCCAGAAAATGTAAGTTAAATCCAGCATCTGAAGCAAGTTTGAGAGTGTCCGTCCCTTGATGCATCATCCATGCAAGTTTGGTCAACATAGGACTTGTAGTAACTTGAAAATGAGATCTGCTCAAAAAACTTTAACCTGGTCACTCATCTGGTAAATGTTAAGGTCAGATCCAGCATCCAAAGCAAGCCCAGTAGTGTGCATCCTTAGATGTATCATCCATGCAAGTTTGGTCAATATAGGGCTTATAGTTACTTGGAAATGAGATGTGCTCAAAAAACTTTAACCTGGTCACTCATCCGGAAAATATAGGTCAGATCCAGCTTCTGAAGCAAGTCCAGTAGCATGCATCCTTAGATGTATCATCCATGCAAGATTGATCAACATAGGACTTTAAAGTTACTTGGAAATGAGATCTGCTCCAAAAACTTAAACCAGGTCACTCATCCGGAAAATGTAGATCAGATCCAGCATCTGAAGCAAGTTCAGTAGTGTGCATCCTTATATGCATCATCCATGCAAGTTTGGTCAATATAGGGCTTGTAGTTACTTAGAAATGAGATCTGCTCCAAAAACTTTAACCTGGTCACTCATCCGGAAAATGTAGGTCAGATCCAGCATCCGAAGCAAGTTCAATAGTGTGCATTCTTAGATGTATCATCTATGCAAGTTTGGTCAATATAGGGCCTATAGTTACTTGGAAATAAGACCTGCTCCAAAAACTTTAACCTGCTCCAAGAGCATTAACCTGGTCATTCTTTAGCCGAAATTGCAGCATCTGAAACCTTGACTGGTACAATGAAATACACTAGAAGCATCCTCCAAGCATCTCTGATTAATACTTATAGGGCCTAGATGTACTTGAAAAGAAAACTGCTCCAAAAACTTTAACCTGGGACACTGACACCGACGGTATTACATAAACTCTCCTAACTTCGTTGAGGTGAGCTATAAACTAAATCATTAATAAATACTCAAAATAGGCAAGAAACATGCATAAGAGTACCATTAACCTCTGATCAGTAAATAAAGAATAGTGAGTCTTCAAACAATTCAACTCTCCCTATATAATATTCCAAGATGGCCTCTAGTATTTTGAAATTCTGGTTTTCTGGTAATCTTCAATAACCACTCCTTACCAGTTCTACATCTGCCATGAGACAGGACTTGATGTGATTTTTCACAAAGTTGACCCAATCTTTTTCTGTCATTGCACTCTCCTGTGTCCCGATGACATACATGTCATGTGGAATGACCCCCAGGACCTGCGGGTCACGAGGTTTACCTGTACCGTTACATCGTAACCAGCTGTTAATGGAGGCAGTGGGCTGGCTGTCACCTGATATATTACATAATACAATTTTTAAATGTTTTATAGCACATCAAAAAAAGTTATATGTATTTCCTATTAGCTTGCATAAATTATAATAAAAGTTTATATGTCTTGTTACATTAATTGATAAAAAATATTCATTTCTCAAATCCAAGTACTGGTACCTTATGTTTGGGATTACATGTAAAGTTTTTTAAAGAATCAAAGATAAAAATCCTTAATTATGTATTTAAAAAATTACAGCTGCATGTAGCTATGAGCAGCTTTGTTGTTGGTTGATATAATTACCCATATTCCATGTTCCCACAAACACTGAGATCTGATCAACATCCACAATGGAGGAATGCATGTTTTTCATCTGCATGATCTGCTGACAGAACGTCTCGCGAACGTGGACCGACGTGAAGACTACGGTGAACTTGGTCTGTTTTTTCTTCTTCTCCTCGTCCAATATCAGCATATCCAGCTTGGTGTTATCTTTGGTGCTCTTCACAAGCTGTGTAACTGAAGTCATAAATAAGCTCAGTAATGGTTTGGACCTCCGTGTAACAGTAGCATCATTTTAAACTGCCACAAAACATGCTCAGAGAAAAACATTCATATTTTCAAAGAGCACCTTGGTGACCTTGAATTTCAAGACAAATCTCTGGTCACAAGCTACCTTTGTATCAAGTAAGAGTTTCCAAATTTACTAGCTTCAAAGTTATGTCCAAACAAGAATGTAACTCTTCTAATTCCAGTCATAGAAGTTGCGCATAAAACTTTAAAAGGACAGAATGATCATCCAACATTTAACATCCCTCCCAAGCTTCATACGTGGGGAATATAATTATTACTCATACATTCAGTACAAAAGTGGGGGAAGGGGGGGGGGGGTAATTCTATCAAACTTTAGGGATGATAACTTCAATGGTCAATGTGAAAGTCTGCATTATTGTTTTTTTTCAGATTGACAAATGCTGGTTATCATTTTGCACTCTCTACATCCAGAAATTTTTCAACTATTTCTGATAGAAGGAAATTAATGTGGAAGTAATTGTTAAGCTCTGTCACAGGGAAGCAGATGTTGACAGGAACTTTCCAATTGCAGATAATGAGATGAAAAAGAGGATAATAAAATTTTGTCAATAAACTTCCCTTTTTTTTTTCTATCTCCATTAAAACTGAAGTTAATTATTCAAAAAAAGCTATATATGGCTTGACAATTAAGTGGAAATGCTTGTACATGTATACAAAGATGAAAAGGGACATTGCTAGGAAATCAGTTAATGTCCTTTGCTTTGATGCTTAGAAAAATAAATGTTCATTCTGTTGAATTTTCCTTACTTCTCTCATGGGTGAACACATTGTTTGGGTCAAAAGAATCTTTTGAGGGCTTGACAGCATAAAGTTTTCCATGAGGTATATCAACTGACAGAGTCATTTTGGATTGTTTTCCTGTCCGTATGAGCTTCACCTGAAAATCAAAATATAAAATCTGGGTTTGTTACTATGTCTTGATATTAACGAAGTTCACATATAAATACATGTACCATATTTCTTCATTCTGAATATTTTACTGCTATCTAGTAATTTCTTTGCTTGCATATAAAGATGATTAAATTTATAGATAGACTGTCACTCTAGTGATTTCAGTTTATAAGAGAAAAGTTTCATTTGGATTGATATTTTCATAAAGAAAATGAATGACTTACCTCAAAATCACTTCTAGGAATGTGTGGTTTTCCAAGGGAAGACAACAAAGGTGTGAAAGACTCGGGTAAGGGATCTGAATCCAGAGACTCAAAGGGGAGACAATCATAAAGAGAGACAGAAAAATAACGCAGAGTTTCCTGGACCTACAAAGGATTCAAAGTGGTATTTGTTTTACACAGTAAAACCATTAGAATTCAACATGCACCCTACTAACACACTGGAAAAAGTTTTCTATAGACTACTACATTTGACACAGTACCAAAACAAATGCAGTAATTTTCAGTATTTGAGAGTTACCTTCCTTCCAATCTAGCTTGGAACACTTCACTTACTTTATTGTCCAAAGCCATCAGATTGCTTCTACACTTGTTCATTTTTTCTAACATAGCTGGAACGCTTGATCCACCCTACAAACAAAAAAAAAAAAACGTCAAAATACCAGATAATGGCCAGTATTGCTTAATCTCACCTCAGTGAATGTCATCTACTGTGGAATCGTTTTAATTCATGGGGGTCAGTGTTTGTAAGGTAAGCAAAATTTTACTGGTTTGTGGATACATAATTTTGTGGGTAACTTGATTATATGGCATATCCAATCAATCTGTTGACAAAATAATCATTCATGCGGACGTAAATTCATTGGTAAAGGGTGAACCATGAACATTGGTCCCCAACGATCAATGATGATTCCACAGTATAAGCATTTATATCCAAGAATTTCAAAAAAATGTACAAAAATTCACCATAATAAGTACAAAGTTACTCATTGTAAGTACATATACATCCTTACACTTTCTGGTAAGTAAACCATCTGCTTAGATGCATCATCCACACAAATTAAGCATCATATGGCTTTTAGATATTTTATTTATTTTTCATTTCATTTGATTTTTTTTTGTTGTTGAATATATTTATATTAACAGTTAAGATCACTCAGAGAGAAATATTTACCTGGGTTAACATGAGCTCTGTAGATCAGATAAGTGTCCACTAACCATGTAATGTGTGTACATGTACATTTGTATTCTAAAATTCTGGATTATATCATACTTGCATAGTTTTCTGTTTTTTATTGATATGTGGAAAATAGACCTGCTCCAAAAACTTTAACCAGGAAACTGATGCCAATCCCCATTGTATGACATAAGCTCATCACCAATTTTGTTGAAAATTATAATATTATGTAACAGCTAGAGGAGAGATAGGGACATAAGGGGAAAGGAAAAATTATCTAAATTACAGTCGGCATCTTCTCCAAAAGTTTTGTTAGCTGAAGATAAACTTTCATCTCTATTCATATCCTATCAAATCAAAGTTCATTATCTAACAAAAAAATTTCAATTTTATTAATTTCCAGATTTTAAATTTATTTTTATTATTGTATATACATATGGTTATGGTTAAACTAAAACAGGCTTGAGAAATACAGACTAACCTTGTCCATCATGGAAGGTGAGCGGGTCAATGCAGAGGTCTCAGGAACGGTCAACAGGTCACTTATTGTCCGTACCTTTCTGAGAAATCTGTCCAGTTCTCTGGAAAAAAAGAAATCATTGCTGGATTATGTATCATAATCAACATTATCCTCTCTTCAGTAAAATTAGACTATGGTTTATCAAATCAGTCTTAAATTCATCTCAATATTCTTACATTACTTCAGCAGTAAGAACACAAACAAACTATATACTGGATAATAAATGTGACCTTTTATTTTAAATGTGTAATTACTGCAGCAATATTTACCCACCTCTGTAAATTTTTTGCTGAGAATTCCAGAAGTTTCTGAAATTCTGGAAGATTTGTGTCCCCTGCCTTCACCGCTGTCACATCTGTTTCTATCCCCCTCTCAAAGTAATCTCTCAAAGCCTCCAAGAAGTCTGGTTCTACACTGGAAAAAAGATGTCATAAAGTCATGTCCAAAATATTTCTTAATTTTCCTTGTTTGTGGTTTAATGTTCAAATTATCTCATTAACTGCGTTTCCAATCTTCCATAAAGTACTTATAAATTAATTGGTATCAACTTGTCAATATATTACTTCATTTGTTAAAGGAGATTTAATCATGTGATTGATTTTATCATAATTTTCCAAGGAAAAACAGGAAACAGGAAAAAATTATCAGAACAAGTAAAATTAATTAACACCATTGAAATAGCATGAATACATACCTTGTTTTATCAAGTTTGGAGAAATTATTCAGCAGTGTGACTTTGATTTTTTGTTCCTCTGGATTTGCGTCAAGGCCATTGATGTTAGCATTCTCCCGGACCAGGGGAGGAGGGGGAACCCCAGGGGGATTATCCTGGTAATCATCATCATCTATTCAAATAACGAACTAATTAAAGTGCCTTATATATATGTAATCTTATTGTACTTTTAAGCTTACAATTAATAGCAAACTAGTTTCCTGAAATTAAACACAATCAGTAACTCTTGGAGACAAAGAACAGAAGTTAATACATAAAAAATATAAGAATATATATAGAAAAGATCAATTAAAAAATTATACAGTAATACTGAAAGTTAAACATTTTAATCTTCTTAACCAAAACTAATGTACTTGAAATGGTGAATAAAAGTCAAGCATAGAATACATGTATTTTGAAAGGTTAAAGGTGCTTAGACACAGATTTGAACTTAATATTTTCTCAAATTTTCTGTATAATATCACGACTTATATATTGCAATTGCATTTCACACGAAAATATGATTAAAAAATATATGATTAAAAAATTATTTTATCTGGAAATTATTGGAACTACGAATTCCGGGACAAGTTTGATTAACACATCTTTGCACTTACACAAATTTTAACTTTACCCTTAATATTTAAGAAAAGAAGCAATTTTGTTATGTATTAATGAAAAATATTACATCTATATATAATCCAGAAAATTCAGAGTAGAAATGTTCGAAAGCAAAACCAACTCACCAGTATTGTCAGTCCGTGCTCTGTGATGTGTACAAATTGAATACACCCGTGAAACGTAAACTTTTTTGTAAACAGGGCACGAGCTCTGTTATTGTTAATGTTTACGATTCACCTGGTGTGTTCAATTGTTAAACTCTGCACACACAACTGAGCTCGGACTTACAATACTGTGAGTCCAGGGTTTTGCTTTTGAACATTTCTACTCTGAATTTTCTGGGTTATAGTTTTAATATTTTTCATTAATACACAACAAAATTGCCACTTTTCTTAAGTATTAAGAATAAAATTAAATGTGAAAGTGGAAGGATGTGTCAATCCAACGCGTCCAGAAATTCGAAGTTTTAATAACTTCGAGATGAAATAAGATTTTTATTATATTTTAGTATGAAATGCTATAGCAACATATAAGTCATGAAATTATACAGAAAATTTGAGAAAACATTAACTTCAAATCTGTGTCCAAGCACCTTTAAAGTTCAACATTCAAAGAACACCACTTCTCAAATAGATATTGGTACATCATGAATTTCAGAAAAGATGGTTATAAGTATGTGGATTTTAAAGTCCTTCCCAAGAATAAAAGAAAGTTTTTAGCAAAGAGTTAAAAAGATTCTGCATATCACAATGATTTATAAGCAAGTGCAGCATCATATCACAATCTACCCTGGTTTTAGCATTCCTTCAGTAAATATCACTGAACTTCTAGCAATGTGTTCTTCTCCACTCTTGCTAACAAAGATAACAATGCAACTTTGCAAATAGCTTTGCTCCCCCTTCATTTTGTCTCAAACCTTACATTCCCTACCCCTTTTAAAAAGGATTCAATTCCCTCATATTTTCCACGAGCAAATTCTAAAATAATATGTAAGCACATCCAAATCTTTCCAAACTCTTTTGGAACACAACAAAATGAAAGTAATCAGTGAAGTGAACAAAGAGAAAAAGATAAGTCTTATATTGATTCACATGTAACAAAAACAAAAAAAATGGGTTAGAAATTAGCGTATACATATAGATTGTGTGAACAGCTGATGTTAGGGTAGTGCTGCGTCACCTCGAAGTAATGAAAACTCGGTAAATTCATTAGACAATAACGGAGATTCCTCATCCGAATAATTCCAAACAGCAGAGTTTTCTGGATCTACATGGATTAGTTAATAAAGAGTAAAGAAAAAAAAATTGTTAATCGGCATACAAACTTGGTACCAAAAAATAATTGTTTTAACATACAAATGAGTAGAACATATGAAATATCTCTATCTCAAAGTATCAATCAAAAAAAAAAGAATATTTGTTATTTACACGTAGATATTTGTATGGCATTTCTATGATGAAGAGAAAACTAGACAAGTACAAGCACACTGTTACACTATGAATATGCATACTTCAAACACTAAAACCTATTCTCATCAATATATGAATAATGCTTGCTAAAACTGCTGTAATAAGCTTTTGGAGGGACCTACCTGAGTCCACTTCCTCTCCTTTGTCAGGAGGGACGGGAAATTTCAGTCCAAATGCTAATCCATTCTTATCTCCCCTTTTTATGTAGTCTGCGACCAGCGAATTGAGATCTGGATACTTGGGCTCAGGAGCACCACCTTCTGCCTGAAAGATAAAGGGAAATTATTTCAAACCACAATGCATGCAGGCCCGTAGCAATGGTTCTAAAAGTGGGGGGGGGGCAACTTCCCCCAAAAAATCTGACAAGCCAAAAAAAAAAAAGAAAAGTTAATTTACTATCCAAATCCTGAAATTTGCCAGTGCTGGACCTTACCTTACAACATAAAAAAGATGGGGGGGGGGGGGGAGGAGAAAAATTTACTATAGCAAAATACTATACTCAAAAAAAGTGGAGCCCCCCCCCCCCCCCCTTGACATTGAGTATTGTTATAAATGCAGGTTGCCCACCATTATTTAATTTCTGCAATACTAATAATCAAATAAACTAAAATGTGCAAATTTGAGTAAGAGCTATGAATTTCATATGAACTTCTCAAAAGATTTCTATACATCTTTAAATTTCCAATTTTTTCTACGGAATTAATTCACAAAAAAGTCAAATTTATTCTCAGCAAAGTCAAATGTGCTTATGATATTTACTAAGCTGAATGACTTCCCCCTCAAACAAACCACACCAAAAATTCTACACACCTTCAATTCTTATTTATCTTGTAAATTAAATCAGGAAGCTTACATACAATTTTTATTGCACAGAAAAAAAAATCATTCCTGTCTATAGCAGGAATGCAATTATCTGGGAGAAGGAATTAGAATGATTTTACCTTAATATAGCCACTGATATGCAAGTGTTCTCATACTATTCACAAATCATACTATACATATGATCTATACATATAATAATCAATGCCAGTAGTTATCTGCACAAATGTTGTGACAATGTACATAAAATTGGATTGTATGCTTTATTTAAACATGGAAAAAAATCTTTAAAATTATGATTTATCGAATCCAATCTTAGTAAAGATTGTAATTAAAATGGTTTCTTTAAAAATAAGAAAATTAACAGAATACTGTATAGAATGATGTACCAGAGCTGAATTCCCTGGTCATTTTACCTGGATGGACAGCTTGTTGTCATGTCCAGGTAGAACTCTATACTGGTGCACCCTTGACTGGAACCTGTCTCAAGAGAGAGAGAGATCAACTGTGTTAGAATGTACTGAATTGTAGAAACCTGCATGGTGACATGATACATTTCAACTGTATTCATATCATTAATGTTGCTCACAGTGGAGCTTTTTTTTTAAAAAAAAAAAAATCATTTGAAAAGTAAAATACTTGCTCTGAAGACAATGAAGTCAACGAAACCTAGAAATGTTGATCATGGTGGGGCTGTCACACAATTTTGATATACTCAAGTGTTTGGGATACTGAAGACTCAACTTCTGGAGTTGAATCTTAAATTGAGATTGAGATTAGGACTTTTGTCTCATTTTAACATACCTGGAATTTGTTACCGGTATATCAATCTTGGAGAAACCCAATTCAATGTGGGTGTACATTTGTAATGATAATTATTTGTAATACAAGATTCCAGCTCCCTTACATTAATATGTTGAACATCTTAACTAATGATTGTTATAGGAAAAGACTTCACATTAATCAGTAACTCTTTAAATTAACTTACCAAATATATTTTTAAAAGGTTTATACAGAAAAATAAATATTACACTTTTTTTTAATGTGTTTTAATTTACCCCCCTCCCTCTTAAGTTATAAGTGAATGATCTAATTGCTGCCCCAAATTCCCAATTTTCTAACATCCTGGGTGCTTCTTAGGATGAATACAGTAATTATTTTAATTTTATTATAAATAGACTTAATCCGTTAAGGGTGGAATTTGGCAAAGCCATGGATTTTTAAAAAAATGTATCTGTCTTAATTATTCGAAGTTTATTTGATTTTTTGGAAACATACAGTACACAAGCTTCATTTTTTACAGATATGTACATTTTAGTCAGGTAATACGTTTCACCTTGAAGATCCATGAAATGGTTCAATTAACAAATTATCCTTAAGTCAATCCTGAATTATACCTTAATTTACACCGCATCCCCCTCCCCCTCCCAAGTTTTAGTCCTCAATTATATACTACAGCATAAACCTGTCCACAAAACCAGGAATGTCTTCTCTGATCTATCACTGGTAAATTGAATGCTCTATTGAGGAAGACAGCTGATTAGCAGGAAACAACAGTATTTGTCTATTCAATGAACCACTCAATAAATTACACTGTAAACTACACCATGTACACAGAAACGTTACTGTATCATGTCAGTCTGATCAGAGCTATTATAGAACAAATTACTTATTATCACACACACTTTGTCTGCAATCTAAAAACCAACAAAAACAACACAATGCATGAAGAGCACTTTATGTGGAAAAATTTGTTTCTAAATCAAATGTTAATTATGAACTATATTAGATGCACTTATGCACATTTCATGACATTTTGATGATAAACAAAAAATATGACTAAGACATAGTAAAGAGTAAATTATAAATATATTTGCCTATATAAGTAAATACATAAGTATATAATTATTCCAGTAACCTACTTTTAAACCTCACAATTAAGTGTGTTTAAAGCATATGACTTGAAATGATTGTTAAAACTAAGTGACCTTACAATTTGCAATGAAACATATGTCTTTCTCAGCTGAGGGTGAACTATTGTGGCTATATATTACAACTTTACACTTATACTTAAGAAATAAATAACAAGTTTAAAAACTTCAATGGGAATTGAAGTGGGTCGGTCACGTGATCAAATCCTGTGAAGGCCGAAGGCCCTCTCAGAAGATTTGATCACGTACCGACCCACTTCAATTCCCATTGAAGTTTTTAAACTTGTTATTTATTACTTATATATACATTTGAGACGGACAATCAAATGTAATCGAATATAAATATTGCACTAACTGTACGTCGTAGATTTTGACAAATTACGCTAGGTGTAAATCGGCTTGAAAAGCGGTTACGCTTCAAATTCATCTGGCAAAGGATTCTGTTTTGAAGGGAATATTCTGTGAAAGGCTACTTGTGATGAATTATAGTGAGCATATTGGTGTCTGGGAATTTTTGTATTCACGAGAACCCATATTCGATGTTAAAAAACACAAGAAGCACGTCCAATGTTTGATAATAAAAAGTTGGAGGAATTTCGGTCGGAAAGGGATGGATGGAGACACTTGTCCGGACCAGATGACTTGAAATCAAGTACAAAATTTGATTTAAAACATAAAATCTACGATTTCAGTCAGGCATATTTATTAATTTATGATGTTGACATGAAGACACTGGCGACAGCTTACATTGTTAAGACAACGTCACAACGATCTCGATGATGGAGGTGTGCCTACCGAACTTCCAAAGTGCAGTGTTTGTCAGCTGTTTGTGGCGTGATTGCATTACATTGATGTTTTTCAACAGATTTCAAATTTATTATGAGTAAAGTTTAATGAAAAAAAAATTAAAGCATTCAGAGGTCTGCGAGAAAAATAAGGGTAAACGTTGAGACTATGCAGCTCAGACATGAAACTTATCACGTAGTTTTCTATTCTGTGTGTAAAATCGATCAAGAACTGTATTAAATACTCGTTTACATTGTAAATAAAATGATTATTATTTTACTTACGTATTTTGTACATTTTTTATGCATGAAAAACATGCTATATTGATAAGTAAGTCTTTTTATGTAGATATTACTGCGCTGTGTGATTAGGTCACGTAATGACCTATGACCTTCGAAAAACTTCATACAGGTATGAAGATATTTGCTCTCTGCATGTTTATATAATAGAGAGATACCACAAATGTATATATTAAATCATAAACATTGTATTGACATTAATGTACTAAATGAATTGCAAGAGATTCTCCTGCCTATTGTTCTTTGATTAAAAGATTATGCAGGTATATAATAACAAGAGGCCCAGGGGCCACATCGCTCACCTGAGCACTCTGGCTAGGAAAAAGCAGAAAGCAGTTCAGTCTTGAAAAGTTTTGATATAAAAGCAGTTCAAGGGGGTAGGGGGGAGGGGGGGTGGGGGTGTTGATTTGAACTAATTTGAATGTATACTTCATAGGGATGCTTTTGAATTAATATGACAAATAATGGCTTTGCTGTTCTTAAGAAGACAATTTTAATTGATATATATCATTTGTATTCCTTTGTTTGACTATGATTCCCTGTTATGGCCCCTCTATTCTCCGGGGGTTCATGATTTGAACAAAATTTGAATCTAAATTACCTGATGATGCTTCCATTTAAATATGACTAATTATGGCTTTGCTGTTCTTGAAAAGAAAATTTTTAAAGATTTTTTCCTATGTATTCCTATGTAAAATTTAATAGCCCATTGTGGCCCCACCCTACCCCAGGGGGTCATGATTTGAACAAACTTGAATCTACACTACCTGAGGATGCTTCCATTTAAATATGACAAACCATAACTTTGCTTTCTTGAGAAGATTAGATATTTACAGATTTTTCCTCTGTATTCCTTTGTAAAACTTTGATCACCCACTGTGGCGCCACCTGACCCCGGGGGTCATGATTTGAACAAATTTGACTCTACACTACCTGAAGATGCTTCCGTATAAATATAACCAATCATGGCTTTACTGTTCTTGAGAAGAAGATTTTTAAAGATTCTCCCTGTATATTCCTATGTAAAACTTTGATCGCCCATTGTGGCCCCACCCTACCCCCTGGGGTCATGATTTGAACAAATTTGAATCTACACTACCTGAGGATGCTTCCATATAAATATGACCAATCATGGCTTTACTGTTCTTGAGTAGAAGATTTTTCCTGTAAATTCCTATGTAAAACTTTGATCGCCCATTGTGGCCCCACTCTAGCCCCGGGGGTCATGATTTGAACAAAACTGAATCTACACTATCTGAGGATGCTTCCATATAAGTTTCATATTTTCAAGCCCAGTGGTTCTTGAGAAGAAGATTTTTAAATGAGGCCATTAATTTTTCACGAATTCATAATTATCTCCCCTTGGAAGAAGGGGTGGCCTTTCATTTGTATAAACTTGAATCCCCTTTACTCAAGGATATTTTGTGGAAAGTTTGGTTGAAATTGGCCAAGTAGTTCTTGAGAAGAAGATGAAAATGTGAAAAGTTAACGACAACGACAACAACAACGACGACAACGACGACAGACAACGGACAAATTTCAATCAGAAAAGCTCACTTGAGCCTTCGGCTCAGGTGAGCTAAAAAAGATGTCATTTTATTGCATTGTGAATTTCTTGTGATGTCAGACTAACATCTTTTCAGTTTTTTTCCCTAATATAACACATATCTACAAATTCTTAATTTTTATTGCTACTTAAAACAGTACATAACTTAAATAAAAAATTCCAAAAGTTATAGCACAATACATCCATTCTACAAAACTGAAATTTTTTTACTATAGAAACAGGATTTTTATTGTACAAATCAAACTTTAAAAGGTCATGCCAGGATCATTCCATCAATTAAAATGTTGAATATTGGAAACATTATGATTTTATAAAAGTTTTAAATTTAAACTTTAATAAATGAAAATCAGATTATGCTATCCACAACAATTTGAATGTTTTAATTTACTAATAACATGGTCACTGGTCATAAGCAATTAACTTCCATGATGGTAATCAAGAATGATTGGGTATATCATTCTCAGCAGAGGTAATTGTTTCATTTTATAATTTAAAGAGCGGCCCAATGCTCTCCAAGGAGCTAACAGGAATAAGTATGTAAGTAAGTAATTTAAAGAATCATACATTTCATAAAGACATTAGCTGACCAGAAATTCCTTTTTCTTCAAAAAAGAACTTATAGGCTAAATATTATTTACCCTCTTATCACACCAACAACATGTAAAACAGCTGTTTCTACATCAGCTGATCTAGATACAGTAATGCTTAAACATATTCGCTTACTTATCTCCCTTTCTGCATCTGCCCCAAAGATATTTATCTGACTAAAAGCTCCAAGGGAGACAACTTCACACAAAGATGAACACAATCTGTGATTATCTCCCTTGTACTTTCCATTTCTCCCATGAAACCACAGACATTTATTGATCCAAAAACTGTTTTGTCTGACAAAGAGGATGGTAGAGTCGGAGATAGCACATTTTGATATGAAAGTCTGTGAAAATGTCAGAGTTAATAAGTGATAACCACATAGAAAGATCTTAATAACATCTATCAAAACAGACAGAGGGAACTAGCTTTAAACTACCTCAAAACACCACCTGGCTGTCTTTATTTCATTTAAACAATAAATGATTTCTAAAACATTAAAAATTAAGATATTTTATCGCTGATACAGACTACAGTACATTGTAGGGCAATCTGCATTATGATGAATTTTGTAAAAACTACTTCAGATATTTTTTTTTTCAAATCTGTTTTACAGACTTTTAAGATATGATTCCCTGGGTCAACAAAAAATGTTGGTCTTACTTTGAAGGAAACTTTCAAGTTCCATGGTTTAGCTTCTTTGAGATTCATTTCAAAACAATTATTATAAATACACCATATTGATCTCCAAACTTACTTATCTTAAATTCTAGGCTTTCTTAAAGACAAGCGTTTATTATACATTTCAACAATTCCTAAGAAAAACCATCTCAAAAAACAAACACTGATCTAGAGGTGAAAGACATGATATATCATTTGACTTGGAGAAGCAGTTCCTCTAATAGCTAAGGTTTCAGTATTTTAAGCTTTTTTTTCATCTAACTCAGATCACAGGAAGTTATAATCCTAACAAAAAATACTCCACATTGATAAACTTTCAGCTGAAAACTATCATTCATCACCCAGCTTCTTATTTTTCTACATTATTCTTCACAGTTGCAATGGTAATTAAAACATGTAAGAAATCATTTAAATCCCACTATTTAAATTGTACCAATTATTTCCATGATCATTTATTATAGAAACCCACCGTTTATCAGGTCTGGCATTCTACTACTTAGTAGGTGAAACATTTGACTTATTTCATGGTAGAGGGGGTATACTCACAATAACATTTTTTGATACCAAAAGGAAAAAAAAAACCACCAATATTTTGTAATTGTTACCAAATTAATCATTAATGATGCTGACTTAATATGCTTATTAAACATTATTAATAAAGATAAAGGGACATACAAAAAAAAAATTCCTGGAATAGAGGAATTATTTGAGTAGGGCCAATTTGTATTCAGGGAAACAACTTAATTTTGATGTAAAGCTTTAGAACATAATTAAATAGAGATGTCAAGTAGTAAAATTCCCCAGTACAACACAGGCAGAGAAGTGTGTGTTGATCACTATGCAGTATGGTAAATTACCAGTCACTAGGTACAAGTATCTGATACAGGGCTGAGTAACATAGGCATGCAAACACTTCAACTGCCATGTACTGTCAAAGTCCACAAAACTCTTACATAAAATCTAGAATTATTGTGTTTATGACACTGCTGAACTGGATTGCTGCTCTAAATGTTACAGACAAATTCTGGGTAATTAATAAAATCCTTTATTATATGATTGAATAATTCTTAGCTCTCCCACTGGCCAAGATCCAACATTAGTTAATATGTTCACCTACTTAACGAGTTTTGTTTCATATACTCATTGAATCATATAATAAAACAATTATTGTTTTTTTTCAGTCAGTAAGAAGCTTTTCCCTCCCCCGAAGTATAATATTCACCTATTGAATAGTGTATACCTCAGGTGGCTAAATCATTGTACATGTATTGACCTCAAAAACAGTAATACATATGTACTAGTAATTGTACAATATTCCTTACAGATTGAGCAATATAACGTATTGAATACATATAATGATAAAATTTGCCATCTATAATATTGTTTATTTTAATATAGAAAATCTGCTGCTTTATCTTATTCTTTTTAAAAGAAACTCTAGAGGTACTGTGAGGACTGCATGAGCTCACAAAATGATATAGCTCCCCCCCATATGATTATAATGCCATGTCCACGTTTTCCAATGGGAAAGCCCAAATATCTGTCTGATCAAAATATTAAGTAGAAGATGCACAATGGCACTATGTAACAAAGATTCTTTGAAAGTATTATTAAGTTTTATTCAGTGGTATAGGAGGAGTTGTGGAAAAGAAATGGATACCCTCAATATTATAGAAAGAGTGGCAGTGTCTATGTTTTGCTATGGGAACTTGAAATATATGTCCAATCAAAAAATAAAATAGGAGGTGCACAATCACACTGTGTAATAAAGATTCTGTGAAAGTATCATTAAATTTTATTCAGTGGTATAGGAGGAATTGCGGATAAGAGATGGGTACCCTCAACATTATAGAAAAAATGGCAGTGTCTATGTTTTGCTATGGGAAACCCGAAATATGTGTCCAATCAAAAAGTAAAATAGGAGGTGTACAATGGCACTATGTAGCAAAGATTCTGTAAAAGTCTCATTAAATTTTATTCAGTGGTATAAGAAGAGTTGTGGATAAGAGATGTGTACCCCAAAGTGTAATGGACAGAAGGACATCCTTACAGACAGACAGAGGGACAGACACCCCTATCACTATACTATATATATAATAAAAAGCTTGGAACCTAATTCTTTCAAAGCAAAAGGTAGATAGCTGATCACATCATGGAAAGACATCAAAAGGCTGTGGGCCATAATGCTCAACTGAGTACCATATCCTTGCTTACAAAGGAATAAGTAGTGTAATTACATACATCTGTGTTAAATTCATTTCCCCATTGTGACCCTACCCTGATTACATGGGCTCAGACTACTTGCACAAGATTGAACCTACACTACATGAGTATACATTGAACTTCAAAGTAACATGAGAAATTGAAGTCTTGTTGTATCTAAGAAAAATAATTTTTTTATGAGAACCTTTCCTACAAGCTCCTTTCTTCAAACTTTGACCCCCTTCTGTGGACCCACTCTAGCCCAAGGGGCCACAAATAGAATATGACTGTAAAATTTCACTGTATAGTGATGCTTGGATATCACATTACCTGAAGCTTACTCATCAGTTTCATCTTTTCTTGCACAATGGTTCTTAAGAAGATTTAAGATTTTTTAAAGATTTTTTCCCTATATATTCCAAAGTTAAACTTTGGTCCCCTATTGTAGCCCCACTCTATCCTGGGAGTTGGGGGGGGGGGGGGCATGATTTGAACAATTTAGAAATCAACATATCAGAATTTTTTTCTGACACAGCTAGTGGTTCTTGAGAAAAAAATTGGTTAATGACCTCACCCTTCTTTTGCCTGATCTTGATTATCTCCCTTTGGAAAGGGGCTTGGCCCTTCATTTGATCAATTTTTAACCATCTTTACCCAAAAATGCTTTGTATTAACTTTGGTTAAAAGTGGCCCAGTTGTTCTCCAGAAAGTCAAAAAACCCAGACAACAGGTGATCACAGAAGCTAACTTGAGCTTGCAGCACAAGTGAGCTACAAACTGATCTAAATCTGACATCATATGAGTATTCAGAATTGCTGATTTATCTAGAAGCTAACCTATGAAAAGTAAATTTATGAAACAATTAATCTTTCCATATACTATATGTACTACTTACAGCAGACATAAGACATATGCCCCCTGCAAAGTTTCACTGTCCCGGACTAGAAAACTCCCATCCTCTCCAGCAGATAGGAGCAGTTCCTCTGCCCTAAGTCTAGAAATTCCACGGTGAAAGTAGTTTCCAGACATTTTGGTATGAATCTGTCGTAGACTTGGTTTACTGGCCCGAGACCACCTTCAAAAGAATCAACACAAAACTGTTATAACTATTATCTGTTTATCAGTTAAATACCCAAAGAAATTCCTGCGTCACAAGATAATTCATAACAGTATTTTTTTTTTAAAAAACAATAAATAAAAAAATGCATATGAAATTTTTTTTCAAATAACAAACAGGAAGTTATGTGCGCAGTGCACATAGAGTATAGTGACAATGCTGAATGAAGTATTGTTTTAAACACACGTCATGAAACATGGCCAAATGTAGAACATTCACTGTGAAAACTGTTTATGTATTATTAAAAAATTAACTTTATCACCTATATGAAAATTATTTAGAATTACATGTCAATACACGGTCTTCTTCCATGCTTATTTTAAAGTGTATGTCAGCAATATATTTGTCTAATAGATATCAAAATATTGAAGACATAATCTTGCAAGTGCATATCAAAGTAAATAAACCACAACCTTGACAAAAAACCCACATAGATTACAGCTTAATTTACAACTTGAAGCCAAATGGCCTTGATGAATTTTTACTCTATTCATATCTCAGTGTGATAGGCCCGTTTTCATTGGAGCCATGCTCCATACTGAAGCTGCGAGATTAGACACTGTCAATTATGAAGTATAGAACCTGGTGTATCATAATTATAAGACTCATCAGATTCAAAGACATTAAACAAGAAATCCAGAAGATGAAAAAACCAAGAGTTACATTTGTTGTTTAAGGTAAATAGATAGAGGCAGTATGGGGGATTTATCTGATTTATAGATACTGAACATCTACATCTGTTCACCATCAGGGGGCAGGGAGCCCTCTATACCCCAACACTGTATATCTTAATGGATAAAAAATATCTCACTTCCTCATTCTCCTCCATACAAAACAATAGTACTCTCTGATAGCTGATAAGATACCCTACTTGCATGTGTCTACGATAGTAAATATTGATACAAAGTACATTTATATAATTTTTGAATTTCTTCTTGTGTATATAATTCTTTACTTGTATGCCCTGAGGGGCCCAAATTGGGATCAATAAATCTTATCTTATCTTATAATATGCACATATGTATGATACTCAGCAATAAACAAAAAACACATATGTACACTCTTTAAAAACAAAATTTAAACATTTTAAGTGTACTTAATACAAGTAGGAAGTATCTAAGGCATTTAAAAACAATGTCAGAACAACAGATCTCCTAAGATATATAAAACTAAACTTTCTCATTAACTCTTTTTAATTTATTTCTTTCTCTGTAAGATTTCTCCTGTTAAGGAAATTGGTAAAGTACATGCAGGTCTGTGTCAATCTCTTTGTGAATCTCTTAATAAGTGTCACTAAAAATTGTCTGTGATTTTCAAAACAAAAAAAATTATTGCACTAAAAAGGCCACTGATCATGACTGTTGTATGAAGTTTTGATAGAGGTAATGTCACACATGCACATGAGTTAGGTATATTGCTGTGTATGTAATGTACAAGTATTATATTAAACTGTTTATTTGCTAAAATGATCTGTATCCACTCAATGATCTTTTTTTTTTTCAATGAATTAAGCAACAATGACTTTCATCTCCAATGATTAATAATCATCACCATCCAGAAACTGATAAAATAGTAGTACTCTTTTTACTCAGAAAATATGCAAACTGCATGACTACATTATTTACCGTTAGAATTTCCTTTAAAAAGAATGTTTGCAATATAGTCATGAAGTGATCTTGACCCCTGATATATTAATTGCCTTGGAAGTTAATGGGAAATCATATTTTCCCACCCTAGCAGTCATTTATATAAACACTTTGAAAACTTATCCAGTTCAGAAACACTAGTTTATCATTACGTTTTGCTACAGTGAGCTTAAAAATAAATGCATGAATTTCAAAGCTAAATCTGAGTACTATTAGTAAAATAACAAGCATCGATATATATTTCCCCCTTTTGCTGATTACAGGGACAAAGTACAATTATGAAATTGGAAAACTATAAAATTAATATTCATATATTAACTCACAAATTCTATAAGCTTTCATAATGCACTTTGAAGCTGGCCAGTAACATATTAGCTAGGAACCTTTCATATTGCCTTCAGAGAGTGCACTTAAACTGATATACACACTAAAAATGGTATTTTTCACCTCATTTTTAATTACTTTTCATGATATTAGTAATTTGCCCTTGGCATTTTAAAATTTATGAGGGAATGGACAAAAATTTAATTCACTTTAGAATAAATTAACCACACTCACCATATAACTTATACTTTAAAGTCTTCTTTGTGCACATTTTTCAAAAATTGTGACTATATATAAACTTAAAAGTATTAAAGCATGCACACATGATACCTGTTTTCCCATGGCCAAAAACTGTCTGTAAATCCACACAAAAACATTGCTATCAAAATCTCACTCAGTATTCAGAAGTTATAACAAAAACTGAAACAGTTACATCATTGTCAGTAGCATCCATCCCCCATTGTCTCAAATTCTGTGACATTCCTGAATCATTCATAAAACATGACACTCAATAGTGATGAATCTAATGTGTTAAAACAATTTTCACTTTTTTCCTTGATGCTGTGACCTTTGCTATCAGTAGAGATAGACAGACAAACATTAATTAAGTATCCAAAAGAATATCACACCAGTTATCAGGGGCTGTGTCGACTTCCAGGAGAAAGATCCAATAAAACACACTTCCAGACTTTAACACTTGCACTCTTGTGTTTGTCACATATTCTGGGCCACAAACATGCTAGTTATAGTTCCAGAATTAACTGCTAGGCCCAGGGACCCAGGACAATAAACTTCCAACTCCGTTAGCATCAAAATGTCAAAACTTCAAATCAGTAGCTCGCACACTGACTGGAGTATTATCTCTCTCCGATACAAGGTGTAGAGAGCAATTTAATAATCCTCTGGTCTAATGACAAATACTTGTTTATTTAACACAGAAATTTTATAGAATATGGGCTAAAAGCTATAAGCCACTGATCCAAGAAAACAATGGGAGACAGAATAATTAAGAAACGGAAAATTGCCATGATCGCCCTTTTTTTCCATTGATGTGTGAAATTTTATGGAGAGTCCAGGCCACTCAGAATGTCTAAAATGAACTTCTACTTAAACCTATTCCAAAAAAAAAATTCAAAGCTTTGAGGAGGCATGTCATTGTAACAAATTATTCCTGGATGCACACACAATCAGTTTCCAAGTCTGAATTCTTTGAAGCTCGCAGCAAGGAGAGGATGAAATTGAGAATGATTTGCAAGAATTAATGTTTGCTAAGCATTAAATCAATCCAAACGATTTCTCAGCTTGTGTTTATTGTAATAAACCATGACTAAACCTGCTAAGAGAATTTGGCCTTCATAGAAAATCTGATTTACAGGCAGGGAAAGAATAAAATAACTCCAGTTTATCATTAGCAATTAAGATAACAAACACCATTCACTATCGTTTGATGTACCGGTATATTTCATCTGTTAAGAAAACTTTATGCAAATTAAATAATTTTTTGGTATGTCAATTTCCTTTCCTTACCATTTTAATTAACTGACATTAGATGGGAGTTTCTGAAATTTGAATTGCTAATTTTAACATGTCTGTAAGCATTTGTATTCTAGTGCATCCAGTACGTAGAACATTTAGGTGCTTCAATATGTTTGTTCATCTGACAACAGTTAGGAATGTCTGATAATCTAAAACAAATCACCTGGATATTTTTTGTTTGGTCAGTTGTACTCCCAAACAGTCAGTAAATTCTTCAGCTATATTTGAATGTTTATATAAACACCAGCCAAATGTCTAATATTCTTTTGAAGAAAATCATTCAGGTATATTATGCATTGCAGACAAAATAATCGCTAGAGAATAAAACTTAAGATTTTTTTTTTTCGTGGATCAGTGGAAATTAAGTAAATTAATTACCAAATCATGCTTTAGAGTAGCTATATTAACTAAAATTCCGTACACAAGTTCCCTAAGAGTGTTAAAATTCTGTCATAAAGATCATCCTAAAATTTTAATTAAACATTATTGTGCCTAAAAATAGGTCTTCTCAATATTAATTTGATGTCGGCTGATAATCAGTTTATCATAGTATGGACATGTTAATGAAGAACAGTGGAAGAGAAAAATTATACATCAAAAGGGAAGTAACTATTTGACATTCAAGGGGAGAAAACTGAAGTTAGACATTATGTTCACAAAGTTCTACATGTAAGTCCTAATAAATACATGTACATTATTCAAGTGTGTGTAAATTCCACTGGAGCTCTGTCGATTTATATTTTACTTTACTGGTTGGCAATATCTTTTTGTGTGATAATGAAATCAAGAAAATAGTTTCTACTAAAAATATAGTCTTTATTTGTACAAAATTCAAAAACAGTATGTGTACAAAAAAAAGAAAAAAAATCTATCTGGAGTTGTCCTCCATGGAACTGGATTATAAACACCCACCATCCCATACAGAACAGCCAGCCAACAATGATCAAAGCATTCATTCTCTGTTCTGGACCCCCGACCCGCTCTAGATTCCATGCATGCATAACCCAAGATCTACAAACATATAGATAGATAGACGGACATCAAGACAGTGGTTTTAGTATAACACCCCCCCCCCCCAACTATAATTCAGTCATTCATTGTATGTGATCAGCAGAGTCAGTACCCTTATTTTGTATCTCTTGAAAGAAAAATAATGACCACGCACTTACTTCTTACGAATCTAAATGTGTGTACATGTATTAAATAGTGAATCACTGTTTTAAGATTTTTAAAAGTACCACTTCACATTTTCACATGACATAAATATCTATAGGAAGGTATATATCTGTGCTATATAATTCAGAACTTCTTCCTCCTAACGTTAGAGGGAAGATGAAATTAATCAGAAGCTGACAGTGAGATTGTAGGTTTTTTTTTCCCATACAACTTCCTTAAAGTTTTCCAGACAGATGTTAAATAGATTTACAGAAAAAACATTTGTCAATCATCAATACAAACTCCTCTCTAATTTTCCTCTTCTAGTAAACATATCAACTATCATAAAAACATGTCCAGTGAAACACTCACCACATGGGAGTCTGTCAAATTCATACAAAGAACAACCTGATCAAGTCATGCTGGCAATGGTCAGCCAAAGCAAACAAAAATACAATAACCAAAACAACAACAACAAAGTCTCTGACAAGAACATAGCTCTACTGATTTAAAATGATGGTGGAAGACAAAAGTTGCACCGCATGCAATTTTCTTCAGTTTTACTTCAATATAGAATTATGGATCTTGTTGTTTATTTTAACCTGTCCCAAGTATTATTGAAATTAAACCAAAACTGTCGAGTAGCATTTTCAAAGTATTTTACACCAGATCATCGAGATCAAAAACCATTATACAGAACCGAGTACTTAGTACAATTTTGTGAAACAAATGTAGCTTAACTGGATCAAACCTATGGTAGGTATTGTTCTGAAAGAAATACACATAAATTTTTATGTTTTGCAATCAGTGCAACAACTGTCATTGAAAATCAAAAAGTGCTATCAAAATTCATAAAACTTTACACTGATGTATCAACTTTTTTCTGAAATTAGACTAAAAATGTAATAGTGTCATTTTGAAAGAATTCCACGTCATATATTTTTTTTCTTCTCTTTTTTTTTGGTAACCAAGGCATTACTACACAATGAAAATTAATGATAGACAATTATGCATCTTGAAGCAGTCTACCAGGCTTGTGTACTGAGCTCAAAGTCATGTACATGTATCATTTTTTAGAAATTCTATACAACTGTTGACATACAAGTGGATGGATTATATACACATTACCAATGTATAAGCTCTTCTGGTCTTTGATAAGTTGATCTAATATATATAATTAACATATTTTTTCTTTATACTGGTACAATGTACTCTTTATAATTAGATGAGATCTTTAAAGTGTATAGAGAACATTTGGAAATTTTTTTAAATGAAAAATATTGTTCTAAGTAAAATATGATGAAATTTTGTGACTACAGTAGTACAAGACAGGTACTTATATTTTTTATCTAAAAAAAGTTGTATTTTTTCATTACAAAATCATCAATCTAGTTGTTCTCCAACATTTTGAATGAAGTACATGTACTTCCACATACCATACTCTCCCTATTAAGTGCCCAGGGTGCTAAGAAAATTGCAAATAGGGGACGCTTATTTGGTAGTCATGAACTGATTGTGTCAAAAGTTTTGTGGGAAAAATAAATTGTTCAAGATTGTATCAATCACTCTTTCTCGCCTCACACAGATCAATGGCACTGTCAAATTCATCGAACATATTCCAATTTTTAATCATTTTGCATGTATAGATCTGATAGATTTGGAAAAACTCTGATGAGACCATAAGTTAAAAGAGGGGAGTCCTTATCCTCAGATACTCCAGAGGTCGCTTATAAGGGTAAGGGCACTTATTAGGGAGAACACGGTAATTATTCTGTTGTTCTCATGTCATTGTCATGTAAATGTTCCTGTTTTATTCCTCATGCACCTGATTTATGTGGTTTTGAGAGAATAAAAGAACTGGAAAATGAACATAAACCTGGGATGTCATTAAAAAGATCAAAATTACTACAGATTAATTATCTATCATGCAAGAAATGTAACCTTTGACTTTATAATAATATACTATTTACCCAAAATTAACAAATCTTAAAATAGCCAATATGGCATATTTAGAGTACAACATGATATGAGACTGCCATCCACTGCTATGGAATCATTTTAATTTGTTGGGGGCTATTTTCATGGTTAGCTTAAAATTCACAGGTTCATGGGGTTCAATAATTTTCAAGGAGTACATTTTCTTACAAAAGCTGTCATTAATATTTCAATGTTCCTTGAGGTAGTAAATTTGTGGGTACACGTAAGACCTGGCCTTGTGCCCCTGAAATCCCTTATAACTGAACCCCAACGAAATAACAATTCTGTAGTGTATATATATATATACTATGATGAGCATTATGTTTATTCATTATATTAATTCATGTGATAGTTAATCTCCTATAAATATACTGAGTACTCATGTCATAATATATACTGAACAGTACCGTTCTCTGTGCAGTGCAATTAATAAAGGAGGCCATATTGGGCCATCTACAAACACTTCATTCTTGTAAATGTGTCTTTGTGGCACAATTAAGGCCACAATTAAGGCCCTGCTTGTCTTGGTATCAAGATACCTCTCAACATTCTTAAGAGGGTATACTATCCTCATCAATTTATATATATTTGTTATAAACAAGGAAAATTATTTTTTCTTTAAATTAATTACATGTAATATGCTTTATCCTAAGAAATTTATTAAATTTGTACTGAAAATATATTCTTACTTTCGTGAAACATGGAGATTAGGAGACCGTGGCTTCCCCTTGGATGCAGCTCCAGCAAAAACGGGGTAAAACATTTTTGACATTTTTGAATAATAATCCTCTTAAAATTTATGCAGCATAGTTATCACAATAGATGTTCACTGCAGGTGTATGGTGATTTACAGTGGTTAATCACATGAAAACAAA